CATTCTTTTCATTTGGATAGTTGACGGAGCACGGCCATCATTCAAACCGGATCCTTTTTTCTTTAAAATTCTTATCAATCCGTAGTACGACAGCAGCATAACACCAGAGGGCAGCAGAACACCGAAAGCGTACAAATAAATTTGAAAGTTTGCGTCACGCCAACCCACAATCGGTAGAAGCGAAAAGTGGAAAGCGTAAAGCCAGATGAAAAGCACGGAAAAACGAACGCGCCTCACCGTCACTAAAACACGGTAGCGGAACGCTGTTTTCACAGCTATGTATCTATCGAACATCATGGCAGAGATGTTTAATATAGAGCTGACGCATGACAGTACAGCTAATACGTAAAATGCGAACAGTGCGTGTTTGCTGTTTGTCCAGTAAGCGGATACATTCAGTGGCTCTACGATCATTCCAACAAGAATATCAGCCAATGCGAGATTCACGACGTAGAAGAAAGATAAATTGCGAAGATTTTTAAACGGATCTCTGAAGTAAACGATGCAAACTAACGAGTTTCCGATGACAGTGTATAGGCTGAAAACGATGAAGACAATCGCAAGAGGTAAACTTACTTTAAGGATATAACCATCGTAAAACATGAAAGGTTGTGACATTTTAACTCTCTAATATCACCTTAACAGAACAGTCTAATGGTAAACTGGACAAGGCAATGTTAATAACAATCCCTCAAGGCGAGCAACGAGAACTGTTTTCCTTCCCTCGATCGTCCTAGAGAGATGCAAATGATTTCTCACGAAATAGAGTGAATTTCACTCCCCCATTGGATTATAAGAAGAGTAGATTAACATACTTGTTTGCATTGTATTCTTTTCCATCGACTAAACAGAAACCTTATTAGCAGCTGTTTTGAGTGTTTGAGTGTCCTTGGTAATCATGCTATCGCACCTTCATTAATTAACCCAAAACAGTTTTTCCTATTCTGACCTCTCTAAGATCGATCAATTCAGTTGCAGCTGTGTCGTTGTGAATTACTTTCAACTAAAAACAGTTTTATCATTTTCTTCCTCACACTAAGATAACACTAAGACAATTACTAAGACAACCTCTCTGATAACAAACCTTTCAGCGCTAATTGGCATGCATTTACGATTTAATCCCGTGCCAACTTCGATCGGACTACATTTTAGATAGCCATCTTTGATTTTTAAGATTGTTTGTGCTCCGAGATAGTCCACTGAATTGGAACAGGCTAGTGCGTGTACTGATAAATATTTCAAAGTTAACATGTTTTTTCAAAATCTGGCAAATAAAGTTATATCATGAGAATAAAAGTTGCAAATGTTAGGACTATCTTGTAGTGGAAAGTACATATTTTACAAGTACTTAGCATCGCAGAAGGACCCTTTTGCATATAAATGTATTATATACTACGATGATTAAAACCTGGACTCTCTTCTGATTTCACCTTTAAGTTAGAAAAGTTTGAAAACTTGATACATTGAAACGCCTTTTCTCTAGTGTTCTGAGAGGAAAATAACCGTAAAAAAATTGGGGTAAAAGCATCCTTTTTTGTCCTTGCTTTTAGTGTTAATGGAGGGAGACGTCGTTACGTCACGTTGCCATGGTATAAATGAATGAATGAATGAATAGATGAAATTTATACTCGGTAGTAATTTCAATATACAAAATTGGTTTTCAAATTAGCCGTGTGAACAATTCTATGACCTAATACTATATCACAATGTTTAAAACTATCGTTAGACGGAATATTAAGTGTTTATTTAAAAATAATGATAATAAAAAAACCTAAGGCAATAAATTATCATGGTAGTCTCTCAAGTACACTTTGAACGTATTTAATGTCTCTATGTCTCTGACATGATTCGGAAGTTCATTCCATGCAATTGCCCCACGATAAGCAAAAATTCTCTTTTAATGAGTCCGTTTTAGTTTTGGGCAACTGCATGTCGAACTTACTACCTCTGATGTTGTAGTTATGCACCTCAGAGGTCAATCGAAAAAGCTCAGTGAAGCACTTAGGTACAGCCGCATCATAAACTTTATACATCATAATATTCATTTGTATTTTCCACTTATCACGCAGCGTTGGCCAACATAGCTCTTTTAGAATATCATACGATCTTACTGAATAGTTGCCCTTTGTAACAAAATTTGGTAGCCGCAAAATTTCTGGATAACAATAAACCGAAAATTCACTTAAACGTGAATTCACACTGACTGTTTGTCATTTTTGGGGAAATTTTCTGGGGTTGAATCCAAAAGGAACGTATCTAAGTTTAGAAAAAAAAGAAAGAAAATATTTGTGTTGTGTTCACCTACTCAACGAAGAGGTCGCGTGAAATTAGGAAGTTTCATATTGTCCTAGCCGTGATGCACGTGAAAACATTGTTGTTTTCCTAGTACAAACCTATTGCTTTTTGTTGATCTCGTTGCCGTCGCCGTCGTCCTTGCTTACGATCCCTATTGTTGTGAATCAGAAATTTTGCTACCATAGTAACGTGACGTCACTCTTCTCCTCTCTGTTGATTAAACCTAAAGACGGGGAACACCGCTCCCTTTCGTCGTTTTGCGAGGCTTTGCGTACAAGTACTCGATTTTGTTTTACATTTCCTGGGGTTTCTTTAGTTTTCCGGTGAGTTTCAGTTAAGTGTACTCTATATGATGTTCTTGTATAAATATTGTTAGAGTCGGATGAAAATATCTGAAAAGTTGTCAAAATCGTGCTTGTTCCTACTCCGACTGCATATCGGGATTCGGGATTTTCAAGCAAAATCGGGGCAATCCCGACCAGATCGAGATGATGGTATGAACCACTTTGCAAGCTGGATATAAGTTCGGTTTCAAAAAAGGCTCCGCCAAACTCTCTCTTAACATTTGTTGAGAGAATGGGCAGAAAACAAAATCTCAACTGATAAATACAAAACATGTCATCACAGAGAATTGAGACGCACCACACTTGAGTGCATGTTGTTCAAATGACAGAGCGGGTTAGACGGCCCTAACATTTCGTGAACGAATGATCCAACAAACCGCCATGAAAGATAAACATGAGCAAACGACAAATTATGGTCCAAAAATTTGGGCTCCACTTGACATGGGATTTACAAGCAGGTATCGTGTTAGACCATCAAGCGAACTGTGACAGTTTTTTAAACGGAATTGGCCAGAATGAATTTATGCTACAGACTGACTAGAGCGACGCTTCTCTTTATTTATTTATATATTTATTAACCTAGATTGGCCAGTTCTGGTCAGGATAAGTTTCCGGGGAAGGAATTCCTCTATGAAAGGGCGGGGAGGCTTGCCACATCCCTTTTAGGGTTGTGAAATGCAGATCTTTGTACGTTCCTTCATAGAACAAAACACCAATATGCCAGTTTTAAAAACACGGGTATCGCTTAAGGCTCTGCATCATCCCCGTCACTTTTATATCGTAGTCTTCCTCCCCCCCACGGAAAGAGGGGTTTTGAGTAGCATATCTTCATCACCAATAGTCTGTTAAAGTATATGAATGGTAATCAAGACATGATAAAGACCTCCAGTGACGATAATTTACTTCTGAGGGATAACTCTAATTGTTATTCCCTAATCCGTAAATTATCTGTTCGAAGGAGGCTTAAAAAACCCACGGCTGCTCGAAAAGAGTTAGCCTGTTCCAGGCTCCGAGATGGTGGCGAAATTCGTTCAGTGAAAAAAAAAAATGCAAAAAAAGAGAGGGGGCGGGGGAGGGACAGGGCGCCACCCCCCTTTTCTTATTTTCGCTTTGCTCGTTTTAATACGTCCCCACTATACTATCTGAGAGCCTGGAACGGGCTAGAAAAGAGTAAGAGAGGTAGACTCCAATAAAGTGGTTTGCTTCTTACTGGGGAGGGGTCATTCAAGGGCCCGCACAGTAGATGCTCCTTGTTCTTGCGGTTACCTGGTTTATACCCTGTCAATGAAGGGTGAATCTAGTAAAATAAGAAACAAAATGAATATAATATTTCTCTGTCTGACTGGCTTAAATTCCATATCCAGGGTATTCTATTCTTCGCGCCGCTTTGACTCAGTAGTATAAAAATTACCATTTCTTTCCCAAACAGGGTTGATTCCTCCTAAGAAACCTTGACTATTACACCCTGATAAGGATCAGGTGTAACTCTCTGAGCAAATTATGGCCGGATTCATCTTTGTCTACATCTGGAACCGATCCAGAGTTTGAGAGAACCAGAGGGCCCGTTTCTCGAAAGGTCCCGTAATGGACCAGAACGCAAAACCTGTTGAGTAGTAGCACAGTTGATAGCCCACAAACTAGTCAATTTTGCTTCGTCAACTCAAAGTTCAGGGGCACCCAACGACAATTTTCGGAAAATATCTGTTCGGAAGACGATTTGAGATCTAGAATTTTCGGAACATTTGTTGTAAAATTTCTTGCTTGCGTGCTTCTCCTAGGATTTTCGATAATCTAAAATATGGTATAATTTCCCATTTTTGACGGATTTTTACCCTAAAAAGATCACCTAGAATTTGCTGGAGCCTTTTTTCTGGCTGGAATTTTCGAAAAGGTAAGTTTTTGATCCCTATAATTTTCGGATCACTAGACTTTCAGCTAGGAAATCCGAACAGATGAAAAATTTTTTGTGGATAAAAATATGCCTATATCTACCGTTCAAATACTGAAATACGTTTAACAATGCTATGTTTAAGTAGTTTTGAACTATATTCTCGTTGGGTGCCCCTGAAAGTTTTATAGTATCATTTTCAAAATTAGTTGAAACTTTGATCTTCAATGCAAACACGGCAAACATAAAGCTTTTCGGGCCCGAAAAGTTATCGGGTCTTTTTAGAAACAGACCCCAGCTATGTAACGCTTACTTAAATTGGAGTATTTACGTCAATCGTCCACAACAGATCTTGGATAACCGAGTCAATAAGAACACTGGTGGGGCGAAATTTACTTTACTTAGCAAGCTACGAACATGAAGTAAACTGAATTTAGACACTAAAATAGCATTTGCAGTAATTTGATTTTATTACCGGATATTTCTTTGGCTTCTAACAAGTTATTTAAACATGCACGTTCTAGCCATCCTTAATTTGTAATCAGTGCAGTTCTAGTGCAGCTACTAAACAGTTTCATTGTAGAGCAGTATCTTTTGTTTGTAAGAAGCATCATAATGGGGATATATTTTTGCGCCGGTTTTTTTAAAAAATACAGTCCTTGAATATCTCTTTCCTTAACTTGCAATGGTAACTTGCAAATACATGTGCAGTTCATTTGCTAAATTTTAGTTTACGAGTCCCAAATAACCGAGCTCGGGGGCCAATTCTCAAACCGTAGTCGAAGACGATCTGTTTTGTCGGTCGACTAAGTTGCGCGACTAAACTGACAAGCTGCACACGATGCTTCAGTTTCGAGCAGCTACACTTTCTGATTGGCTTAAAGTTCCCACACTTACTTCTACACCAATCAGAATTATATTAAGAAACAAAAACAATGGTGACCTGTTGGCACTATTTTCCCGCACTTGCAAGCAACTTCCGTGTTTGTTTCGAATTCTGATTGGTTCCTGTGACTCTACTGAGATTGACAGATGCTTTGTCCAATAGCTTCCAATCCACTGATGACCACTATTTTAATGCGGCTTGTAACCTTTCCTAACTGTAACAAAGTTTCCAATAACATCTAAATCTCTCAAAAATTTGTATTAAAAAAATTACCTCTACCACAAGGCAACAATTTTTTGTCTCATCCAACGAGGTAACGAAATGTTGCTGCAATTGAAAGTGTGCTGGCGGTCTGTTAATTTTTTCGCTGTATTAAAAGTTTTGTTAAACACTGGCTAAACTACTAGTACTTGGCCCTAAGTTTTTTCTTCATTCCACGCCACTTTTTTCACGGTTACCGTTAACCTTTGTTACTGATTTTTTAAAAAATTGTTCATTAAGCCGTACGCTAAGCGTTCTTCTTGTTCAACCCGTCTTTGGTCTTCTGGCAAAAACAAAAATTAAGCGAACTCACCGGTCTGTGCTAAAGCAAGCACCGACATGTTCAATCATATATTATTCTCTACTTAGCTTACCATACTAGTTTTACTAGTTTTTACCGTTTAAATTCAATTTTCCTGAACCCAAAGTATTCAGCTTTTTTTCCAGTTTCTTGTATACACCAATTGCAAAACGCACGTCACTGTAATTTTTCAGTCCCGACCGCTCATCGATAGACGAGACCGTTTTCCCGACCTGTAAGCATTGTGTTCCGCTTTTGCCGCATGCTCCATTCATTAAAACAACAAGCTATACCTGTCCAAAAAAATACTCTGTAATCACGTTCATGAAGCTCTCATTTTTGGCCAGTCGTAAACGTCATGAAGCGTTAAAGCTGAGAACAACATTCATTAATTCCACACTCCCTTTTGCTTGCCTTCTACGCCGCCTTGCTTGACTCGTTGTTCGTGTTCACTGACAGTTGTTTCCATAAACAGTTGACTCTTCAATAAAGGTTTTTTTCCGTAACTCTGTGGTTTTTTAGGCTCCTTTCGCGGTATCAAAATTCAGCTAGACAGCTAGGCCAAAAGGACATGGTAAAAACAATTCACCTTTATTTGCCAATGACTTTTTCCTTGGACTGTAGCAGACTTTACTGCGAAGTCCACGCCCTGAACAAGTCATGATGGTAGTCAGAGTACGAATTAAAATGAATGAACCGTTCTTTTTTGCAACCTTTCTGTATTTTCATCCATTCATGCTGCGCTGTGCCCAGGTTGGTCCTTCAAGTTCTCAATTTGTATTTCATTTCATTGTAGTGCAATGCAAAGCATTGCTTTGTATTGCAATGGATTGTACTGTACTGCAATACATTGCATTTTATTCCATTGCACTGCACTGCATTGCATTGAATAGGCCATTTCTGAGTTCCAAAATCTATCACTTTCAAAACGAGGCTAAATGCAAAACTAATGTTGTGAAAATGAGTTTTATTTACATAAGAATAAAAAATCATTTTCACATCAATGGCTTCGCACTTAGCCTCCCTTTGAAACAGAGGCTTGAGGCAACTGGGGAATGCCCTATTGTACTGTACAAACGGGTCAGTATTGCAAGTGTCCTAATTACGACTTTAATGATCAACATGCCAGAACCCCCAAATTTAAGGATTCATCTATTTTGGAGGTGGTCCTTGAGAGGACATGACGGATCTGGTAGAACCTACAGACCATGATACTGAGGCGAATTAGGTGTGTTTGTCCTTGCTGTCCAGCTGAATTTTAACGAAAACGAACCTGTGAGGATTTGCTTGCGGTTCGCACATGCGTTGTAACACAAGGCTTCCGCGCATGCGCTTCCTTTACAAGATAGTCTCAGATGGGGAATGGCCAGGGTGATGTTTCCTTCGAGATTTTGGAGTCGTTGGCTTAGAACCTCCGCCACTAGAGAAGCTTAATTCATCCGCTTCTATTATAGTGTCATGTCCAATTTTCATGGCACCGTTTGCATTTCGATGCCCCGTCAAAGAGGTCGAGTGAATACCATGAGGTACATCCAGCTTTCCCTGATGCACGTTCAGAGGCGAACCGATTTCGTTCACCTCCTTAGCCGCTTTTCGTTCCATCATGGGTGATTTAAGCACAAGGTTTTCGAGGTTCTGATACGTGACTGCGCTTGCATTCTTAGCATCCTGCCTTTTACTTAATTCCAGTTTGTAGTAATATTCAAAGTTGGAGACGATGACGGGCACAGGGAGAGCAATGGCGAGCACGCCAGATATGGCGCACAGGGTTCCCACTAATTTACCTGAAAATATAGTGCAGTTTGTAAGTCGCAACAGAATAAAACAAAGATCCACGCTCTCCAGAAGACGGTTACTTCTAATAGAAAGTTAACTTTGCATGGTTCATCATTATGCAGGAAAGTGTCGGAACAGCTTGGTTACCTGTAATTTTATTCAGTTTCAGTTTTTATTAGCCTTGGCTGAAATCAATTTTTCTCAACCGTGAAAAATTCTAATTTGTATTAGAAGGGATAACCCTCGTTGGCAGCCTTTCGTAGTGGGTTATGTGGTGTGTGGGGTGGGGGAAGTAGGTTTTTAATGACATAATCAGTAGTAGCCTGTGAACAAGCTCTCTGGGAGTTCTGCCCCACCCCCCCTCCCCCCCCGAAAACTTGCTCGCAGGCTAATTCAGTCAAGCCCAGTTAAGTGAACACAACGAGGGGGGTGAAAGGTTTTAGTCTTAGTCTCTACTGTCATGTTTGTCATGTTGTTTCCTAGTAAAAAGCTTCGCCCAACACACTCCCCCCTCTCTCTATTTAGGTGTGAAATGGGTGCCGGAAAAGAGGGCTGTGGGAGCACTTTTTTATCCTTCATACTAATAAACGCAGGACTCCCGATTTTCACGGAGCAGGAGCCCAAGAATGGGCTTCTAGGGGCTCTTAGCGAAAATAAGCCTTAGCTGGTGGGTTCACTGGAACGTTCCTCCACTCTCTAACAACTTACTCAACTTACCCACGGTAGTGATTGGTGAAACGTCACCATACCCAACGGTTGTCATAGTAACGACGGCCCACCAGAACGCTGCCGGTATGCTTTCGAACTTCGGATTCGTTGCCTCCTCGGCGTAATACGCACCGCTCGCGAACAGCACGACGCCAATGACTAAGAACAACATCAACATGATGAGCTCATTAATGCTCGCGTACAGCGTGTTACCCAAGATATGCAAGCCTTTGGAGTGACGTGTCAGTTTGAAGATCCGACAGACACGTATCACCCTCATGACACGGAGAATACCGATGCTCCCCGCAGATTCCTTGGCCACACTGAGTGTGACGTAAAACGGAAGAATTGAAAGAAGGTCCAGGATGTTTAGAACCCCTTTGAGGAATTTAATCTTGTTCGGAGAAGCTATTAAACGAATCACGTATTCGAAAGTGAACCACGAGCTGCAGACTGCGTTCAGTATGAAAAACACGTGGAAAGAATCCTCCAAGACCGGCAACGTCTCAATGCAGAATATTATGATGGAAAGCAAGATAATCGCTAACGAGAAAATAGCAAGGCACTTTGCAGAAAAAGACGAACTCGGGAACTCGAACAACAGCCAAATCTTCCGCAAGGTTTTATTCTTAGGAAGTTCCTCGGCCTCCCCTTCCCCCTCCTCATCCTCGCCATTTTCTTCTTCTTCGGCGAGAGCAGCTTCTTCGTTTTGCTTTTGTATTTCATCGGTTAACTGAAAGAAATTCAGTTCCTCGACGAAAATATTCATGGGGACGTGAAGAGGCCGCTCTATCAATCCCCCAGATTGGTAATAATACAGAATAGCAGTGAAGGCACCGCGATGACGATCGAAAAAGTACTCGTTCTTCTTCTCATCAAAGTATCTTTTGCGTTTTTCAGGATTTCCAAGTAGGGTGTTGGGAAACTGGTTCAGCGTATTCTCATACGTTTCGTATTTTTTGCCGCCAATGTTGATGGTGATCGGCGTTGATAACTTGTCCACGGCGACCGGCACTGAGTTGGCAATCGACCAATCACGCGACGAGGTGCGAGAACGCCGATAACTGAGAGTCACTGCAGCTGCTACGGCCATTGCCATAAATATAAGACTTCACAGGCTCCGAGGCCAGAAAATATTGTCAAACTCTCCTTTTACAAACGTTGCTTTTCTTGCTCGATATGCTGAATGTCAAACTTTCTTTTCCGCGTACGTTTTTGACTCCAAATGCGTGGTAACAATTAACCCATAGTTATTTCAAACGCCACTGTTTCTTTGCATTAAAACTGATCACATTTCCACCCACATCCAAATGCTATATAATCCCAAAATGAGTCTCTTTAAGTCTTTCTTTGATTGCAGCGACAAGGAAAACTTCTAAATTATTAACGCACGCAGCAAGAAGCTTTTATAATTTTTAAAATCGACAATTCCCTTTTATGCTTGATTTTTCAGATGGTTTTCACATGCTACCAGAATTTGTGAGCGAAAACTTAAAATCACGAGGGCAAAATTTTGTGCGAAGTTTTCACCTTTTAGGGCCAAAGCCGTTCCATGGAGGACCATTGAGCAACGAGTCAGCCTATAGTTAAATTCTTGTTTTAACTATCAATTCATGCCACGTTGGTTGCGTGGATCAGAGAAGGCTTTGGGAATCCTGCTTCTAAGCCTTTGAACGGTTCTTTAATTCTTCAAGACGACTCTAGAAAATTAAAATCAGCATTAGTTGGTTCACAGTCCATCTAATTTAGTACGGCTTTCACATCGTGTCGAACTACAATTGAAATTGAACCAGATTGGTCCGAACATATTTTTTCTTTCTTATAAAGATGTCTTATTGCAGATGGTTTTCTGGCACTCTCAGTACGTGGCTATACGTTAGTTATTGCCTTTCTTTTTGTCACACCTTCAGGGTTCCAGATGATTTTTGTCAACAGCGCAATTACACCTATATTGCCATCAACCGAAACCGCCCTTAAGGAAAATACGTCAAATTAGTTTTATAAAGCGCGTTTAAATCATTCGAGAAAAAGAAAACTATTATTTGTTTTTAAACACTTACTTTCGTGACAAGCTTGTTGACCACTTAGTCCCTGCATATTGTGGGTTGTCGACTCCATTTGCCTTAGCTGTGATTAAACTGGCCTTACTAGTAAATGTGAACAATTGTGCGTAAAAGCAGGTAATTCAAAAGTCGGGTCTTTGCCTTAAAAGGCTAAGACGTAAACAAATTAAAAAGACTCTCTGTACAATAATATTCATTTTTAAACATCTTATTTTCGTTCGGAATCGAGTTGTTTTGAATTGATTACCCACTATGACGCATGTACGATTCCTTGCAAGATTTTCAATCCTCTTTTCTACTGCTCGAGACACTCCGCCGCAAAACTTAATTTCCCCAGAACTATGACACGTAAGAACTTCCAGCTTTCACAAACTGCAGACAAAAAACTTCAGACTATTTCGAACTTCAGCCTCTAAACTAATGATCTGGCGTAATTTGGATCTCTCCAGCAAATCCGTGCTAACATCTTTTGACTTCTTTTATTGATTGGGACAGGTGTTTAGCAAACGTAATGATTAAAAGACAAATATTTAATGGCTTTGCCAATTTTGGCGCCAGCTTTGGGGAGTTGTGGCTTACTGTCAACAGCACCGCAAAAATTCAGGCGCAACGATACTCCTTCTGATGAAAAGTTTGAAATAATTTTTTCAATAAATCGGATTGCAATGACACTTTCGATATTAATTCTAGTTAATTCTAAGCTTAACTGAATGGTTGGTTATAATAACAGATAAACGCGGCCCGAAGGGTGTTAATTGCAGTCTAAACTTATTCCTCCCTCGGAAAATAGCTAAGTATAGCCGAAAAAACAAAACCTTTCTCCTTAACCAGACAGATTTAAAGCGAAAAAAACCCTTTAACTCTTTTGACCCTCAAGTGAAGCTTTTTGCATAGTGTACCCCTGCCAGGAGCTTTTTAGTCCGTGGACATGGAAAAAAATATTCAGCCCGCTCTATACCTTTGTTGCAACCGTTCAATAAACTCAAGAGAGAATGATAACGTACATTTAACTTTAAAAAAACCTAGGATCGTCTTTTAATAGAGCTTTGTCACGAGAATATTGCTGTCTTTTCAATTCTGAGAAAATAGAGCCTTCATGGTGACATTTGCAGGTAGAGCATTAAAACCTGAAAAATTGAGTTTCAATCCACGTCCATCCTTGTCATCCGTTGCAACAGACGACAGGAAACAGTTTCTACGCCTAAATATAGCCTTAAATAACAATTCAATTCAATTCAATTCAATTAATGCGAGTACAAGTTTTAGCTTTTTAAAAGACAGCAAATAGCACGACTTAGCCACTTCAAGTATGAGAATAGAAGAAGTACAAAAAACTTATTCTGAAGTTGCTTTCATTATAACGGTCACTCTTTTAAATTTCTCCTCTGGATCACCTCATTTAAATCAATAAAACAGGTTCTTGCATGTCGTCTAAATTTTGTCTCAGAAAGCGGGGTTTTTGGAAGAAATTTCTCCAAAAAAGATATGTCAAAATAAAAACACTATTTTGTTCCTCATGACGAAAAATGTTACCAAAAAATGTAGAATGGACCAGGAAAAGTTGGTTTTTTTTGGTATGGATGTTTTCAGTCAAAATTTACATACCCTCAAATCTTGACCAGCGAAAAAAAGGTGACATAAACGAAATGATTATAAATAATAATGGTACTTGGAAACTAAGTGCAATAGGAAGACATGAGTGTCCTTACAATAATCTCTTCAAGCACACCAATTAAACAACCGTTTCGATTCACTGAAATGATTTCAAAATCTCACTGTTTCTTTCCATATATTTTGCTAACTGCTACTAGAATGGGGTAAAGGTAGTGAAGGTGTAACCGGCTACTTCACTCGAGCAGAGCTTAAATTAAGCTTACATAAAGTGAAAACTCGTGACGAAGAACCTGGTTTTTAAGAACCTGTTAGGCTGAAATTAACTGGCCAGTTAGGCCCCCTCTATACAACGACCTTTTTTAACCTAAAATTTGAAACAGGTTCTTATTTTCTAAAATCTCTCAAACAAAAATTCTGTACACTTGGGCAAATAAGATAAGTCAACATTCAGAATCCTCTTTGGGGATATAGATGTCTTATCACTCCAACTGCAATGTAATGGTATGCAGATTTTATCTACGGAATAAGCTGATTATGCCACTAAATACTCTTAGTTTCAATGCATTTTTTTCTTCAGAAAGTAAGAACCTAGTTAAGAACATACATAGCCAAAGTTAATTACCACTCAGGTAGGAACCTGTTTAGGCTAACTTGGGAAAATGTAGGTTCTTAGTCACGGGTTTTCACTGTACGGGTAGACACCGCTACATCAACACCAGATCTTAAGACGCTGAAAAGCGAGCGGATTTTCAAGCAATCACGTACTCCTATCAAACCGATAATGAACAGGCCCAGTTGTTTGAAGGCCGATTAGCCCTAACCTGAGGTTAAATCATTAATCCAAGTTTCCTTTTCATTTATTCCACAGATTGTTCTAGGATAATTCTTTCTATTCTTTTAAGATCATCGAATCGTCATGTTGTAGATAAAAAGAATTAAACTGAATTTCCTTTTCAAGTTTTAATATCTGCATGAATTCAAATCTCTCCGCACTTAACCTGGGTTATCTTAACCCTGCTTTGAACAACCCAGCCCGGGCCGGCCCTGGCCTGCGCGCACCATCGAGACCTAGTCTGATAAGGGCTATTTTCGGGATTTCTGGAGTCAGTTTAATAAAACTTTTAGAGGTGTTATTTACAAGTGTAGCCAATGATTTAGACTCTGGAAACAATAGCTACACTTGTAAAAGTTTTATTAAGTTTGACCCCTGTGCACTGATAACAGTTCCCCATTTATCCGTGTGATCATCAAAGTCCATCACCGAGTTCTAGGTCCCGCTCTCTTGCTTTCTTGTGGTGGTCCAAAACTAAGAGACGTGCCGTTCCGTACCATACCGTGGGGAGGTAGATGAAAGGTGATATGTTCAGGGGTGGGGGAGGGAAAATAGTTTTCTGTCACCCCGCGGGCAATAGCGCACCCCCCTAAATGTCGATCAAGCAATATGGCAGCGTTTAGAGCTCAGCAATCGCTCGTCACACAGAAAAATCGGGGACTATGATGGACCGGGGTATTCGGGTACCTTTCCTCTTATGACCTTGCGGGCCCTCGAAAGTTCCAGTAACTTTTCGGGTCCGAAATCAAATATTCAGATCAGAACCTAAAGAATAAGGGCGCGGGTCCTAGCTGTAGTCCATTTTGTTTTGTTAACTGATAGTTTTATCATGTTATCTGCAAAACTATCCTGAATGTAAACAACAACAGCTTTTCGGTCCCACTTAATTATTGAGATTTTCGAGAAACGGGCCCCGGGTTGCTAGAGTAAAACATGTTCAAATAAGAATGCGTTTCCAATGAAAGAATCATGATCTGTTGGAACTGTACACATTAGAGACGTTAAGATACACCGTTCCAAATCAGTCACCCGTACAAGTACTCATATGATATAAAGCTATTTTGAGATAGATTGTCGGAAAAAATGTGCACGCGATAATCCCGAAGGGTAATATGGGATATGATCAATACACTGTTCCTGACACTGTAGCTGTCGAACCTACTTTTGCTGCTTTTCTGTGCACTCGCAAACATATCTCCATGGCCTCTGGAGCCATTATTTTAAATTTCTTTGAACAAAAGTGAACTTAAAACCATTCACAGTAACTCTCGGTATTGTCGCGTGCACTTTTTCCGACCTTTCTCGAAAATAGCTGTATACGGGTAGATCCCCTTTAACCACTGAGAAACGACAAGGTTACCGGGTAGAATGAAGCTGTTGCAACGGATAGCAAGGATGAACATAGATTGAAACTTGAAAACATGTGTCAGCTTTTTCAAGTTTTAATATTATGCCTGCAAAAATCGCCAGAAATATTATTATGGCTTGTGCTACCGGATGAAATTTGTTTGATATCTTTAAAGACACTGAGTAATGACTTCATAGGACTTCAGCACATAAATGGTCTATAAATCAGCAATTTCCTCGACACTTAGCTCCTTCAAGGTTTCTTATTTCATCCTATTTACTGAGCTGAAATTTCTGTCATGAAAAGAAGACAACAACCAGGGTCCGGTTGATCGCACACCGTAATTTTTAGGGAGTTATTATAACTCCAAAAATGGAGTAAAAATTTTAGGTACAGGATAAACCCTTTTTGGGGGTTATTTTAACTCCTAATTTAACTCCGAATTTTGGGTCATTTTTACTCCTGAAAAAGAGTTCTTTTTACTCCCAGTCTGGAGTTAAAATAACTCCGAAATGGGGTTACTTTTACTCTTTTTGGAGTTAATTTAACTCTGAAAGTGGAGTAAAAATTTTAAGTACAGGATAACTCCTCAATATCTGGGGTCACTTTTACTCCTGAAAAAGAGTTCTTTAAACTCCTTTTTGGAGTTAAAATAACTCCCCAAAAAATAACTCCACTGTAAGGAGTTAAATTAGCCCCACTAGAAAATTACTGTGCAGGATCATATGAAGAGACTCTTAAAAGAAAGAGCTACATATAATGGATTGAATCGCCCTCTTTTTATTTTTAATCTAAAGACAACAATGATTTCAAGTAACCTTAGGATATAGTAGGTACCCTTCCAAAACAAAATAGATATAAGAAAACGTTTCATTAAAACTCAAAGACAATTGTCTTTTCGTCGGCGATTTCGAATTGTGGATGATCCATTTTTCGTAAATTTCTGCTTCTCCATTATAACGCAGTAAACTCATAGCCCGGCGTTTTAAATTTTAATTTCCAAATTTTTGAAAATAGAAAGACGTCACTTCCAAAGTCATTATTATTTTATGTTACTGTTTTATAAATGTTTGAAAATCTAGCTTGCTACAATTTCAACGCTTCAAGGAATCACTGAAAATCATGTCTTCTTTTTTTAAGTTCTTGCTTAGACTGCTTAAAACAGTCTCTCTCGGCCCATTTTGCGTAGTTCCTTAAATTGCGGCATATAAACGTTCTTCTGTTTTGATGCTTACGAAATAATCAAAAAGGTCACTGGCCACATTATTAACTGCTTTGATTCTGCTTATTTGAATGCTTTCTAACTTTAGCCAACCAATAATTTGGTCTCACCGAAAATAAATTAAACAATCAACACTCAAAACAAAAACGAAGAACGTTGCTAGGTGAAAATTGCTCAAAGAGAGCAAATTCTCCTTCAAATAAATGAAATATAAATCACATTCCCAGTTTTCTTTAAAATGCGTCGACTTTTAGATGTATTGAATGTTTTCTCCGACTGTTAAGGTGTTCCGCGTGGTTTGAAAAAAGTAGATCTCGATTAATATAGTTTATCGTCACCTTGTGCAAGTTTTTTGCAATCGGAGCAACAAATTAACGAAACAAAAGTGTATCGCCTTCTTTCAAACAAAATTTTCTCTTTTAATATCCGCAAAAGCCAGGAAAAGAGGAAGTTTAGAAGTTTTTTTATTGAGTTTCACCTGAAAAGTTTGTTTTATTCATTTGCAATTATTCCTTGCAATATGAAATTTTAAAGAAATTCTCTTTTAGCTTCAAGGATCAATGATACGAAACAGTATACATATTTGCGGCAATTTTAACCTGAAAAGTAACACTGCATAAATTATTAGAAAAGTCATTTCACACATCTGTTTTTTTTTTCTTGGTATATTTCCGCCGGTACAGAGTTTTCTGGTATCCCGAGTCTTCGATTTTTGGAGCTATTCAACTGAATACAAGTCTACTGCACTTTACAACACTTAATGATGTAAAACGTCTGACGGCAATATCACTAAAATACCCTTTTCGAAAATTTTTGTTTTGTAGTTGTAAGTAAATCCCAGTGGCTAAATCATTTATCTGTCGATGGAAATGTACAGAATCACTGCTCCGCGGAAAGAGTCGCAAGTCTCACCATAAAAAAAAAAAAAAAATTACTGAAAAGGTGTTGTTAGTATTACCCGTGTAGTACTGCTCGTTTGATGATATTTTGAAATGCATAGCTTTGGGGTTTCTTAAAATTGTGACTTTGCAACATTCGTTTAAAGACGGAAAATGTTTTAGAAATAAGAGTCATAGAGTCATAGCCTCTAAAAGTAAGCAAAATGCGCTATTTCTACCTGTTGGTGAAGTCTTCACGCATTCTGATTTCTCCAGGGTGAATCAGATCGCACGGTCGGTAAAAAGAAGTCTGAAGCGAGAATAAACAGCGACAGTCGACCTTTTTGAATAGCAAATTAAAATTTAAAGCAACTCTTCTTTCCACGGCAGCTGGTAATGGAATACTTGCCAACTATTAACAGAAGGAGTCCGCAATAGCCACCGCAGTATACAATGTAGGTAGAAGCTGATAACGAAAAAAATAGCCCATTCGCCTCATTAATATTTCAGCGTGATTCAAGCTTAAATGAAAGCGACTTTCCCTTCTTATGATAAAACAATGCCGAGAAAAACGCTCCCAGGAGAAATTTGTTCACGTTTCGACTTGCATGTAACTGTTTCGGCTGGTATTATGTTTCAGTGTTTGCTCTAAACTAGCAAATTAAACGTGCCCTTCATGAGCAAATTCGTTTTAGAGTGAAATATAAACAATCAAAACTACAGCTGTTTTTTGAGCTAAATATTTTTGCTTTCAAACGCTCAAAAAGCTCTTCATTTAAAAAAGCATCCAATTGCCGTTTAATTGTTCGTTGTCCTTGTTTACCCTCAAACGTTTTAACGCGTTTATAATCGTTCGTGTTTTAAGAGCAAAAACTCCTCCACTCCGCAGTGAGCTTTACTCTTAAAGCTTCGCTTTTAAGTGATAAGAGATTTTGGCTGAATATGAATATGAAATCAAATGATTTTAATTTGCCTTTGATCCAGATTCACTTTCTGGTCAGCCAAAACTAGAGGATTTCTTTGAAATTTAAGGGTTCCCACTGTACATAAATGACTGTCTTCTTTAAAAGATGAAAGACGTAACGAAATTCCTTTTCCCTTGTCAAGTATCATACGAGGCAAAATTGCTAGAACAAAATGCAGGTTTCCTTACGTGGCCACGGAATTAAGTACATATTAATGGATTTACTGGTTCTGTTTTGTCTGCAGCCTCTTTTGATAAAATTGGAGCCTTGGAAAACACCGAGAGGAATAGTTTTCAGCTGATATTTCTCAGTTATCAGTCTATTAAAATCAAATTATTCTGTTTTCTTCAGTCAAATTTTCTCAATTTACACGTGAATAGAGGAAAACCATGGCTAGTCTTTCAAAGCTTCTGATCGGATAAAAAGTTACGATTTATTCAAAATTCATTTGGTGTAAGTCATTATTTTCCAAGGCTGAATGTAAATTTTCAGTTCATCGATTTGATCACTTTGCCAGACATCTTAAGGCAAAGTGATCCAATCGAAACTGATAATTTACAATGGACCTTGGAAAATAATGACTTACACAAAATGAATTTTAAATAAATCGTAACTTTTTATCCGATTAGATAATCAAAAAACACAGGAATTTAAATTTGAAACGGAAACCCAACAATTTCATTTATTGCTTTTATGGAAGGACGCCGCTTTGTAAATGATAGTTCCAACCCACGCGAGGTTGCAAGTTTTTGCAACCTAGACTGGATAAAATAGGCTAACATCAAAACGGACTATGAACACTATGATGAACGCTTACTAAATCCTTTGTGAGGCGACTTGCTCCCCGTACAGAAATACAAACAGAAGCATCGGAATCCCCCCGGGGGGCGGGGGGGGGGAGCTCACTCTCAAATGAAAATGGTGAAACTGAATTGCAGATTATGGTCCGCCTAAAGTATGCTGCAAGACAAGTTGAAGAACGATGTTGCGCGTTTTACCAACAACGAATCAAACCTGTCTTGCAACAAATCAGGTTGATGCAGGCTGCGAAAAGTTGTTGCAAAAAGTAGGGAGAGGTTTTTTCTTTTAGTGACAAAATCTGTAAATGTTGCGCATTTTACAGGCCCAACAGAAACTTGTTTTGCAACAAGTGACTTGACTACCATGTATGGCGCGACTCACGGGTAATCTCATCCAATCAGAGGACAGTATTCAATCAAAATGCAACAAGCTGATTTGTTGCAAAACAGATTTGATGTGAGTAGTCAAACGAGTAACATCGCTTTTCAACTCATTTTGCAGTAATGTTGCAAAACACTTCGCACGTTTTTGTCGCCCGTTTTTTTAATTACTGTAGCTTTGAAGTGATCAGCACGCAAAAACCAATATTTTCATCTGTACAAGTATTGCTAAGCGTTGTGTATAAAGAAATACCTATACACATTTATACAACGCAACGAATGCTACGCACACTGTGAAAAAACATCAGTGAAACACTCCCCCGCACCTCCTCGCCCACAGAGCTTATCAAACTAGCTTACGAAGCTTATCCAACTCGCCACCTAGTGACCGAAAAGATCCATTTCACTGCATGAGTTCATGCCGTCGGAAAACAAAAGAACAACAGCATAAAAACCGTATTAAAACAAATATTCATGCTCGTTTATTTCAAATTTCATTTGAAATTATACTACATGTTTTACAAACAGCGGCACTAGTTTCACTTAGCTCGGTGAACAATCAACACGGTCACCGCAGACATACACTTCAAAGTAGGGAGAATTGCTTGGGACAAGGTGCCCCCGCCCGGGGGGTACTCAACAAATGTTTATACGGGGAGGCTCCGCCCCGAGGCCCAACCCCTTACCCTTTTATAGACCATTTTTCATCCCTTTCCCAAACCTTGTTTAGAACTTTGCTGTAAATGCTCTGTCTTTTAAATAGGAATCAATCACAAAATATAATGTTTCCTCGACTTTATAAATCCATAAAAACCATCTGTTAGCCTTTTTGGGCCCTTTCACAGTAACAAACGACAGATTTCCCTACCCTTTCGTATACTTCAAGCTTGAAAAAGATACCCCTTTCGGGACGGAGCCTCCCTGCATAGGCCATCATAGGGAGTACCCCCGGCAGGAGCCTGGGGTAATAGACTCCTGTTGGGCCCTTCATTTCTTCCTGATGCATAATCGACCACACCGTAATTAAAGTTAGTCCACTCGTTAAGTTCAATGCCATCTTGAGTCCGTTTGAGGATATGTCAGGGGGGCGGGGGATGTGTCTACACAACTATACCGTATGGCTCTCGCGTCGGCACGAAAAGCATACTGGATAGGGCTTCTGTTCACACACAAGAACTGGGTGATTTTGGCGCGATTTCTGTAACGGAACAAAGTTGCGCGCGCCGCGCCGATCTCGAAAGTGGAGCGTTACACTTCGGATAGGTTTTGTGCCACAGATAAGTTTTGTGCCATCGTGCGGGCCTGGGCAAAACCGAACAGGATTTAGGTCTATGATTATTGAACAAATCACTCTTTCTGTCTGTAGAACTTCTACTTTACAAAAATAAAATGTTATTTTACATCACGTTTTAAATTAAGTATGCTGTATTTTTCATATCAAGCTTAACAGCAGTCTGGTTCTTTAAATAGTCTTACTTTGCGACTAGTCTTACTAACGCCATGAGGAGGTGATGCATGTTATTGTACGTATTTTTCAAACGCAATTATTTCAACAGCTTTCGTTGCATGGTTTCTTTTCGCTTCGCGACTTATTCTTTCTTATTTGTCGATAAACACGCTGAACAACCGAAGACTCCGCCTTACTCGACCCAGTCTCTTGGATTTCGTAGAACCTCCAGAATTTCCTCTTCTTTGCTCCCGCTCTCGGGTGCATGCATGTATTCCCAACGGGCCTCCAACGGCAGGGACATCAAGATGCTTTCTATGCGAGCCCCAGGGGTATAGAGTCCAAATTTCGTACCTCGGTCATACACAAGGTTGAATTCTACGTATCTGCGAAAAGAAAATGCAATAATATGGGATATGAAGGCGAGAATGCTATGAACAATGAGCTACGCAGAAGCTGAAAGCTGGGGCGGATAACATCCTCCGAGACGAATTCAAATTATTCATTCAACAGATTTCCAACATCATAACATCCTTACCTCAGAAAAACTCTTGAAAACATCTGAAATTCATCAGCGGTTTTAAAATATGAACGGACAATTTTTTTCCTTGTAGATGTTCTCCAAAGAGCAGTGAAAAACCTTCAAGTGGCTATTAGTGGTTCCCTGTAGAGACTGTAGCCTTTTACAGTCAGCATTTCTTTATAGCTTAGTCCTTAAAATACGGGGGGTGACAACTCTAACAAAGGCTGTTTGGGCAGTCCTATGAATAACTTTATGTCCTCCCGAATTTTTCGGTGGCATTCCCCATAAATGTTTAACTTCCCAAAATTGTTTTAACAATTAAAATTAACATTTTGATTAGAGATTTTTTGCAGCTTCTTGTTAATTATGTAACTTGTTAATTATCTAACATTAGTTATTTTTTCGTTTAGAGGGTATCATGTTAACACAGAAAGAAGGTCAAACTTTTGAAGTATATAAAGGCGAGCAGTAAAGGGGCCAACCACTAGGGGGGTCTGGGGGCATGCTCCCCCAGAAAATTATGAAATCTTGGTGCTCTGAAACGCCATTTCTAGCGTTCTGAGAGGACAAATTCTGTCCAAAATGTTCTCTAAATCAATTGTCCTTTTTATGCTTATTTTTATTGGCGTGAATTCGCGTAGAAGTAGTCAATTTTATTTTATACAAGTTGTGCGGTTTTTGAAATTGCTCTGGATATCACTTTCAACTAAGTATACTATGTGTGGTGTCATTGTATGAATTCATTTGAACATTTCAGAACAACTGTCGAAATCTGAAATTTTCCTATCCCGAACGCATATTGATCGGGATTCGGGATTTTCGAGCAAAGTCGGAAGGACCCCGACGAGATCAGGATGATTAAAGAATCTTCACAGACATACTACTTTTTATGGCCTCATTTGTGTTTAACAAGGTTAAATGAGTTTCGTTTTTTTTCTGACATACTTCTTACGTACTTCTTTCAAGTTTTCCAGTATGCAATCGGTGGAATGTGCTCTTAAAACTCGTTAATATGCAGCGTAAAAATACCCCTGAACTAATGAATGATGGGATCTGGTGTGAACTCATAGTATGTGCTTTGCACCGGTACGGTTCTTGTGTCAATCCACTGGGGATTGCACGTGGTCAATCGCACTCGAACTTCGTGCTATTTTAGTTGGAATCATTGCTGAATGGTCTTTTCATATCATGGGGAGTTCAGCCGTTTTCTAGTGTCAAAATACATAGAATACAGCGAATACACTGGCTGCATATCACTGTATATATATATTGTTTGATAACATGTAATATGAAATCTTTGCTCAATGTCCCGAAAATATCTCAAATTTCCCGAAAAAATTCCCAGGTTTCCCGATTCCCGGCAAAATCTCCAGATTCCCGGAATAAATTTGTTTTTCTCCCGAAACAGCCCTTGTTAGAGCTGTCACCCCCCGTTTAAAATCTTCCAGCCATTTTCGCGCTCTCTATAACCGACGTTGTGTCTATGATGTGCGTCGTAAAATGTCATGAGGCGAAGGCGAGAGACATGTGACCATCGCGTGCGCGAAAACCCGACTTGCTCGCAGGCTGTAGGCTGAGAAGGCGGCCGACATTTAGCGACGCCACAACTGGTTTCCCCACGAAATGACGTCTGAGAAACGAGCGCAAAAATTCCATACTGATGACGCGTCACTACCCAGATCTGGGCAGTGCTTCTGATTGACTGAAGCAAATTTCCCACGCGGCACGACCAATCAGAAACATTACCCAGGTCTGAGTAGTGATGCGTCATCAGTGTGGAATTTCTGTTGCTAACACCACATCTACGGACTCACCGGCCTCTTCTGAGTAATTGCCAGAGTCGTTCTTTGTCCGTATAAGGATCATCTTTGTGTTTTTCTACAATAGGAACATAACAGGGTAGTACAGCATTTGCACCCGCCTTGACAAACTGAAATGCGGCTTCCTGTGAAGGTGTGTCAAGATCGTCAAAAAATATGCCACCAACACCACGACGTTCACCTACAGTAAATAAGACGAGAAATTGTCTTAGCAATCTTTTTACCGAACAATTTAGGTTTCTAGGGAACTGCCCACCTACCCCTCCCCTAAGCCAACATTTTGCCCTAAGTGAGAAGTAAGTGATAATGTTGGCTTAGGGGAGGGGTAGGTGGGCAGTTTCTCAGTAACCTAAATTGATCCCTTTTTCGCTATTGTAAGCTACTGTTAAAAGCAATAGAGAAAAGAAGTGTGACGTCACAAAAATTGGGATTGGTTGGCATATTCGGAAAAAACAAGATGAAAAAGCCCCCTTGCAAAAACTCAGCCTGTTAGTGCAGATCGGTGGGGACAAATAAGCACCATTATGGTCTGATGACTCCACACAAATTCTTCTTAAACTGGCCAGGGGCCTATTTCTAGAAAATTGCGATAACTTTTCAGGCCCGGAAAGCTGTTTTGTGTTTGTCGTGTTTGCATTCAAGATCAAAGTTTCAATAACTTTGAAAATAATACAATGAAACTATCACTAAGTGAAGCAATTTTGTTGGGTTTGTGGCCTATGAAAGGGGCTACTATTCAACAGGTTTTGATTTTAAAATTTGTCTTCTGGTCCGAAAAGTTTCCGTGTCTTTCAAGAAATAGACCCAGGCCTATGTTAGAAGGATTTATATGGAGTCTTTGGAGCATAAAGGTGCTTATATCCCCCCCATCAAAACTTCTAGCATGTAAACATTTTTCATCTTGTTCTTTATGGATGTACTAAACGGCTCCATAATTTCACAAATATTGTTTTTGAGACACCACCACTTCTCTATAGATTGAACGATTTTACGTTGACGTCCGAGTTTACCAGGGGCACCCAACACTCCAATTTTTTCAAATACAGTCAAACCCCCTTAATACAAACACTGAGGGGGCCATAGAAAGTGTCCGTATTAACAGGGTGTCCCTATAAAGCACGTTGAATTTGGAATTTAAAAAGTAAGGGCTTTCTTTCCCCAGAGCCAAAGCGAACTGTCTGTAATAATATTAGGTGTCCATATTAAGCAGATGTCCATAAACTGGGGTTCGACTGTATGTCAGAAGTGTCCCAAATGGTTTTCTCTATGCTTTAGAAGTCTCTGTGGTTAATCTGGGGTTACCCGATAAACTATTTATCAGTTCAGATGTCTTAGCGGAACTTTGGTCGTCTTGAAAGGAGACGAGGCAAACCAGTTGGCTACCGAGAACAAACCCAGCTAGCGGTTAGGGCGTAGTCTCCCATGCAACCATTTTTGTCTTGTTCGTTGGGGAGGAGTATTGCGTGACAAGACTAAAACGGTTGTGAGGGACGCTAGTAAAGGTGGGGATTGAACTCAGGGAGAGTTTGTACCCTCTTGAGCTCTTCAAATTTCATGACTTTCCATGATTTTTGCCCATGAATTTTTGCAGTTTTCCATGACCCGAGGTTAAGCTGTCACTTTCGAAAAAGTTAAAACTATTCTTTTTTTCTGGTGATTTGTTAACCTAACTCAGTTCAACAGACACAAGTTCTGGCTTCTGCCAAAATGAATGAAGTTTGCTCTACTCAACTACTTGCCTCTACTTTACTTTGTCCTTGCTTTGACAAGTGCAGTGACTAAAATCTACCAAACATAACTTAAATTTTCCATGACTTTCCATGACTGACAATTATTAAATTCCACGACTTTCCAGGCATGGAAAATGAAAATCTTAAATTTCATGACTTTCTAGGTTTTACCTCCATTTTATAGTAAAGTCTGTGAAGCAGTGCCAAGATCCCTGTTCTGGGCCCCCAACAGATTCACTGAATTACTGGAAGTGCATTTAGAATTTTCTTCCATCCTGAGTGGCAAATGGACGATCACTTTTCTATTAACAGGCCAATCATGGCACGTAATCAAATCCTGGTACACAGGTGAGGCACAAGAACAAGGATTTTGGCACTGTTTTACAGACAGACCTAACCAGAGTTTAGATTTGTCTGTGGTGCAGGCTAGGTTTTCCATGACCTGTACGAACTCTCTCAGGGCCTCCAGATTACAATTCGAGTGCTCTTACTTCTTGGCCATGTCGCTTAATGTCATTATCATGGTTGTTATTGCTTAGAACTTACCTCTGTGTTTTACAAAAAAGTAGTCATCACACCATTTCTTGAACTTGGAATAATATGACTTGTCGTGTTTATCACAGAACTCTTTCAAAGTCTTATGAAAATGCTTTGCATCCTGAAAATAAGTCATTTTTGGTTAACAAAACCAGCAGGGCGATGGAATGCCAAAATACCAACAGCACTAAATACTTCATTGAAGTTATTTTGATGCTACATACAGTAGTGTTTCATGACTTTTGCCAGATCAAAAGATTCCACCAACAAAGAACCACAAAAAAATCATCATGAAAAATTATAACACAAAATTTAATACCCCGGTGCTTTCCACTCGAGGCTGTTTGGAAGAAATTCAGTTATTAACTCAAGTGTATATTGTAAACTGAAGATGTCTGTAGCATAACATTGCATTTTATCCCAAATAAACTTTATAAAACTTATTCTAAAGTTTCTTTTCATTACGATCAAGGTTTAGTTAACCCATTCAATCCTGAGAATTTTGCTGAAAATGCAGTTTGAAGCTAGTTGAGCCATTTTCTGGTCACTGTCTGGCTATAAAAAGCTAAATCTTTCCACAAAGCCATTTACAAGTTGGCACTTCGCAGCCTTCTGTTCCAGATGTAAAATATCCGCTTCTGAAGTTTGGGCAGGTGCACGCGAAAGAAAAATTTCGAGACATGTTTAAGAGTGACATACATGTACATGTAGCAGTCTTGACTTTTACTTTCCACTTTCTCTCCTCCCCTGTTCTTTACTTTTCTCACCTCATTTTTTCTTTTTCATTTGTTGGGCAATTACTAGGTTTTATTTAGGCAAAGCGTTTAGGATCTTAGGATTTGATGGAACGAAAAGAAGTTGGGTAAAGGAGCAACAACATTACAACTGATTTCAGCTAAAGAACGGGTATAGAATGATTCCTCGAATAACATGGGTCTCGTAAAATTTTGGCCCTATCTCAAAATCTCGGAAGCATTTTTGATGGGTCTTGAAGTCTCATTTTCGGGTAATTTTGCATCTCAAAGTCTCAAATTTTGAAACCAGGGTCTCACAGCCTCGCAAAGTCTATACCTCTTAACATGGCTTTTTGCTTTTTTTCTCTGTCCTCCTTAACTGAATCATGCTCATCCTAGTACATGTGTGGTTTGAAAGATCTCTCTTCTCTGCAGGTAGGAGGGTTGCCCAGTTCAGTTACAAATGAGTTAACCAGACCTGTGAAAATGTGGCTATGGAAGCTGAAGAACAAATTGAATACTCAGTTCTGAGAAGCATGTTTGTCATCATTTTGAAGATAGTTACTTAAAACTTGATTTTTCTGCCAGATCACAAAAATATTCAAGCCTTAAAAATTTGTCTCTTCAACTAGGATAACAACTTCACCCACAATTTAGTAACAGCAAGGTGATCTTGTTACCTCTTCATTAAGATAATAAGGAGTAAGGTCAGTTCCTCCACCAAACCAACTGTGTCTCTTTCCATTTTCTTCCTGGACCTCAAAGTAACGATAGTTAAAGTGGAGGGTTGGTACAAAAGGATTGCGAGGATGAATGACTGAGCTTATTCCAGCTGCAAAAAATGGAAACTTGTTTCCTTTTAAATCGTTGCCTCTGCTTTTCATTTGTTGGACAGCTTGTGGAGATAAGTGACCATAAACAACAGAAACGTTCACTCCAGCTTTCTCAAAAACTTTCCCTGTAAAAAAATACAGACCAGGGTTCCCATCATTATATGTAGGGAACTGGCTATGGTTGACTCCCATAGCTGTAGAGCCCCTTAATGTTTCAAGTTAAGGGCTACTTTCATGACAGTGGAATAACTCTCATTCTGGAATGAGTTTTGTTCCAGAAGGAAGTTAATACATGCACTCAAATGACAAAATTGGCCGTCCCAGCCTAGAGTGTTCTCACTTGCTTTATTTTCAAACCAGATAAGTTACACTTGCACCACTCACCCCATACACCCCTTTATCTCAACTAAAATACCCATTTTTTGTACCCATTTTTTTCACATGGAAGCCTATCCAACCCCCACCCCCCCCTCCTCACCCCTCCCTCGACCCCAACCATGGGCCCTCATGCAAAATGTCTAACTAACAGCGAACAAGAACAGAGGGAAAATGTATTAAAATATATAAATAAGCCACAGTGCGACGAAGAAATTTATGCATAAAAGGAAGACTCTTACCATCTTGCAAAACACAGCTTATCCCGCCGCCACCTTCATTTCTCAGCCATCGATCCACACGGAATTCCTGTCCATCAATCGCAGCAAGTTTCTTGCAAATTTCGGCTTGTACACCGAGGATCATGACTTCCATGCGGCTCTTAAAGTCGTCCACGCTACTCTCCAAGATGTCCGGTGCCGTTAGGGGTTCAGCCATAAACGTTGACGTGTCCACAAGTTTTGGCTTTTCGCGCGCAGAGAGGAGTGAAATTGTGGAAACCGCGGAACCAATTCCTATGGCAGACGCTCCAAAACCAAGAAGAAGAGCTCGGGTTTTGCTACTACCCTTCGCACAAAAAACACGAAGAAAACTGATTCTAAAAGCCATTACAGAATGTGTAAGGAAAATAAACTGTCAATATTTCTCTGCTGGGAACAATATCGTCGATGAGTCAGTAACAAAAATTTGGTACAGTTCGTTCAACATATATGACAGTTAGTCTTCAAGCCTTACAAATGCCGCTGATAACTGTTGTCTCACGATACTTGAATCACGATCTCCCGGATGTAAGCGATCTCTTCGTCCGTGGCATTTGCAAAGGTAAGGGAATTAAAAATTCCCTGTTCGGAATCAACCTTTATCTGGCTTCGCTTACGACATCATCACCCCTTCCTTTCTGTGCTTATCATTGAAGAATACCTGTAGCCTCTTGTATATTTATATTTTCGTAAAAATGTAATAAAGAATCCCCTAATATTCGTTTCTTTCTCGAACTTGTGGTAAGCTTTTTTGCTCATGTTTTGAAAATATATTACTATCCTAAAAAGATTGTAATACACTGTTAGTAGTTACGACTTATTTATCGGCAACAAATGTCGTCCTAAAATTTCCTATAGCTAAAATTGTTGTAGTTTACAGTGTTTATAATAAATTATAGCACACAAGGTGCTGTACGTGAATCTCTCACAAATGAAATTTCACGTGTGTCGTTTAATATAGATGGCAAAAGTCCACACGCCACGAAACAAGGATCTTGCACCGGGTATCGGAAGGTACAGCAGATCGGCCATATACAAAAAGAGGGCTCTGTACAAGAGGAAAAAGACTGGAGTAAAGAAGGAAGTGACCGAGGAAGCGAAAACTCGAGTCAAAGAGGTTGGAGGAGATAAAAATGGAGGTACAAGAGTTGTCCCTGTTAAGAGAGAGGTATGCTATTGAAGTTATCAATGCACCTTTTTCAATGATTTAACAGATAGTATAGACAGATATTTCACCTGTTGTATGTGATGTCTTGATACTCATTGTCCATCCCCCTGGGGGGTGACCCAAGGCAAGGGAGGGGACTTTGTGAAGGACCCAGTGAAAGTGCTTAAATTCCCCCTCCTTAATAGGGGCACAGAGCAATCAAAGTTAACAAATTCAATGTATCAAAGATATTCAAAATAACCTTGAGATGCCATTATTATGACCCAGCATCTCCGATAATCAGACTGTCCAACCATCACAATCTTGTCGGATTCTTCCAATTTTGCTTGAAAATCCTGAATCCAGACTAACATGTGATCAGAATAGGAAAAATCCCGATTTTGACATTTGTTTTAAAATTTTCAAATGAATTCTTATGATAAATACACAAGGACATCTAACAGAGTGTACTTAACTGTCATGTAATGTTGAGCACTGTCATGTGACACATTACCATTTTCATTGTATCTTTGCATGTGAATACAGGAAGGATTAGATAACCATCGTTCCTAACTTGTGGCTTTGAATTGTTGAGAATTTTTCCTGGTAAACAACCTCCCATTAATAGGCAGAGGTTGCTTACCTGGGGAAAACCATTTTTTCAGTGTGTATCGTTTATTTCTTCTGTAGTCTCGCTATTACCCAACAGAAGATGTAAAACAACCCCTGAAGAACCGCCGAAAGGCCAAGCTCACTAAGTTGAGGTCGTCTATCACTCCTGGGACCATTCTTGTGCTATTGGCTGGTCGTCACAGAGGCAAGGTTAGCATATAGGCAAGGCCACACCATTCACATAATCAAGAAGCTGTTGAGTCATTAAATATCCTGACATTCTTGTTATGTGCTCTGGAAAATATTATTTTAAGGGCCAGTGTCATTTACTTGGGTGTTTGTACTAATGAAAATCCCTAGAGTGATTATGGCAGAATAGTAAAAATACGCACATTGTCATCATCATAAACTTTGTTTAAAAGTCTAATCTTCAATCATGTAATAAGAGACCCACCAATGGGTCTTAAACAAGTTAACAAATTAATGTATTTAGACTTGCATATGGCTTTAATGGACTCCCCTTTTCTGATACATTTCATTTGCTTTTGTCCTTTTCTAAAACACAGCATGACAGTTGTGTGTAATATAAAGGTGGTCCGTGGTCGAAAAACTCAAAAGTTACTATTACTTTGACTTGCACACAGGAGAAAAATGTATTAGGGTTGTCATTAAGAGCCGGGGGCCGGGGATTTTCTCCGGCTACTTTTATTGGAAAATAGAAGAAAAATAGAACCAAGAGAAATCCCTAACCGTTTGATTCCCCGCCTACTTGTTGTATTTACCCGGCAACTTGAAATCTTAGTGACAACCCTGATGTATGCAATGCTTATAAAGAGATTTGTCCAATTATAATCAATTGATTGGTCAGGACAATCTGATTATTTCTGATTATCAATCTCTTTCATACAATGTAGCAGGGTAGGGTCATAGCACTTTAGCAGGGTCATTCAAAAATGAGAAAAATTTAAAAAAAAAAATTGTTTCTTTTTGCAGAGGGTTGTCTTTCTCAAACAACTTGCTTCTGGCCTTCTTCTTGTTACAGGTAACATTTGCATGTTTTACACTTCTGTTTTGTTTCTCTAATAAGCATTTTCTCCCTTTGCCAAACGTTAGCCCGGTGAGGGGCAGGTACCTCTAATTTAAGAATTTTTGGGTGGGGATGTGCTGCTGGGACCCTGGAACCCTTAGCCTACACCAGAGCTAGTTCAGCTGAATTTTGCTATGCTATGCTGGACTAAACTCCCCAATCCCCCCAGCCTCCCCCACTATCCTAGAGTAGCTTTTTTGGCTGAGTTGCATAAAATCATGGTAGACGAACAGTGGTAGAGGGATATGTTTGTTAGAACTGGAAGAGTGTTTCAGTTCGGCTTTTACCATCAAATCCTTGCTTTCCCTAGCCTGCATTTCAAGCATTTCTGTGTGAGTTTGTTGAGAACGCTTGGACATGTAACTGTATTGGAAATGATTGCTACAGGGTATGCCTTTCCTGAAATCTGCCATGCAATTCATGTTACACCAAGGCAAACCCACATATAGCTTGACGCTTACCCTGGACCAAAGACTGGTTTCTTTTAGCTTTGTACTTTGGTCCTAAGTTGAACTTGCGTACAAAGCCGATGTTAGTAAAACAGGACAATAGAAGAAGAAAAAGTTAAAGCCGAGTGTCACTAGGGTCAATGCAACATATGTATTTCTAGTCAGCATTAGGCTCAGGATATATAGAGGGTATTACATGGCCGCGCGGAGATACGAAATTTCTCTTCGAGTGTTGAAAAATATTTCACAAGTGAGCGCAGCGAACGAGTGAAATATTTTTTCAACACGATTTGTTATATAAAGTGAAGTTTGACATTTAATCCATTTGTATTCCATTCTAATGAACTTTGCATTGATTTTTTAGGACCCTACAAGGTGAACGGTGTCCCTCTTAGGCGAATTTCCCAAGCTTATGTAATTGCTACGAACACTAAAATAGATTTGGGCAACTTCAAGCTTCCTGAACGCCTGACTGACGATTTCTTCAAACGCGAGGCGAGGAAGAAGAAACGCTCAGAGGACATGTTTGAAGATGTTCAGGAGGTACTTTAACTTGTCAGTCCAGTCCATTTTGTTTAGTATTACCAATTACTTACCCTTATTCAGGACAGAACTTGTCATTAGAGAATAAAATACATGTTGTAAAATACCAAAATCATGGCTTCATGACAAACAAATATGTGTCTTAAGCATTGTGATAAAAGTTGCAATCAACTGAGAAAAAGGCGAACAAGTTTCAAAAACCCCAACTGTAATCTTGTTAAAGATCATAAATGTCGTCTTTTGTATTTGTTGTGTTATTTAACCCTTTAAGTCCCAGTAGTGACCAAGATCAATTATCTCCTAACATTATCCATACACTCTCAAGAGATAAGTTATGAGAATTAATAAAATGATCACCCTGGATAGAAAAAATTGTGGCAGATCTTAAAATAGTGTGGTGATCAACACAAAAACACTCCCCTCCTGCAGTTGACTAGCTCACATGCGCATGCTTCTCATGTAGCTCCCCTGTGGCTGGGACTGACAGCAATGTAGAACTTAGACTAAATTGCATAAAGCTTTCATATTCATAACTTTCATAACTGGTTCTGTTTCAGGAGAGGAAACCAAGTGAGGAGCGTGTAGAAGACCAAAAGACAGTGGATGAGCAAATACTTCCTGAGATCTCCAAGGTGCCACACCTCAAGAAGTACTTGAAGACTTTGTTTTCACTAAGAAAGGGGCAGTACCCTCACTTGATGAAATTCTGAGCTTGTTGGTGTAAATTACAAAAATAAAACCTTTCAATACATGGTTATGTTTTATGTTTCCCGTGATTTTTTTCTTCCCGTTAGGCTCTTCCTTGGACCTTTTCCATAGATTCAATAACTTTCATCAGACATTTGCGAGGTGTATTTGAGTATCCAGAGGCGCACCTCTGCTAATGACCGCTATAACAAAGGCTTCTTTGGTAAAATTCCCTGCGAGGCTGTGCAATACTTATAGCGGGGTGACATTCATTCTTTCTTAAGTTATAAGTGAGTAAATCGTAGCAACGAACCATAGAACAAACTGAACGCGAAGTTGGATATGCTTGAGCGCTGTTAGACCGCGAGCGGTCTTTTTTCCTTCCCAGAGCCACGCTCGGCAAGTTGAAAAGAAAGTAAAATTATGCTTCGCCGCTCTCCCATTACGCGTGCTCTCGATTTACTGTGGCTAAAAAGAAATTAAGAGACTGTTCGCCATCTAGAGTCGCGTTATTATGTTACGCATCATTGATGCGCAGGGGGAAACAATTACGTTATCCGCTGGGCAGAAACTTACCTTGTGGATAGCGCAATCCCACCCTTTACAAACAACGGGGACAGATACATGCATACATACAACCTTTATTTATACACGATGAAAGTCAAAGCGTACAGCTTGTAGGGTCGTGTAATAAAGAAAATGAACAAACAATTAAAAAAAGAAAACAAAACAAGAATATTCAATAATGTGTACTTGACAAAGCTGAAATAACAAAAACCTCAGATCTAAAATTCTTGTTAAAAATAGAAATTTTGGCAGATGATAAGGTTAAAAGTATTTGAAACTCTTAATCTATAATTGATTGTCTGCGGAGCTAAAACATTAAAGTTAAAATCCATAAAAGTGTAACTCTTCAACGGTTTAAGTGAAGGACTTAATGTCGGCACACTCCAAGACCGATCCATAAGTCTTCCCATTGGATTCCAAGCCCTTGCAAGGGACGGCCCCTCTGTAAGCAATAGAGTTTTGCATATATTTTGACCCAAGCAATGAGTCCATGTTTCAATCTCGTAGTAGATCTACAACTTCGTTGTATCAATTGATCAACCAGAGCAAGTGGCAGTAAGTCGTTGTATCCTTTAAAGATTAGCCTACGTAGCAGGCGCTTGGAAGTAGTGGGCATTGTAACTTAGCAGCACATTGTAACTCTCTGACCTACGCCATATAAGCCTCTGGCTTTGGCATCTTATTATCGTTAACTTGTGCTTTGTGTACTTATTTATCAATAAAAAATAAAAATAAAGTTGGCTTTAGTTGGCACAAGAAAAAACGGCGCGCCAGAAGGTAGCCTGCGTAGCAAGCTCGCGCGGAAACGCTTGCTACGCAGGCTAGCCAGAAGGAGACACCCCTCGCGTGTCTCCCTCGCGCGCCGTTCTCTCTTTCGCCCACTACTTGCAAGCGCCTGCTACGCAGGCTACAAATTTTGCACACCCTTTGTTTTTCATTTCTCCTGGGTATTACAGCCGTCCAAAGAAAAATTGAAAACAATACTTATTTGGCCACCGTCAACTAAAGAAAGAACCAGTCAAGCCGGTTTAATTGTTTACGCGTTCGAGTGCACCTCTGCAATTAAGGGTTTCAAATATCGTACCTCTGGTCGCTGTCTCCTTGTTCGCACTGTTAGTAAAAGGAGACTTATCAAGGAAAACTGTTCAAGTTTTTCCATTTGCAAGGGCAATTGTGAAAACTTGGGCTTTGGCGATCGCGACGTTGGTGGAAGAGACTGGTAATTAACAAAAACGAGATCGGGGTTGCTCGGGGTCTGGTGATCAGCCAAGTCGACGCCCTTTCTTCGAAGAGCGGCCGGCGCTTACGAGCTGTAGATTTTGTCGTAACGTTGTTTCTTCAGGTACCAAAATGGCAGACGAAGTCCTAGACAGGGAGAGCGAGGTGTTTATGGCGAAACTTACCGAACAAGCTGAGCGATATGAAGGTAGGTGAAATGTTCATAGATATAATCGGGCCGTGTCGGTGTTAAAAATTGAGATACAGCAAGAAGTTCTTTCGAGAAGCAACGCCATTTTAAACAGGACGACGCTCTGACTTTCTTTGCGCCCTTCACACATAAATGAAATCTTAGACATAGTATTTCGCCTTAGTTATTTATTTTGCAAACACGAGAGGGTGTAAGTAAAAGTCCTCGTGTTTTGTCAGAAATTCAGTGACAGCTTTTAGAAGCCTTTGTACAGTACGTCACAAGGTTGGGTGACTGCGATTGATCGCATCACGGCATAACTGTAAGCTTAAGCTCGCTGGATTCGAGTCAATAAAACGCCCCCTTTTTTCCTGCCGGTTTCCACTTAATAGCTAGCTGCATGACAGTGCCCCTTTTCAAAATAGCACAAACTCCATGACTTGCTCGGTTTAGTTCGGATCTTCAGCATAATTCAGTTAGTTGTTGAGAAATATTCTTACATGAAAAAATCATCATGTTGTGGAGTGAACTAATAGCTAGGACATAAAGTAAGGGGTTTTGAATCAATGACTGCCCAAGTTAATTGAGGGTATCTCACAGGATCTGGGGGCATGCTCCACCAGAGAGTTTTGGAAATGAGAACTGCAAGCAATCTATTAAATTTTCTTTTGAGTCACTGTAGATTGAGAGCATTTGTGAGAGGTTAGCGGTGAAACCAGGAGGTACAAGGGTGGAAGCCTGAGTGAAAAAAAATAAGAGACTGAGATGGGATCATTGATCTTGTGACTTGCCACTTTCATGTCTCCTTTAATTTGTTGCCAGTTTTTTTCTTTCTGACAATTGATGCCATAGCATTTGGTATGCTACTTCCTGTAAACAAACAGCTTGTTTGTTCGCTGCTGTTTGGTTCTGGACATTAGTTCTGCTTTTTTCTGTGAGGTATTGCTATCTGGAAACTCCCAAAAAAAAGGTTTCCCAGGGCTCGAAATTAACTTTTTCGTTCGGGAGCCAGCTGGCGACTAACGGAAAAATTTTGGTCGCCAGATCGTAAATTTTGGTCGCCAACTTATTTTATATATAACTTACACAAGAACACGATTTTATACGTTACTTTGCATGCAAGAAAAGTCACAACTGAAGAGCGAAAACAATTAGAAACAACACGAGTAACACTTAGTTATAAAGCTACCGTTGTTCTCAGGTGATATGTCTCTGGTCCGAAGGTGATGGTTGTCTCCAAAGTCATTTTAAATGAAGCGAAGCATAAAACGTTTTAAGTCCGTGGTTTTCATTCTGAGACAAACACGGGTCCTTGTGTATTTGCCCTTTGCTACTTCTACGAAATGCCGTTCTATATTTTCGACTTGCTTTCCTCAACGCCTTTCGCTGCCGACAAACAACGCCATGCTTGGCCCAGGCCTCTACACAACAACATTGCTCGTACCAGTCTCCGACCGGGAGGAAACAAAAATGGGCTTAGTGCAGTTTTTGGGTCTTCGTTTCCCTTTAGACAGAACGTTTTAGGAAAATAAAACCTAAAATGTTGCGGGAGTTACGGAGGCACCGTATCTGCCACCATTTTTGTTGTTGAAGTGTGCCTGCGACCCCAGTTTCGGAAGAAGCCGCTGAAACAATATGGCGCGCCCTGAACGCAGTATCGACGTGTCGAAATACATTCCATTTTTTCGATTATCTTGTAATATTCAGACATTATTTTACTGGGGACGGAAAGGTGAGTTGTATACTAGCTACCATATCCGATTGATTTCCAAATATAAAGATTTAAAAACAAAAGTTGTGTCGTGGTTTTCTTTAGTCATCGGACAAAACGCGAGTCGCCAGCTGGCGACCAGTTCTGAAAATTTAGTCGCCAGTGCTCAATTTTTGGTCGCATTGGCGACCAGTGAGTCGCAATTTCGAGCCCTGTTTCCTCAAAGTAAGTGAGGAAGAAAGTGAAAAGGCGAAGAAGCTGTGCAATGTTTGTAGGATGTGCCATTGACCAGGGTTCGAAATTCCCACAAGCTAACTGGCTAAATGCGAGCCAAATTTGCGATTATCGAGTATGGAAAAAAATCACTTGCATTTTCTAGCCAACTGCCTCGTATACTGTGTAGAAAAATTAATTTCAAAATAGCAAAATGTCTCAACCTGGTCTCTGTTGGTAAATGGGTTTTTAAAAAGGCAGCAAACTGCAGCAAAGAGTAGAAAAAACGTTCGGCTGGCCGCCATGTTGTTGACATCAAATATTGCATGGGACTAGGAACTAGCTTTCAGAATCCCCAGGTGTTCCTTGCTTTCATGTAATTCGCAGGAAATCACAAAAACGGTGAAAAATGTCAGACATTACAAAGTTTTTTGGTGCTGTTACGAGCAATAATAATGGAGAAAGTAGTGAGCCAATGCCTAAAAAGGCAAAAGCCTCAGGTGTTCTGCAAACGGCTTCTTTAAAAACGGTTTGGAAGTGGGAGGAGCTTGAAATCGAGTTGGGGAAATGACACAATGACGACGGAGTTGTTAACAAGATTTGGTGTGTGGTTTGTAAAGAATTTGGAACAGCATGGAGACTAACATCTTATGAATCAAAACTAGAATTATTGATACATGGATATTATGATGTTATGCCTGGTTCTGCTATGTAAACTTTTGTTGTAACTATAACAATAAATCAGTTACTTTCACTGTGCATTTTTTCTGCTTTTAACCTAAAATCTTGTGGATTGCCCATTTAGCTTGTAGATCTCATCTCTACAAGATATCTTTATCTTGTGACAAAAAAACGAATTTCTAACCCTGTTGACCTTTATAACATACCTAGAATATTGGCCTAATGAAATTTAATAGCGCGAGCATGCTTCCTATTTTCATTGAACACGCTGATGACGTCAGTAAACTAACCTCAAGTTCTTGTTAATGTAGCACCACAACTTGGTAGTTGGCGACCTGAGGTATCCAGGAGCTTCCACTATTGACAGCCAGCTCCTGGGAGGCAAAGTTACGCTCTAAGGAAAATTGAAGGGAGCCCAGTGCTCTGAAGCTGTAAAATCTAGCATTCCCAGGATAATTATAATTATAATAATAATTACTATTAAACCATTATTATTATTATTATTAGTGCTCTGAAGCTGTAAAATCTAGCGTGCCCAGGATATGATTTGTATAAAAAAACTAAAATTTCCCGGTCACCCAAGAGCAAAAGTTAGGCACCAGGGTCCACTGGGCTCTGCTAGAGCACGCCGTTCTAGGAGGTAGACCCCTCCCATGGCTGGCAAATCCTGGTGATCTAGTCATGAACCCCCACGTTCAAGGGAAGGAAGCAGGTACCTGTTGTAGTTCAAATTTTTTCTTTGGTTTGAATTTTTTTAAACTGGTTTAAATTTTTCAAACTGGTGTGAAATTTTCAAACTGGTTTAAAATTTTTAAACACATGTCTCATTGTCATTTATTTGTATCTCTGCATGTAAAATACTCTGTGTAAAATAAACCCGTGATATTGAGGTGTCACACATTTTAGCAAGTGTTAATTTTACTGATTAGGGTTAAGCACTCATTTTACTAATTAGGTTTAAGCACTCATTTTACAGATTAGGGTTAGGGTTAGGGTTAGGGATAATACAGGTTAGGGTTAGGGTTAAGGATAGGGATAAAACAGGCTACTACAGGTTGTACTCTATGCATTGCCACCAATGGAAGAGGCTTAGGAACTATTTTTACTGTGAAACCAGAATAAGAGAGGGAAGGGGTAAATGCCGCGATTATCTTTGTTGTGGCTATCCATTGCTGTTCAGGATGATGGTTCACGCTTGATATGTCACTGTTCTCTCCTTAAAGCTTTGATTGCAGATTATTACTGACGTTCAGGTAATATTTCCTGGTTTGAGGAACGTATTGAACAAAACTCTTCTTTGAAACGTTTGTATGAGTCTTTTTTTTGGTTTAAAAATACTGAAATTTTATTGTTTTTGCAACACGTACCTTTTTATTGTTCACTCTTAAGTAATAGAACTAATACAAAAATGGGAAGATACTAAAGTCACTCTATATAATTATGTTCAAAAGATGATATGTTCATGATGACTGTTCATAATAAACATGCTTCAATGTTCAATTTGAATTGTGTGCCTCTTTACAAGCACTCGAAAATGAAATTTCTTTGTCATAATTTAATTTCACACCAGTTGCTGTACAAGGCTGTAACCTGGATGTTGCAATGTAACCTTGGATTACTCCAAATTGAGTGACAACTTTGGCATAGCCATTTTCTGTATCAGTAATTTTTCCCATCAGCATATTTGGATGCATGGGTGTTTTTTTATCAACTTTATCAATCTTTATAGAGACCATATCATCAACTTTGAAAGATTTGGTTCTGGAACTCTGCCGAGTTTGTTTTATCATTCTGTTGTTATAATCTTCCTGATTTTCACTGATAGATTTCCGTTTTTTTGTCCGTTCATCACTTATGGATTGGGTACTTTCACTTGTGTCACTAGTAGTAACTGGAGCTTCACCTTCAGTTGCCTGGTCAAGTGACAATGAAGGGGTAAGCTGCTCTCTGTGTGGCTTTATGCCATATACTGCCTCATAAGGACTCTGCTTGATAGCACGGTGGTAGGCAATATTTCTTACATAAGCAGCTTCCATAGTAGACTGGCACCATTTGTTGGTTTCTTTATTAGTAGAAACTATTAGCGCTCTCATGTCTTCTTTCCATGATCTGTTTGCTCTCCCCACAAGACCTTGCGTTGTGGGAGTACGTGGAGAGCCATGCCCTTGCTTGATCCCATTTTCGTTGCAGAATGTTTCCATTTTTTTGTTCTTGAATTCCTTTCCATTGTCGGTGAGAATCATTTTGGGGAAACCATATGTGTAACAGTACATTTTGATGACTCTCAGTACCTCATCAGCAGTTTTGTTTATAAGTGGTGAAACGTAAACATATTTGGTGTGATGATCTATGATGTTAATCGCCCAGGTGTGAGGTTCTCTGCAATCGCATGGACAGTTTCTGAAATCCATTAAGTCAATCTCCAGAAGAGAAAGAAAACGCGAGACTGAAGAGGTTTTTCCACCATCTTCACACGACTGGTAATAGATTGTTGTTCAGTATGAAAACGACATGAAGCAACGAACAGGCTGATTACCTTACTGTTAACTTCGCTGTAGTTATTGTTGATCCATTTGCTGGTTATCTGTCTTCCTCGGTGATTAATGCGTCTGTGAGCAAGGCTTAAGACCTCATGAAGCTGTCCTTTGGGGACCACTTTCTTTTTGTCTTCCGTTACTAGCGAATCATTTTCAAAGGACCAGTTCTTTCGCTTGATTGTGTTGATCTCCCATTTGGTCATTTGTAAACAGGTTTCTTGTGCCGAGTCTAGTCCGAGGGACTTTTCTGCTTGGTGTTTCAAATATCTCTTTGCTTTCTCGAAAAAGTGGTCGTCGATAAACAACGTTATAAGAGATTCATTTTTGGTCTGTTTCGCTTTTAAATCATCTAATTTGTGGTGAAAAGTTTCTTTTAAAACGCAGCAGTTCTCTTCTGTCTGTGCTTCCGCCATCTTATCAAAATTGCAAGTCCAAATGTGCATCAAAAGCGCATGCGTGTAAGTGTACGAATATTTTAATAATTAAGTTGGCCGAGCAGAGGGGAGTCTGAGACCAATAAATTATAATAGCAACAAAAATGGACCAGCTTTCTACGAAATCTAGCATGGCCTAATGGAGAGAACAGAGGGCAACAGATCTGGAGGTTGGAGGTTCAAATCCTGGTGAGTACAGAATGAGGTTGCAAAAAAGAAGGAAATTGTTACTGAGTACGGTGAGGGCAAAGTGGTAACTGAGTGGTAAGTTCATGTCAGGGGGCTATCAGGGGTGGTTGATAAGAAACTGAGGGGTAGTAGGGTACGGTTAGAAGCTATGAGGGGGTTGGTGGAGAGAATGATACGGAAATTCACTTGTTTATTCTTCTTGCATCTAGTTCTTTTTCTTTGACCCCCCCTAAAAAGCCAAGCCCCTATTTTTTATCCACACCCCAAAAAGTTAAAGGCCCTTTTTCAGACAGTTGATTAAAAACCGATTAACAAAAATTAAACCGGTTTAAAAAAAAACTAACTGGTTCAAAAAAATTTAACCGGTTTAAAAAAATTAAACCAGAGGTAAAAATTGAACTACAACATACCCGTCACACTGAGCAAGTCAGTGGAAGTAGGGAGGGGAGGTGGTGGAACTGCAAAAACTGAGTCCTCACGATCAAGTGACACTAAGGCTGAATAAATGCTCACTAAAAACTGCTCAAACACGCCAAAATGCAAGAATGCTAAAAAAAATCACAAGAAAGAAGAAAAGCACTCCAGAAACTACTAAAAACTGGCTAAACATGCCAAAATGCCCCTTTTTATCTTGGTAAAAAACCGGCGAAGCCAGTTTTGCTGATTTATCGTTATGTATAAGGGAAGACACTTCTCTGGGAGAAAAATGTAAAGGAAGTTTGGTCTGGGCTGTGCTGCTGAGACCCTTCAATTCTCACCCTGTTTAAGGCAAAATTATGCATTAAAATTGCAACCCTGTTTAAGGAGGCTAAATAGTGAAATTAAATACTTGTTTTAAATTTGAAGAACCCATAAACTCATACCATGCAGAGTGGCTCATACCGAGTGAGCCAAACTTGGAAGTTACCCCCCTCCCTCACGTTTTTGTCCGTCCGTAAACCCCAAGGAAACGATTTTCCATATATGGAGGCGAAGGAACAATGCATTTGTTAATGAGGACATATCGTCAAGATCGGTTGTGTGCATGATTACCCATTTTTCACACACAGGCGTACTTGTCAACCAAAGTTTTCATGCTAAAGATCTATTTCACTACAGTATCGTTCAAAAGTAATACTAAATTTTCAGTGATTCTCATATAAATGACATGCATGTATTCGATTCATATTTGTTGATTTTATACAAATCGATAGTTTCACTGTCCATTCAAGAAGATTTACAGGCTTCCTTCCTGGCCAATTTAGCTGACGAAGTTGTTCTTGACTGTTTAAACCTATGACATCACAAGTAGTAGAAGCAGAGCTGTCATTTAAGGCCGTGACATGTAACCGGTAACACCTGTTACGGCTGAGCTCACTTGATGGTACAGGTGATCAAAGTGGAAAGCGAAAGGTGGCATTATAAATTTTTGTGAGATGTTACAGGTGAATGTTCATTTGCTATGGCTGATTCAAAACTTAATGACAGCCCTGGTAGAAGCGACCTGGGCCCGCATGGGCAGTTTAGAGGTGAATGGGTTTTTAGATTTTCTTTTAAAGCCCAACAATTTGATAATTATAAAAGTTTATTAATCATTACAAAGATAATAAATTTGATTAAAAGAAGTAAATTTGTTAGAGTTTAGTAAGTTACAGTCGAGCTCCGTGTTTGATGCTTGGTTGTGCCTTTTCTTTTAGAGTACTGTACTTTTGCTAATACGCTGGCGTTTTTTTTTTCTTTGTAAAAAGTTAAATTAAAAAAGTACATGAGATGTCAAGATTCAAGCACTAAGAAGTGATGACAGTTTTAATTTTGAAATATACGTAAAAAGTGGAAAGCTTAAGTGTGTTATTTAAGACCTCCTGAACTGCAAAGCCAGACCAATGGCGTACCAAATCGGGTGGGGGTTTTCTAAAGTTTTCTCTGAGTCGCTTTTTTATTTTCACAAAGATATAAAGATAGGTAATACAATTAAACATATTGCAAAAACAATGTACACTAAGTGAAGCAAACCACTGTGGAACCCCGTTAATATGGTCACCAATGGGTGCAAAAAGTTTGGCCATATTATTGGGGTGGCCATATTACTGGGGCAGGGTCAATTTTCATGACTTAAGGACCATAATGACAAATACACCATACAACACATTAGCACTTCTTGTACAACTGTGCTCTCTTTAATAAACAACAGGAATATGATGTAGGTATCTCTCTACCGTAATCATAAAAACTACTTGAAACTTTCCTTTAGTACATAAAACACTGTAAAAAATCGGCTATTTGACTTCCGCAAATGCATAGTAAGTGACTATAGTATAGTCTAAAAGCAGTACAAAAACAAGCTCAGCGTTTTAGGTCAATGAAATTGATACGTCACAGGCATTTTAATTTTCAACATTTCTAATGTGTGGCTGTATTATTGGGGTCAAATTGTAAAAGATTCTACTGTTTGAGATTTAAAATGTGGCCATTGGCCATGTTAATGGGTAATTGTATTAATGAGGGTTTTTATAAGAAAATGTAGGGCTGTTTTGCCAGGTCAAAAAAAGTAGCTGTGATGACGAAGTGGCTGTATTACCAAGGTGGCCGTTAGGCGGGGTTCCACTGTATCAGATATTTTAAATTTGCCTGTTTGAAAGTAAATGTCCCTATAGTACATGGCATTAATGTTTAACATCCAGAGCAGAATTACAGGTTCAGTACGTGGCATCCCCCATTATTCAGCAGATTCTTTTTTTTCCTTTTTGTGGTTAATTACTGGTGCCAGTAATGCATTATGCCATCTTCTGTAGTCCATAGGTAAGCCCTACTCCCTGAAGCATGAAATAAGGCCAACTGAATACTGAAATGGGTCGGGGTTTTCTTGATTTCTTTCTTAAGTTGCTCTTTGTGATTAATGTACCATGTTTAGAGATATTGTTCTCCAAAGTGATGAATGAACTTTAGGATTTGAAGTAAAAATGAACATTACTCGATTGAAAAATAGCCACTTTCACAATCAACATGGTGTCTGTGAACTGTCCATAAATGTCCTTGCAACAGAACTGCAATTGTAGCTTATGAACCAAGTACAGACTATTCATTATAATTCATTGCACCAGTAAGCACATATGTCCTCTCAGGGGACAAGAGTCTCTAGTCTTGTATTTTGCTCAAGAATATACAACTTGTTTTGAAATCTTATGATTCTGCTTTTGCTAAGGTACCACAGCATTGTTTTTAAGAAAAATATAATTTTTGTATTTTTGCCTACTTTCTATAGATATGGCAGAACATATGAAGAGGCTGGTGAAGACTGGCGTGGAACTTACTGTCGAAGAACGTAACCTTTTGTCCGTGGCCTACAAGAATAAAATTGGTGCTCGGCGAGCATCATGGCGCATTGTAGATGCCTGTCAAGGTAAATTAAAAGAAGTAAACATGGGTTACAAGGAAGAAATTGAACAAGAATTGAGGGACATTTGCAAAGAAATCCTCAGTCTCCTTGAAGATTATCTCATTGCCAAAGAATCGTCTGGCACAGCAGATCCAAAAAAAGCAGCTGAAGCAAAAGTTTTCTTTCTGAAAATGTAAGTATTCTGTAAATACTGAAGATTGCATATTCTGCAAGACCTTCCATCTTTGAATCTCTTATACTTTAACAATTTGATCTTTATTGTAAATCAATATTATAACGCATGTATTACACATATATTTAGCCTGTGTAGCAAGCATTTCCAGTCGAGTTGTTAAAGCGGGAGCAAAAAAAAAATGGAAGGGGGAGGGGAGAAGAGGAAACGCTTGCCCGCAAACCCCACGATTTTGGAAAATGCCCCTTGATATTTTATGGTTCAGTTCATTTGTAAATTGACAGCTCGTCAAGATAGATATCGAATAGATTACCAGATTTGAAAAAATTTCTTTGTTCCCTAAAACATGCTCCACGCGATTGCAAAACTGTAATAAAAAGAAGCTTTACTATAAAAGAAGGTTGAAACTCTAAGCGATTGCTGTGGAATTTCTCATTCTTAATAGTTGAGTTAAAATTTTAACGTTATGTGGCTTTATCTCACCTGAAACCTTGTTAAAACGTCGCAAAGAAATGATTTGTCCGGAACAATTTACTCTGCTGGCTATGAGTTTTGCAGAGCAGCTGCTCTCCATAGGCCAGCCAGTGTCGAAAAGTTCACTACAATACATGCCGCTCAATTTTCAATCACTTGTCCATGGCTGCTCTAGCTAGTGTCTAGTACTCGATGTTCTGATTTACGTTGATGTTATCTCCAACAAACAGTCCATTTTTTCCAGTCACATATGTATCCCGTCATTCGAAATAAATTGGCCTTCACTAGTCTCCACTGCTCGATCTCCAATTGTACTTTTGATCGAAGGGACTTAGATCTGATAAACCTTCGCACAAACATGATTCAAATAAATATCAGACTAAAGCATTTGTAATCTGTGACCACAAATCAGATCAGACCAGATCTGCGGTGTACGTAAACAAAACATACCTGGTTTGATTGATGTATTAATTGCTATTTTAATCAACACTACCAGCACCGCACCAATCAAAAGCTGCATTTGTGGGCGAACGCAGTTTTTCAAAATCGTGGGGTTTGCGGGCAAGCGTTTCCTTCTCTCCCTTCCCCCTCTCCCCTCATTCCTTTTTTTTTGCTCTTGTTCCAACTTTCTCGACGAAGTTGCGCGGAAACGCTTGCTATGCAGGCTAACATATATTTAACTTTATTATGATATTATTTTTTTCGGCGGTCGTATCATCTGACATGTGTGTCACAATGGTTTCAGCCCTAAATTGAGCAAATTGCAAATGTAAAAGAAAAAATTCATAATTGCAACTGTAGGAGTCACAATTTCGAGCCCTTTAGTGACACTCATCACAGGTGTTTAGATTTATTGGTTCTAATGAAAAAATACTGAAACAGTTCTTCGTACTGCAATGTTAGAATTTTTAACTGGGCTGCCTGTGGCCAACCCAGTTGGCCAGCCCAGTTTATAAAATACGTTCCATTTTCTTCGTGGGAGGGGTGGAGGTGTGCCTTCCGGCTCTCCTATATCAGAACAATATCTATAAGCCTGGTTAGGTTAATTAATGTAAGGGAGTAATCCCCTCCTCCCCCCCACCAGATTTATTTCGTCACAATGAACACTATCAATAATGACTTAGAAACAATAAAGCATGTTAAGCAAAGGCAACCATTAGATGAAGATGTGTTTTTGAAGCTAGCATACTGCACTTTTTCATCGTCTCCTTCCTCTATAAAGGAACTAAATGCTCTTCTGACTAATTACTGGGCTGCCCGGCAAGCCCAGTCATAAATTTGGTTTTCGGTCGTCTGTGGCGAAAAACGGCCTCCTGGGGGAGGGAAGACACGAGGGTCTGGTACCAAGAAACGATGTTCTCAAAAATGGTTTCATATGATTTTTCCTTGCACGGAGCCTTGCACGGATACTTTTTGTACCTCGTCTCCGCTCTCCCTGAAAAACCCACAAGGCGTTGCGAACCTGAAGAAGGCTATTTGCGTTGTTGGAAGCGATTCGATCATAGGAGTCACTCTATAATTTTTTTATTGTTCGAGTTTAAGTCAGTTAGATGATGTTGCCGCTGGGAAACTCTGAGAAACGTTGCATACAAACCAACACGCCGTTCACGGTAGGTTCACACCAAAAGATGACTGTGAGCGTCAGGTTTGGAACGCCGGGGCCGCTTCATGAACTCAAAGAGAGAATTATCGATTGATGTAGTACTTGAGCAATTAAGAAGCACAATTTATGAGCAAAGTATTTCACCAGTTGACGACACTATGGCTGAAGGCTTTTGTAAGCTGTCGTAGTCAGTGAAGCAAACAACTCAGTTGCCGATGAATGTCAGATGAATCCTGATGTTACGCATGTCCATGAGCGAGGGACGTGACAACTTTCCCATGTTAGAAGACTGGCTTTTCCTTTAAATATTTCCTTCTATTTAATTTGGAGGTCTAAATTTCGAATACTGAGGATAAAGAAGATACGGACAAAAATACGAACTCTGAGAATTTCGCACACAAGTTCAAGGCTTGACTTGAGGAAAATAGGAGCTATTACTGACAAGGTTTGGTGACTGAGTAGAGCATACAAGTGTAGCCCACGTCGAGGTTTCAGGGAGTTTGCTTTTGTTTGTATCTGTATCTTGCTAAGCTTTTATCATTAAATTTGTACATGATCTTGTGATCACAATTCTGTGTTTTTGCCCATTCAGCAAGCATGCTATATTGATGTCAGCATTAGCGAGTTCCATAAACATGCCTTTCAAAATTTTCAGCTCTTGTGATGTTTCTTGATATTTCTTCTACCATTTTATGGAGATGTAAACTGAAGTCGCCGTAAAATGGAAACTTAAAAAAACGTATAATCCATTTATCTCGAAACATAATACACATGACTTATATGACCTTTATTTTCCTAAAGGTGTTTTGGATACGAACGAACACAGTCAATGTGAGGGGCAAAAACAGTAATAATAATTATACTCAGTAAATGAACGATAGGGTTTTAACTAATATAAGGGTCAATTATTGTGCATTGAGATGAATCGCTTGAAAAGAGAGACTTCACTTGAAGATGTGATCAGAAGTGAACAAAGTCACAATAGTGCGTCACGTTCAGTCTTTTTAATATCCAAGGACTGTGAATAGTGATTCCATATTGTTTAGGAGTTATAAAGCGGCATAGTTATCATCCATGAAGAAAAGTTAATCATGGGTGAGACAAACAATTAACTCAAGCGAATTTTTAACTCATATCGGCATATCGGTATCAGGTAAGAAATATGTTGTCGATTTTTTTCATCTTTTTACATTGTTTGAAGTGCGTGCTGATGAAAGCAACATGTGAGCGAGAAATCTTTAAACTTTTTTAGGTCACAAAATGCAAAGGATTTTATTCCTTTAAGTTAGAGAAAAATACCAAGAGGAAAATCTTAAAACTGAATATTTTTTATCTTGTGGAAAAAATAGTGCGTTTTCACGTAGACTGTAGACGGCAAATTAGGATCATCTATTTACTGCACTTTTCACAAACATGCGAATTCTGAAGTTCAGAAGCCAACCGACGATTCCGTTTTTCGCTGCTGTCAATCATCTTATCTTAACAGACCTCTTAGGAAACAAAACTTTACTTAACGGGTTCAAAAGGTCATGCTTTGTGATTTGTGGATTTCAATCGTTTTGTGTTTCTCTGTTTCAAGGTTCGTCACTTGTGATCGTAATTATGATTGACGGCAGCAAAAAACACAATTGTGAAGGTGGCTTTTGAAGTTTAGAGTTCGCATGTTTGTGAAAAGCACAGCAAAGTCTCGGTGCAGTCAGAGGCCCCTGGATCAGGCGGGATCAATGGGCAGTTGGCTGTCTGTTTTAGTATACTTCTGGTTTTAATACAATACAATATTTCTGTCTAGTGTAAATCAGCTCCATCCGTCGCACTTTATGCTCGTAGAACGACAACAATATACGTTATACTGTCATGCTATATTTTGGGGCACAGAGGGATTGGGGGAGGGGTGCATGAAAATAATGCAAATCGTTTCCTGCTTAGAATTAATGGCTAATTTGTTTATTTTTATTCATAATGGTGGAATTTAAAAGTTATTATACAGCCCCCACTTAAAAATGGTACTCTTGTTTTTTGGTTACGAAAGTCTTTCAAAAGGGTACAATGTTCTGAATGAGTTTATGTTTCAGTCTCACGTGAGATTCTGTTGCATGCAATGGTCGGCGACAAGGTTTTGTAGTAGCCTGAGTGTGTATAGCTGCCCCCTCCCTGCCGAAAAAAATAGCCCCTTTGCAGCCCAGTTAAAAATCGCCTTTCGGCGGTTCTTGTAACTAATAACACAGCCTCAAACTATAGGGTGGACAATTTTAACGTTAAAAAGTTATTCTGATTTTTAAAAAATCTGTGCTTTTTTTTATATCATTGTAGATTGGATTACCTTTTTTACCAATGTATTCACTTCCATTTTTAACATCTCTCAATTTGTTAAACCATTGTAAATAGGCTTTTTATCATGATTGTTGTAATTTATTATTATAAATTTTGTTTTTAGAGGGCCACTAGGGAGAATACTTTTCATAGTAATTGGTGTCACCCTCTTAAAATGCAGGTTATATATAAGATGCTACGATGAGTACCGTTTGGGGTTTTTCTCACTTTTTGTTCAAATTTAAACCTTTTCATGAGTATTCATTCCAAAACGTGATCTCAAATCTCTCTCTGCATGAAGCTAGTGTGTGTGTGTCGGTGTGTACATCCATTGAATAAAGATGTCTCCCAAGCTACCATTGGTACTTTTTTTTGTGCCTTCGTCAGAAGATGGTAGGATGGGTCGCTTTCGAGGTTTCTATTTGCTTTATGTTGAAGTTTAAGCCGTTTAAAATGTGATGGCCAATGTCTCTTTTTATCGTATTTCGATTTTTGCTCTGTGTGTGAAAAGTCATTCCTTACAGGAAAGGCTTTAAATGCAATATGAGACAAAAACAAAACTGAAATGTAGTTTGCTTGGTCAGTTTTAAGAACCAGAATTGCATGAAAATAGTGCTAATTGTTTCCTGCTTAGAATGGCTAACTTGCTTATTTTTATTCATAATGGGGGAATTTAACAGTTATTATACAGCCCCAACTTAAAAATGGTACTCATTTTTCTTGTTACAAGAGTCTTTCAAAAAGGTTACAATGTTCAAATGAGTTTATGTTTCACTCTCACGAAATTCTGTGTCACGCAGTGGTAGGCGACAAGGTTTTATGGGAGCCTGAGCGCGTACAGCCACCCCCTCCCCTCACAAAAAATTGCCCCTTGGCAGCCCAGTTAAAATTGACATTCGGCGATTCTTGTGTTTTTTTTTTCAAACAGGAAGGGTGACTACTATCGATATTTAGCTGAAATTGGTAAAGGAGAAAAGTCAGAGGAAAATGAAAAAGATCCAGCTAAAAAATCAGCATCTGATCATGCTCTAGATGCCTACAAAGCTGCAGTCGATGAAGCTGAACATCTTCCTACGACAAGTCCTATACGCTTGGGTTTGTACTTAAACTACTCTGTATTCTTTTATGAGCTCTGCAATAACCCAGAGAAAGCCTGCGAACTAGCCAAAACTGCCTTTGACACAGCCATTGCTGACCTAGACACCTTGAGTGAAGACTCATACAAGGACAGCACTTTGATTATGCAGCTTTTGAGGGACAATTTGACACTGTGGACATCAGACCAAGGTATGCAATGTCAATAGACCCTGTTTTCACTATACCTGCCCTCTATCCTGGTTAAGTTACTGATGTGTTAAAACGCAATGTCAGACATGGTTTCTCAGGGGGCAAACAAGTGAAAAAAACTTGTCGGTGCAAAAAATCGCTGTCAAGTTTGTTTATTCTAAACAACAGAAAATGAAGAACTTTTCATCTCAAAGACGATCATGGCAAATTAAAAGTGATCATTGTTACTTCTTTGGATGATTAATTTGGAGCGAAAGGGCCTGAAGGTGGAAGGGCCTATGGCCTAAAAGGGGAGCATTGCCTTGGAGGAAAGCATGGCTACCAGCGAGCGCCTTTGCAGTTTTGTGCATAGCCTGCATAGCGTGACGGTTTTGATGAGGCGTGCAAATAAGCTAAGACCGGCAAAGCCACTGAAACTTTGAGGAGATTGGGGTACTAAGAAGCAATGAGAAACTGCCTGCTCAGACTGGCGGCCTTTTTGAGTAGTCCATATGCCAGCGTATAGATCATGCCGATTGGATCAGAATGTATGCCCCTCAATCAAATATTTGGTAATCTCCCATGGGAGATTTCCAACTGACTGAACAATCTTCTCCCCAAAACAAAATCAAAATATCAAAGAAGCATTGACTGGAGTGTTGTCGATCTTGAATATTTGACCGGAAAACAGCATTGCTTTTATCCCATCGATCCCTAAGCATGTGTAAAGTCAAGGCCTCTAGAAGCTGGCTATTCAAGTTCAGTTAGTTGGCTATTACAGCACCGTTTTCGGTCAAAAAATAAAGTCTGTGGACCATGACTTGTGTATCAGTGTAAGTCACTTAAGCAATGAGAGTGCTGATATCCCAGACGTCATTAATAGCAACTGGGAGTTTGATGTCTCACTGATTCTGTCCCATGCATCGAATCTGAATTCCTTTGGTTTAAATCCCACCGTACAAATTGTCAAGTCAGAGCACTGAAAGAGAGAAAATATCAACTTCTGGTTGCCATTTTTGGCATCCGCGACATCAAGATTCTGGTTGCTTAAGGTCCCCAATAATACTGATAATAACCAGTTCATGAAATACTGATAGTCAATAATAGGAAGCTTATAAAACAACCACTACAATGGTAACAATGAGCATTTCAAAAAAGCAGTGGTTTTTATGGGCAGTTGACACTTTTTGGTACATTTCTTTGAATTCCACTGCACGTTTATGATGTGAAGCTTCCTAGTGTCCCTTTGTAACTTGGATACTGTCCTTAAGAACACCCTAAAGGCCGATTTAGACAGTGCAATTTTTGATTATGACTATTGCAGATGACTTTGTTTATGACATGACTTTCGACCATCCACACACGCACGATTGTCACGTAGGACAGCCTAAACGCAAGCAATGTCACAAAAGTGGCTGACATCAGATTCGTGTCAGCCATGGCTGTGTCTTGTTTCCTTTCTGAAATAGTGTTTTGGCAGTTAAATATAAGGTCTTCCCCACTCCATAGTGATGTCGGGTGTTCCTTTTCTTCTTCAGTCCAAGACATCTTGCTGGCTGAAGTTGATTTATGACAGGAAACGGTGACTTTTTCTGAGTCTCCAATTTTGTACATGCAGGTCATGTAATTTCCAGTTCAAACATGAAAAGCTAAAATTGTGCAAGTGACTTCTTACACCCTCCCATTCTCTTCTCAAAATTTGTCACTAAAAGCTCATAACATGCCTTTTCTTTATTGTTTGTGGTTACCATTGTAGCGCAAATTTTAAAACATGTTTCAAGTTGCTACAACATTTTTTGAGTGGCGAAGAGCTGTTGTGTGGATGTCCTGGGTCATGACATATACTAGTCGCATGTCATAGTCATAAGAAAAGAATCCACCTAAATCTGCCTTAACAGTATCAGTAAAGGATCAAAAGGAAAGGTTTCAAGAATTAATAAAATGATCACTTAAGGGAAAATGCTTTCATTTTTTATCAAATTCTCTCAATTAATTTTTAAAGGAAATGTTTGGAGATCAGTCTGGGTACGTTCTAGGTAGATATTGGGAGTTAAATGGTTAACTTCAACAACCTTTTTTTGGTGTCAGTAATATTTCATTTATTTTCTTTGACAATACTTGCAGATGCAGGAGATACCAAAGTCGAAGATTTGGAAGATGCTAAATAGAGAAGTCAAGAGAAGTTAGAAATTCATTATGCGTAGGAGATTAAACTTTTTTGGTTAAGTTCTTGTGCAGTTATTGCCCCGCAGGGACCCAGTAACCTGGTAAGGCCATGCCAAAAAACCCCTTTTTCGGTGAAAAAACTATCTAACTTCTTGCCTTTTTCTAATGACAGTTGAATAATGTCTGTGTAGACAATTCCTTGCTGGTGTCATAGTTTACATTATAAGAAAGCGGTCAATACCATTGTAGTTAGACGGGACCCATCACTATAATGTCTAAAATAAGACTAGTGCTGCCTTTAAGTAATGATCCCAGTAAGGTGGAAAGCAATTTTAGTTTATTTAAGGGGCAAATACGGATTCCTAACGTGTGAATGTTTTTAAACAGGGAATGCAGAAACCTACAGAAAGGTAATTTTTAAAATAAAATGTTTTTCAATGTCATTTTGAACAGGTTTTTCTTTGTTTTAAAAAGATTTCGACTAATCATAAGAGATGCAAACATTAGCCAAGAAAAGTTCACAATATTATTTCACGTGTTCCTCACATAGGATTTTGTGCTTTTTAGACTCAGTTTAGATTTTTTCTGAAAGGGGGTGTTTAGAAAACTAAGGAGTAATGTACAAGCTGCTTTACAAAGTTTTGATAATATTTTTGTTGTTTAAAGGCATAGTACAGACAATAGAAAAGTTAGCACCATGTTGCATTCTGGCATGTTCATTGTTGTTGTTGCTTTCCTTCTTATATGGACCATAACTTAATGTACTTGCCCCTTGTTTCCAAGATGGTGATTCATTCTCATTTGAATCCGGGGGCAGGGGGGGAGGGGGGTTAAGGGGGCAGCCAAGGAAGCTATTGACCAGCACCCTTCCAAACCTCTTATTTCATTGGTCCCTATAACCTGCACTACCCATTGTTTTCAGGGATGGGAGCATTGTTATGCCACCATCCCTATTGTTTTCTCAGCCAATCACAAACCTGGGTAGAGGTGAGCCGCCAAGGCCATCAAACCCTAACCCTGTTTAAGACAAAAATCGGTCATTTCGCTACTCTGTTTACGAACAGAGACCCTATTTTATGACCCTAATTCATTTTGTTTCACATTTAGAAAAGAGTAATTTTTAAACTGACATCACGATGAAGTTAGTTTTTTTTTGTAAAAAAAAAAAATTGTTGGTACCAGAAAGTTTAAGTTCTCTGCTTCAAAAAGACACCCTGTTTAATTCTGATGTTTCATTTGAAACATTACTCCACACAAGGTGTTTGTCAAGTGGGTTCCTATTTTCTTGAATAGCTTCTCTTGCTTTGTCCTTTCAGCATTCAGAGTTGATTATTTTTTATGAGAAACATTTGCTAATGAAGCACCGATGTAAACCGACATTTTCCTATGTGTTTTTAGATATATAACGGTCTCATTTACTTCGCATGAAATATTGGCCTACTGCTGGCAGTCAGTTGACTTGATTCTCTTGAAGATTCAGTCCAATTTCCATCATACATCACCTGAGGGGCAGATGTTATGGTTCAATTTTATCCTTATGGTTCTAATTTTCTTTTCCTTTGCTTCAAGCTCTTGTCGTTTGTTAACATGTCCAAAAACAAAGGAAAACAAAATTTTAACTAACGATAAAATTAAACCTCAACATACAGCTTTCTATTTAAAACATGTGACGTAACTCCTCTCTTAAGCCCCCCTCTGATAAGACCCCTTTTTTCGGGGGAAGGAAGTTGTTAAGCCATCCTTCCCTCCCCTTTTAATCTTCAAAATCAAATTAATAAATGCTAGACTGTAATAATCAAGACTGACACTTCAAGTTGTCTAATCCGGTATGGTTTATCCACTTGTTGGAAGTTCAAACTATGTTGTTTTGGATATCGGGCTCTATAACCTCCATGTCATTTTCTAGAGCTTGCCCACTTACTGTTCTAGTTCTTTTTGGAAATTTGATACCATCTTCTGGTTGTTTTAAAAACCATTATAGCCCCCCCATTCCCCCCCAATTTGCTAAATTAATCAAGTCCTCCCTCTGTATTAAGTTCTCCCCCAAACGTGTTTAAAAGAAATGAGCCGTCCCCTGAGTCTTTATAGAGGATTTATGGTAGCTAAAGTTGGTCCCTCCCAATACAGTGAATTTCAACTCTTTCTAAGATTGCACAATGCCCATCTTAGCTGAGCATATGCTACTAGTACATTTCCAACAGTGTCCATCTGAGAGGGAATAGTTGTGCTAGGGGGTTAAGAATGGCTGTATTGGAGAGGTGTCATTTCCAGGCAGTCCTTTTTGCTTCTCCAAGTTTTAGTGAATTGTAAACAGTCTGAAAGTAGTTAAGTTCATTGTAGTTTTAAGAAGGTACAGGCAAAAACAGCAAGTGAAAAGATCACTGTAAATACCGTATACAATGATAATAAACACAGCGGTTACTGTGTGTTGGTCTTTGTGATATTTTTTTGTATATGTAGTGGTTCAATGTTATCCTTGGTTTAAATTTTATTTTTCATTGTTTCAAACTCATTATCATATATTACCATACCCAAAAACAAAGGGAAATAAAATTTAAACCAAGGATAAAATTGAACCACCACATATATATTTACTTCGTAATGGTTTAAACCAGAGGATCGTGTCATTGTGTTTGACAAAGGAGAAGAACGCAATTCTAGATCTAAATATGGTTTTGTCGGCAACATCCAAGAGGGACATCACGCCAGCTCTAAAACACTAAAAATATAGATGATAATAAAAGCTAGAGTCGCAAATAAAAATTAATTTGACCTGTTAGTAAAAGATAACCTAAAAGACTTTCCTTTTAAGAATAGAGGTAACAGTTTCTTTCGGGAGTTTGTACCATTCAGTTATTGTCTTGGGAAAGAAAGAAAATCTAAAGATATCCATCTATCCTTTCGGTACAATAAATTTAAAATCATGGCTTCCTCATGTTCTCCTTTCTCTATTTGGAATCAAACAGTCCTCCCATTTCTCATCTAGAAAGCCATAGCACATGTTATACATAACTGACAGCCTGCGTGTCTTCTCATTGTTTCAAGTGTGTCCCACCTTAAATCTTGCAGCATTATACCGTCACGCTCGCTGTTCCATCGTCATTTCCCGTGACAAAGCCCGGAAGGGGGGGCACTGCCAGATATGGGCCATATAGGTATGTGCCGCTGTGAAGGGTATGGTTCTCAAGCAGTTTACTCTAGGATAGGGTATATAAATCAGAGCGCTTGGGTCTAGAATAGGGTATCCTTTTTCAGGAAACTGATCAGTTGGTTGAAGATTTTATCTAGACTAGGGAAACAGCTACTCTAGGATAGGGGGGATTTGGGGAGTTTACTCTAGTATAGGGTAGCAAAATTCAGCTGAACCAGCTCTGGTATAGGTTAAGGGTTCCAAGGTCCCCACCCAGAAATTCCTAAAGTACCCCCCCCCCCCGGGGACAAAGCGGGCTACTTTTCACTGTACCCTTTCTAAAGCGGCTTTATCTTTCTGGTTGTACGGGTCCCATGCACTACAGGCACACTGGAGGTTTGGTCTCATTAGTGCGGTGTACGCGGTTTCTTTCACTGACTTTGGACAGTTCCGCATTATTTGCCCCAGGTGTGTAGGGACCACCTCATTTTATCATCAAGCGCTACTCCGAGATAAGGGTGAGATTCCACTTCTTCTAAAATTTTTCCACAGAATACGTATTCCTGCTTTGGTGGATCTCTCTTGCTTGCAAAGCATATGATCTTGCACTTTGAAGGATTAAATTCCGTTTCCACTTTCGCTGCCTAGCTTCTAATCTATATAGATAATCCTGAAGATCGGCTGTATCTTTATCACAACGGATTGTTCCATATAACAGTGCATCATCAGAAAAAGTCGGTAGTTAAGACCATCAGGTAAGTCATTTATATACATTAAGACCAATAACGACCCAAAGACCCTTCTCTGGGGAACGCCGAATGTCGTGACTACAGGAGAAGATGATGCCCTCTCAGTTACTACTGATTGGGTACGCTGTGTTGGAAGCGATTCGAACCAGTGAAGTAGTGAGCCACGAATTCCCGTAATAATCAAGTTTTGTCATAAGTCGGCGATGAGGAATTACTATCTTGGTACAGTTACCAGTCATGTTGGGGCAACGTTTGAATTTTGCCAACTTTTGAAATAATGATGATGACGACGACGATGCTGATGCTGATGCTGGACTGCTGTAATATAGCGACTTCTAGACACTAGAGGAGTATAAGAAACACAATTACCAATTGCCAAAAAAATTGACAGGGTCTTCGTTTTCACAATCCTCTAGTGTCTAGAAGTCGTTTTTAGCAGTTTCGAGTCGTTTCCAAGTGATTTTGAAGGGGGAATCTTGGTTTTCTACATCAGGGGGAGTTACGGTAGAGAACAAAGACCCTGGTCAAAATTTTGGGTAATTAAAATTCGCGCTGTTTTTTTACACTTCTGCAGTGTCTAAAAGTTGTTATAAGCAGTTTCGAGCCGTTTCCAAGTGATTTCGAGGGTGGTCTTCTTTTTCTACATTTGGGGGGGGGCGGAGTTATGTAAAAAAGGAAGACCCAGGTCAATGTCATTGATAATGAAGATCTTTTTGAGAGGCCAGCAGCACATACCCAGCAAACATAAACCCAAGTACCCCTCCCCCCCTCCTGTGTATACTTTCCCTAAACGTACGAAAGGCCAGTTCGACGGTTCTTCACAGTTTCACTGATTATGGCGGATCTTTGCCCCGATAAAACATATACTTCTCTTAAAATAATAGAATGTCAGAAGCGTATCCAAAATAATGGAAACAGCGCGGAAATAAACGTTTCAAGAAATTAACGCGACTGAAGCTTCTTAAATTGTTGATATTGGCATTAATTTCATGAAGCGCTAACATTAAATTGGCGCGATCCATTCAAACAAAATTTCCGGAAATTTCGGTCCAAAACTCAATGGATCGGTTCGGTCTAACTGGAAAAGTTTCGAAAAAACTGGTTCACCTTTTGAGGTAGACCACTTTTCCCGGTCGGACCGGTTCTGAAATTTTGGTTGAATGGATCGCGCCCAGACCACCCTAAAGCCTGCTTCCGCCCGCGGGTTCGCGGGCCTTGGGTCTTAGCTTGCAAGAACAAAGTGAGGAGCCTGGTTACTAGTAGAGTTGACGCCCTTCGTTTGAGCAAAGGAAACCGGCGTCGTAAAGCGTTCAAGTCTTCGCTTTTTAGGCCAGAAAAATGACAGACAAGGACCAAAAAGTGTTCATGGCAAAGTTAGCCGAACAGGCTGAGCGGTATGAGGGTAAGAAAAGAGTATTTAGCTTCGTCGGAATGCGTTTTGGAGTTAAGAACTTCGAGTTTGTTTTATCGCGCCAATTCGGTTATGTCGGCAAACAGCTCTCTGGTCACAAAATTTTCAACGGACAAAGCGGATGCATTGATCGAATTTTTTCGATTATTACTCTCGCTCTTCCCAGTGAGGCTTACATATACAGAATTGAAGTGCTGTAAACAAGCACTCGTGTTGTTAACAGCTGAGATTTATCGACGATGAATGAAGTAGAGTTATCGCGGATGCGTTCTTCCATTCACCTGACATTTACAAAGGGAGTAGATTTCCGTGATAATTTATGCCTTGCATAAGACTAAATTAGACGCCTTACACGACAAACGACCATCAGAAAGCATATATGACGCTTGAGAATTCGATATAAGCTTACGTTCTATAAAGACTTGATCGATAGGTCGATCGGTTCACGAGCTGAACAAAGAGCTTACAATTAGCGGGGAAAAAATCTCGGAATGTTACATGCTGAAATTCTGTTTCTGCCCGTAATTGAAATTCCGGGACTAAACAGGCCGTTTTATTAGAATCACTTTAGAGATGTAAACAGCCGACAGCATACTGTAACTATAAAATTGCAAACGACATGTACAAATATCTTAATCATATTCCCTTTCAAAAGCGCTCTGTTGATAATGATAAAGATCAGGTGAAGCGAATTGAGGAAATAGCTCTAAGACTCGAGTTAAACTTCGTAGAGGTTGCGGTCTTTATGTTCAAAAGATGCCTGAAAGGTGCGTCCACATGGTGATGAAGAAGGAAAGTACATTGTTGTTTTTCCTAATACCATGTGTTGTTGATTTCGCTCGTAGTTCGGTGGAAATGCCCGAGCGATTTTTAACAAAGACAGCGTTTATTTGCACCATTCTCTATACTCTTACTATATGTATAAACATTTCCCCGGGGTCCTATCAATGAATGGAATTACTTCACTTTTACTGACAAAGTTCTTTTAAACTTATACATGTAATTATGTAGGAAGTATTCCGTAGCACAGTGCTAGATATGTTATTCTTATTCTGGATATAAAAAGTCAAACTAGTAAAACCAAGGACAGAGTTTTTGTAGGAAGGTTCAAGTAATATACCATGGATTCGATTATATAAATTGCATATATCTAACTAAATTAGTTGCTGCTGATGGCAAAGTAAGGACAATGAGATAGAGGCAAGATAGAGACAAGTAATAGTAAGATATTATGTATTGCAGACAGCACACATATGGTGAGCAATGGAGTCTGTTGTCAAACTGAGTTAGGTCAAAAATAGCTAAACCGTAGGTCATGGAAAACTTGAAAAGACGAACAAGTGCTCCAAACTAACAGTCTTTCACTCATCTAGTCTGGTGATTTGTTTTGAGTTTAACTATTAATTTAGTTACGTAATTACAGGGCTCGAAATTAAAAAAAATGTCTGGTCGCAAATTTGCGACTAGTTACGAAAATTTGGTCGCAACTTTGAAAATATTAGTCGCGAAATTAATTGAGGCCATTTAATCAAAAAATAAGTAGGCTTTTAAATGATTAACGCTTTAATTTTCATTCTTTAACAGCTTTCATGTCATTTCGAGACTTAATAGTACAGAACGTTTAGCATCTCGGACAACACCAGTTCATCTAAACGATCAAGTTGAACCTGCGTTAAGGCACATAAATTAGTGTCTGTTATTTTAGTCAAAGCGATAGATTTCCAAATCATGAACAGATATTACAGCAGGAAACTGCAGTTCTTAAATGCCTCCAATCTCTGCAAAATAGAAATAACATTTGTACTGGGCGGACATCCGACATGGTTATAGGTTACGTTACGTAACTAAATTCCTTTAGTTTTACCTTTTGTAGGTTTTCCACCGATGACAAAACAAGTAACGAATTCTTTTATATATTAAGCTTTACATCTGAAGTATCAGGGGTGTTACTACAGTGATTATTCAAAGAACCCTGAAGGACTGAATCGACGATACGTGCCATGCGGACATTCCGCCATCTTTGTTTGCTAAACCTCGTTTTCATGTATACGTAGATTCGCAACCCACTTGGAACCGATTTATTTTACATGTAAATCTTTTTTTTTAAAACTAACCGTTACTGTCAAACGAAGAAACAATGAAGCCTTAAGTACTCATTTTTTACCAACGAAAGTTATTGACTCCAGTTTTTCTGCTTGTTTCGGTTCCTTCGATCTTACTCAGTGACTAACGACTGTCAGCGGCAAATCAAAACGAAATATGAGCCTGCAATGTACATGTTTACAGAACCCGCTGAAAATGGCGTGCTGTTGAAGGAATATCGTTGCGTGTATGCATTCCAGGTAAATTACGGTAAACCTTCAGATTGTAAAAAAATTATAAGACGCTACTTCAATGAATATTTTTGTTTCGAAATTTATTTAAGCAAAAATTCAAGTGCTAGTCCTTTTATTTCGTATCAGTTAAGGCAAAACCTAGTCGCAAATTTGCGACTACTCTCGTTTTTCTAGTCGCAAATAAGAAAAATTAAGTCGCAAATGCGACCGTATCGGTCGCAATTTCGAGCCCTGAATTAGCCCAAAAATAAGTATTTCACATTAGTTGTTCTCATGGACAAGTAGAAGTTTACCTCTCTCTTGTTTCTTTTTTGTTAAATTAGCATGTAGTAAAGTTTTTCCTTCATGCTACGTCAATAGCAGCAAGAACTACAAGGGCTATTTAGAAAAATGTGAAGGAATGGGCCAGGTTTTGGTTTTAAGTCCACCTCAGTCATAACAGTGCAAAACATCATCCAAACCTCTTGTAACACCCAAAGACATCTGATTCTTAAATTGGTGTACTCTGACACTGGAATGTGGCTCATTTAGGGGCAATGTCATGATGGTATTGCTGTTTTAAGCCAGTTCTTTGCTCAAGTCATTACTTGGTGCCCTCACCCATACACAAAATGCCCCTGTAGTGTTATGAAGCAGACATAAAACAAAGTTCATTGGGAGAAGTAACCATGACAGTTTTTTGGTGATTTTTACAGGTGTATCGTTAAAACTTGAAAAAAGTTGAGCCAATTTTTTTGAGTTTCAATCCCTGTCCATCTGTAGCAACAGATGACCGGAAACAGTTTCAATGCCTAAACATAGTCTTAAATAACAAAACTGGACCATTATTTTTGGAATTCATTTGTCTGGGGAAAAATTGTAGCTTTTTAAAAAGATAGCAAATAGTGTGACCTAGCCCCTTTAAGAGTGTGATCCCTGTAAAAACAAGCTTTTTTAGCAACTGGAGCACTTGAAGAAGACAGTATTTGTCTCAGGAACACTTAAGGTGGTACAAGAGACTAACATGAAGATCTCAAAATCGTGTGATTTTCTACCAGCTTGAAGCTGGCGAGTTTGTAACAGTGCTTGTGAAGTTTCAGTTCAGGGCGATCACATTTAAGTGAGATAAAAACAACTAAAGTTTTGTTTCTGGGACCATTTTAGCAAGAAAGACTTTGTAAACTGAGAGCTATTAACACAGCTGTGGTTTAGAAAGCTGACACTTATTCCCCGGTCACTCTAACTTAACATGTTTAATATTAAACTAGGTAACAAAAAAACAGTGAAAGAAGCCTTAAACACAGGCTATTACACAAAATTTAAGGGAACTTTAACCTGTTATAATTGCACTAAATTTGCCATCAAAAAAGTACAGCCAGCAGCTTTTATGAAGAAAGCAAATTTAAACCGTATGTAATATTATCAAACAGCTTTTAATCATTATTTAAGCATTGGTGTGAATGTAGCCTGCATCGCACACGTAATTTGTATCATTAGTTAGTAATGTCTCCGAGGTTTTAGAGGTTCATGTAGCAAATCCAGGTAGTGGTTTTTCGTCCACCTGATTCATGGTTGAATTGGAATTTGCAATTGTTGGTTTTTGAGGAGAGTGGAAAACCGGAGTACCTGAAGAAAACCTCTCGGAGCAAAGAATAGAACCAAGAGCAATCTCTGCTCTGGGCCAGCAACAGGCTCAATGAATTACAAAAGCAACTTTGCTGGATTTTAAAACTGTTTAATTTTAACAGAGCTGCTTTTTGTGACTGAAAAATGACACTGACTTCTTAAATTTCAAGCACAGCATCCACTTTTTCCTTGAGATGAGATGCTATTGTTTTTTTCTTATGGGCAAGAGATCGCAGCTCATCCATTGAAATCAAATAAACAATGTGTAATGCTTCATGGGAAGTGACAAAGGGTCTTTAATTTCGGAGGTTATCTAATTCTATGCAGACATGTAGAGTCCAAAAATGGGAAATGCAGGTTAGAAAACCAGGAGGCATGTAGGAGTTTATCTGAATAAAACTGGAAAGTTACAGAACAATGAAGTATTCCTTGTTGTAAGATATGGTTTTTAGTGATTTGTGCTCAGAATCAAGGAAATGCAACTTTTGAGGACCTTCCCATGTTTCTGGGGTTCCTTTGAGCATGTTGCAAATCCCTCTTTAAAGAATAGGGAGCTTTAGCATCGACGACGGCAATGGCAGCGAAACGTCAGTTTTAAAATGAATTCCCGTTTTTTCAATCTTTGTCGTGTTTATTCCAATTTGCTGAAAATGGCAAGTGTAGGCAAATTTCCCGGGAGTTGGTTTCTTGAGGACTGCACTCAAGTTTAAAGAGAGAAAAAGAGATTCATCGTCGCTTGTCAGTTACGTCCTCCATAAGACTTGCAATTAGGCATTTTCATCTCGTAGTCATGCAAGGACGGTAAAGAAATGTACAAAAAAGCGTGATGCACATCCAAAGTTGTCGTTTTGTGTAATAAACCTATTGCTTTTTTGATGTTCTGGTTGCCGTCGCCGTCGTCATTGCTAAAGCTCCCTAATGACTCCCTCATAGGTGCTCGATGGCATTATCTGGGTTCTTTTCTCAATATGGCCACCAACATGATGTAGACAATTTTGTTTAAAAAGTGATTAATTTTGATCTCTTTTTTTTATTTAGAAATGGCAGAGTTCATGAAGGAGGTAGCTCAGATGGATGATGGGGAACTCAAAGTTGAGGACCGTAACCTTTTATCAGTAGCCTACAAGAATGTGATTGGGGCTCGAAGAGCAGCCTGGCGCATCATTTCTAACTTGGAATCGAGGTCGGATAAGAACAAGGACTTAATTACAAAGTACAAGGAGAAGGTTGAGGAGGAACTCAATAATATCTGTGAAGATATTATTAAACTTCTGGATGAACATCTCATCAAAAATTCAAGTACTGCTGAATCACAAGTTTTCTTCTTTAAAATGTAAGCGGTTTATTACTATTAAGAAGGTGTAGACTTTGTTTAATAGGAATGCAAATGTGGTGTTGTGAAATTCAAGCCTTGCTTAGCCTGTGCCATGGATGGAACTAAACTTCTGCTTGAGTCGGTCAGTGGCCAAGTCTTTTTTTGGGTCCCCACCTGTTCACCAGAATTTGAGTATGCAGCATGATTGGCCTGTTAAAAAAGCCATTGTCATTTTGCCAAGCAAGTTGAAGGGAAATTTAACCCTTTAAGCCCCAATATCCACATACAAATTCTCCAAGCTGATCTCTTTTCATTTCCTTAAAGAATGTGTTGAGAGAATTTGATAACCCTCCATAATTATGTGTCTCTCTACCCTTGTGTTTGAGTGCTAATGCTGTGGTTAACCCAGTAAACAGTTGACATGACGCAGTCCAAACACATAGCCTTGGGTTGCTTGAAAGACATTTCACTGTGAACCAGCTCATGGATGAATTGGATAAGTGTAGATAAGACAGTTCAATAATCAAAGTAACACTGGGAACTTGTGATACAATTAAATAAAATATTATTTTAAATGTGGCTAAATGTAATTTAGGCAAAGTTAACCTCAACGGAATGCTGGTCATGGATACCTTCTCCTCATGCCACAGCATTACCCAGCTTCACCAACTTTGTAGGCACCAGCACCCCAGCTCATCTATTAATGATGCATTTAAGATGAAAATTACAGTTTATCCTTTGTAGTAGGAGGCATGTGCACTAAATAAATTATACAAATTGAAGCCTTGAGGCTCTCAAGTAGAATCTTGAGAGAGCTGTGTTTGTTGTGAGAGATTGGAGTGCCTTCCATTCTTCTTTTGAGAATTTTTGTTTTGGAGTTGTAATGTAATCCATTTAAGATAACTCTTAATGTTGCCAACAGGTTGTTTGATTGATAAGGATGTCACGTTTTTTTGTGTGTCCTTTGCTTCTGTTTCATACAACAAATCATCAATTAGTGGATTTGTTGATGTCGCTTTAACAATTTGAGGTCCATTTTTCACACTAAGGGTTCTTTAGCTTATTAGCTTTTCACCAAATGAAAATTAAATGAATTTATTATTCTGGAGGTGAATTGGAAATAATTTTATTTCCTTTTTGTGCACAGAATTTTTTTTCTTACTAAGTTACCTTTTCAAATCTTTCCCCCCAAAATTGTCTTTTTTTTGTTGTTGTTATGTTTTATTTTATTTTTTGTGAGATAATAAATTATAGTTATTATTTTCAGTACAATAACAATGGAGAGAATACAGGCAAAAGCAACTGTGTCATATTGTAATCCATCTTTCAGACCACTGAAACAATAGTGGTTACAAGACAATATTCATTTTGTGTTTTGCAGGAAGGGGGACTACTTGCGATATAAAGCTGAAATTGCTGCTGGTGAGAACAAAAGTAGCGACTGCGATAAAGCAGAAGCTGCATACGAAAGTGCAGCACTTAAAGCAAATGAAGAACTTACAAAAACAAATCCAATCCGCCTGGGTTTGTATTTAAACTTCTCTGTATTCCATTATGAGCTGCGTAATAATTCTAAAAAGGCCTGTGAGCTTGCCAAAGAAGCATTTGACTCCGCGATCAGCGAACTCGACACCTTGAGTGACGATAAGTACAAGGATAGCACATTGATCATGCAGCTTTTGAGGGATAATTTGACACTTTGGACTGCTGACAATGGTAAGGTTGATCCATCCTACTGTTAAAGGGGCTATGTCACGCTATTTACTATCTTGTTAAAAAGTAAAACTTGTCTTTGCTTCAGCTTCCCAAGAATAATGGTCCAGTTTTGTTTTTTAAGATTACGGGCAAACCTCCAGTAAGGGACCACCTAAAATGCAAAGACTTAGTGTTCGCTTACGGTTGGTGGTCACTTACAAGAATTGAACCACAGGGGGCCTCTTCCAAGAAGTGGTCCGGGCACATCAACTTTATGGAAGATAATTAATTGCATGCAATTTCTTTTTTACACCATTTGTAGTTCTGTGTTGTTACTAATGCACCTGACTCCAAGTAATTTTTGTTTCCCTTTAGGTCAAATCTATATAATAATATTTTACCCTCGATAACTCAAATTATGTTTTAAGCATGTCGCAAGTAAAAAAAAAAAAGAACAGTGTACTACATTCCAAAACATTGAATTTATTTTAAAACAAGCACAGGGCTGTCATTAAGAGACGGGGGCCGTGGATTTCCCCCGGCTACTATGAATATAACCCCCGGCTACTTTCAAAGGAAAATACAAGAAAAATAGAACCAAAAGAAATCCCTAGCTGTTTGATTCCCTGCCTACTTGTTTTATTTACCCTGCAACTTGAAGTCTTAGTGACAACCCTGCAAGCATGTATACTTTGTCTTTACTTTCTTGTCAGTCAAGTTTAAATACAGTGTCAAGCCCTGTATATTCATAAAGGTTTTTACAGTTTCTTAGCTTGCTGCCCGTGAAGTGAAGTGCATGATTTTAAGTCTTGCATTCCTTTCCCATCCCATTTGCTTGTTTCTTTATTTCAAGTTATTTACTTCAAACTCCTGATAACTCTACCTTTCTTTGAATTTCCCAAGAAGGTTTAAGTTATCAGGAGTTGACTGTATTATTTTCTGGAACAGGGTCACAAGTTCATCTCTTTTGGCCTGGAACAGGTCCAGAGTCTAAAGGACACAGCGACACACCCTCGTAGTAAATTTAAGGGAGTACCTGCCCCCAGGTTTGCATGCTACCTTTGACAACTTAAACAAAATCAACTAAGGAAAACATTCCTTCTTTTACACAGAAGATGATGGAACAAAAGCTGTAGATTTGGACGACGAAGATGCCAAGAAGTGAACAAGCGATTTATTGTATTTCAGGAATGTATATTATTCTTACTTGCTTCAGAAAATGTTTGGGCATACCTACTGGTGTTAATTGTGTAGCTTCAAATAATGCTCTACAGAGATTTTTATTGCAAGATTTTTTCTCAAGGATATATGTCCTTTATCTGTTTGTTAGTTTTTATGCATAAAAGTGTTCCACCAAAGAGCGCTCGTCATGTCTAAGAACCTAAACTGTCATCTTTTTAGTAGAATGTACAGTTGAGCCTCCATTAAGTGGTCACCTACTGAGCAGCTACCCTCAAGTAAGCAGCCAGTAATCAAATCCTGAAATAATTTTCAAAAGGAATGGGAACTTGCCACCGTTTGGTCATCCCGACGAGAGTTATCTCATTATTTTCACCTCTATAAAGCAGCCGTCCAGCGCTTGATAGACTTAGTTAGGCTTTATTTCAAGAACATGATTAGTCCGATATAGAAGGTGATGACCGATAGTGGACCAGTCATGCTGCTCCCATCACATGTTTGTTTCAAAGTGAACTGATGTTTCCACTAAAGATTATGCTAATTTATGAGAAACCTCTGTTGAGCGGCCAATCTCCATTAAGTGGCCACTCGCTGGTGCTCTGAGGGAATAGTGGTTCAACTGTAACAGCTTAAGTTCGTATGGAGTCCCATCAAATCATTATTACTTTTTAAATTGTATCCTTGTAATTTATTTGATGATTTGATTGTGTGAAAATGTACTTTAGAGGCTAAAAAGTGTTTCACATACATTGTAATCCTTGCTTGTTTGTTTTTTCAAGGTCTCTGTATTATGTAACAATACCAGTGATAAAATTATTAAACTGTATTTGTAGATGAAACTGTCAGGTTGTTTAGGTTTCTGGTGTATATTGCAAGCGTGTAAGCTTTAGCGTGCCTTTTTCTTTTTTGTTAGTTGAGAAACATCCTTCCAAATTATCATCATCATCACGCTACATATACAGTGATTTTGTTACAAATAGTAATGGTGACTCCTGGGACTCATCTTGCGAAAAATCATGAGACCCAGTTAAAAAAACAAAGAAGAATCCTAAATTGGGCTCTTAGGTAACCAGACAGTTACTCTGACTCCAAAACTCTGTATTACAGTTTACTGAAATAGAAATATACTCCTTCTGTTGTAAAGGACAACAAAGACTAAAAAATATGTTTTGTTAAAAAGTAGCCACAAAGACAGCCTCAGAAATCACATGAACAGGATATTCTACAAAAAACTTCTTCAGATTGATCAATTGATCTTGCATCCTACGGGACGCATGCCATGAATTATTTTATGTTTTGGGGGATTTTTACTGATGCATCAGGGACGCAGGACGCAGAGGTAACAGAATCACTGCGTGTATAAATTCGCTACTTTAGAAACGAGAAGGAAATGGGCCAAGTTAGCTATCACAAAAGACTCCTGGGATTGTTACTTACATTTAGGACCTGCTATCTGCCGTCAGTCAGCAGTCAGCTGTTGGCCAATAGACCTTTTTACTGATACGGCGGCCATATTGAATTAATTCAATTTAGGGAGTACTATAGGATGCCCAGGGGGCATGAGCACATTTCGTTTGTATTTTCGAGTGCTTTTCGGGACATTTTTTCTTAAAGTTTTCTTAGAATAAGATTGTAATGGGAAAAAAGATCCTTGTGCCATGTTTGGATGTAATAATGATCGCCTTTTTCTAGTATGGTCTTTCACTGTATATTTCTTGGGAAAAGGGCAATCATTATTACATCGAAATACGGTACAAGAATCTTTTTCCCCATTACAATCTTATTCCAAGAAAACTTTAAGAAAAAATGTCCCGAAAAGCACTCAAAAATAAAAACAAAATGTGCACATGCCCCCCCCCCCCGGGCATCTTATAATACTCCTCAAATCGAATTAATTCAATATGGCCGCCGTATCAGTAAAAGGTCAATTTGTTTTCCCTGTCCCCAGTAACAGTCCCAGGGTCTTTGTGAAAGTTAATTAGACACAGGTCATACATGAACCTTATGGCCAAGTTTGCCGCGAGTCCTTCGCAGCCCAGTGGTTCAAGCATTCCACCAGTGTGTGGAAGGTCATAAGTTCAATATCTGTCGGGGACTCAGATCTTTTCTTATTCCTGTGGATGTGACATGGTGATCACTTCTTTTCTCATTAATTCTACCCAATTTCCTTCTTGTTTGTAAACTGGCAAATAGCTACCAGCAGAACCTATCACCCCAGAGTGTCCATCAGTAACTAATATAGTCAAATATCATGGTACAAAACTACTCTGCTGGAAAGCAAGGGATGGATGGACTTGGACAAAACAAAGAAAGAAAGTTACCATTTTAAAAACAATGATGCGAGCCATTTGTTTGTCTTGTCCCAGTGTGTTGTCTTGCTTTTCAGCATGGCAGTTTTGTACCATGTGAATGACTAGTTGTAAAGGACGTTTTGAACACGTTCACTCCAGCGTGAAGTAGCCTGAGAAAACAGCCAACATTTTGTGACGCCGCCACTGGTTTAATCCCAAAATGACGGGTGAGGATCAAGTGCAGAAATTCCTCACTGGTGACGTGTCACTACCCTGATCTTGATAGTGCTTCAGATTGGTCGTGCAGTGAGGGAAATTTTCCTCAACCATTTAGAAGCACTATCCAGATCTCGACCGATATTGGGGTATAGGTGAGCCGCTGAGGGCTTGAGACCCTGAGACTGTGTAGAATTAAAAATCAGGAATGTATGCCCTGTTTAGGACAACATCCTCAATTTTATTACCCTTTTTAGGACAAAGGACAAAAGCACACCATTGCTTTTGTATACTTGAGTAGAAACAAATTTCATCTAGCAAATCAAATCAATCGTGCAGGCAAAACCCGGTTTATAGACTCACGCAAAATATACCCTGTTTAATACAGAGTCGCCCAAAATTATATTCCCTGTCTACGACAGAGAAACCAAAAGCCATACCCTGTCCAACTGCTCATCCCCTATAGGCCATATATGGGATATATCCCCCGGGCCGTTTCTATCATCCTCGGAGACCTGGGGGCAGTTAGTCTCTGAGGATGCGTTTCTATTGAATCTTTGTTTTGTCATGATTTAAGCGTTCCGAAGAGGCAGATAACAATCGTGCTGTCTATAAATGCAAACTTGACAATCCGTGAAGTTTTTAAGGAATATGTTTAATTTACAAGAATTTCAACTATTTATTTCTTTTTCTCTTTTCCCTTCTCGGTTTTCTTTGTGCCCAGCAGTAGTTTTTCCTTTAAAAGCGTACACCCATCTCCTCTTGCAAGCACCGAGGCATGACGGGATTCAAGTTTCCCACCCCCATGCATGTGGATCAAATACCCTTGCACCTGGCCTGGGAGATTCTCTTCCCTCCAGCCCGTCTGCGGAGCCTGGTCCCAGGCTTGGGGGATGATGATTGTTCGATTTATCTATCTACATCTGTACATGCAATGTAACCAAAGTACTAAAAGCAACAGCTACGATACGTTTGGATGCAGTTTTTTCTGAGACCATACCGATATTTTTCGATCGCCTTTAAAGTGATTTTATCCTTGTCCGGTCGTCATAAAATTTTCATAACTAACAAAACTTGGATTGTGAAAGTTTGTCAAAATGTGGCTTTGGGTAAAATCGATATTACCATGACAACGATAAACAAAAATCTTTGAAATCAAGATTAAAGATGAATTTTGCTGCATCTCAGCCTGGCTGCATCTAGACCTGCCATTGAAAATCCAAAAACCGAAGTTACAAAGTTACAAAATTATAGGAGTTGCAAAGTTACTGAAGTTACAAAGTTACAGGAGTTACAAAGTTATAGAAGTTACAACGTTACAGAAGTTGCGAGGCCGCATTTCAGGAGAAGCTCTGCGACAGTAGTTGTCAGGTACGCTGCATTACAGTTCTGGTTTGGAGAAAATAGTGCATATGATGTGGCGACTATATGGCATACTATACCCAGCAAGGACATACCGCGGGCGCATGAAGGGGGGTTGGTTGAATAAAGACATGCGCATGTTTTTCAAAATGGCTGTCACATGGAACGAAGTAAAGCCTTGTCTTTCTGGTTCAGTTTTAAATATCATAGACAAATTTGGCTTCAGTTCCATGACTCCGGTACAGGTATACAAAATGATAATCTTACTACTGCCCTATGACGGGCATTCTGTAATGGTCTTAACCCTCGGATTTTTTACTCAGGCAGCCACCATTCCACTTTTTATGTCAAACAAGGATGTTGCAGTTGAGGCGGTAAGTTTGATTTGTAAATTTGTAAATTTTTTTTAGGACAAGTGACTCATCCTAAGCCCATTTATAAAGGCCATCGTTTACCTGGCTTTGCTATAGAATACAGGGCGACTTTCTTGAGTCCCTGTACGTGAGGGGTTTTAGGGATAAGGCATTTTATTGGCATATGTATAATGTATAGATACAGCTTCTATAATTTCAGAATAGATGACATAATGCTCTCTACGTATACTGCTGTTCACCTCATTGTTACTTTTATTAAATTGTTTTAATTTCAATGTCATTTGGCTTTTCTTATTGTATCAGATGTTATCAAATTATTGTGAATTCTCTTCTGAGTCCAGTTCGCCACTTTAGAAATGAAAAGGAAACTGGACCAAGTTACTTTTCTCAAAGACTTTTGAGACTGTTACCATAAAATTCCGAAAATAAGCCCCTCCTAGTATAAGCCCCTCCAAATATAAGCCCCCCAAACGGATGATGCAAAAAGTCCCCTGTTAAATCGCCCCTCCAAATGGGCAATTCCAGAAAATATCCATACCCAACCACGGACGGCTTCATGTTTTAACCCCCCCTTGCCTTCGGAAATTCCAAAATGCGCTACCCCCCCATGCCCTCAGAATTCCATAGTCGTGAACCCCCCCTCCCCTTCAGAATTTCCGGGTTTTTTTGGAAGTACATTTTCGACTTAGCAACGCCTATAAGAACAAACGAACATGAATTTATGCCTCCTCAAGGCTGTGATCTAGCGGCGCCAGGTGACAAGCTTTACTCTTCAGTGACAAGAAAAACCTACGCTAGTTGCCAGGTCGTGCAAACTCCTTTTTAAGTCCGAATTTGGCTATAAAAATAAACACCACTTAAGGTAATTTTACTCCTCTTTGTTTTCTTGTGCTGTTAGCTCAAACAGACTGTTAAAATCTTTTGGCGGTCAAATATACCGTCGAGTCGTGTTGCGTCCTTTTATACGTCATGTAGTGCGCACAAAAAGCGTTCTAATCTGACAGGCGTTCCTTGGAAGTGAGGGACTGGTGCGAGTTTTTTTACTCTTTATCGGACGGTTTCGGACGGGAGTAACAAGAAATTTGCAAGCGGTATTAAAAGATACATTTTCAGTTTTTATTCACGTGACAAGAAATTCATCAAGGTAAATGTGAAACCAACGTTTTACTGTTCACTTCTATAAGTTGTGAGCGTAAACACGTGTCTGATCTATCGATGCTTGTCTTCTGCTTCCGCGGTCATACGTTCGTGGTTTATTTACGAACTACAAAAGTCCACAACAATAGCGTTTTCCAGGAACTTACTAGATACACTTTCTACTCCAGAAATCCCACCTGTGGAATTCCCCCATACCTTCGGATTTCAAATCGTAAATACCCCCCCCCATGCCTTCAGAATTCCATAATCGTGAATCCCCCCTCCCCTTCGGAAATTCTTAAAGCCGTCCGTGGTATGGTATGGATATTTTCTGGAATCGCCCAATATAAGCCCTCCGGGGGCTTGTACTTGGAAAATGCCCTCAAATACTAAGTGAAACAAAGCAAAAACGGTAAATGTACTTCCAACTATAAGGCTAGCCCAATCGATTGTGAAACGCAAATTTCGCTCTGTGAATAAGCCCTTCCAAATATAAGCCCCTTCAAAAATAAGCCCCTCAAAAAGGGCCTTTGAAAAATATAGGCCCCTGGGTTTATTTTCGGAATTTTATGGTATTTGGAACGGGAAAAAAATTGGCCAATAGCTGATGACCGCATCCTCAGTAACAATCCCAGAAACCTTTGCATGACGCTTTTCACCTCCAGTTTCCTTCTTGTTTGTAAAGTGGCAAAAATTATTTTTGCATCATTAATTCACCTTTTGCTTGATCACATCAGCTTATTTCCTTCTTTATAGTGGTCTGATGTTTCCTTTCTTACCTTAAAGTGATGTTACAGGAGATGATTCGCATTGACAATTTTTAACGCAATGAAGCTTGACAACATTGCTGCAACATTGTTTTGAATGATTACTACATGGTTCCAACTTTTCAATGCTCTGTTGCACTAAAATTGTTGTTACAAATCCTCATTTGTAACATCACCAGTAGACAAGCTCTTAAGCTCTTAGGGGAAACCATGTAAATGTGCTAAAATAATTTTCACTTCATGATAAACAGAGCCTTTAAAACTAATTCAACTTGAAATTGTGTCATTGTGATTTAGGTTACAGGATCTGGAAAAACTTTGGCATTCTTGATTCCTGTTGTTGAAATTCTTCTCAGAAGGTACATGTAATAATTATTCTTGATAAATAGTACTGACAGTGAATAACTGACATATCTAACCTGCCAATAATAATTATTGTTAGAGTATATAATATCTTTGACATTTATTTTCTAAATTAGAACTCCAAAATTTGGAGATTCCATGAAAACCCTGAAGATTGACAAATCTAGGTAATATTTACTTCCTTTGTGGTAATATGCCCCTGTTTTGTCGTGGATTATATCTTACTCCCAGTTGATTAAGGGCTACAGATGTACATTATTAACATACAGTTTGTTACATTTAAAGTTTTAGATTGTTGGATTCTAGTAAAGGTTTTTCATGAGACATTGCCAAATGTTGGGGTGTGAAGTTCAAACCCTGAAACACAGCCTTACCCTTGTCATTCAGTACTCAGAGCAGCATTAAGTGTCATTCAGTGAAGTTCTTTCATAGGTGCAGAGTAACAGAAAAACTTTCTTATCCCCTTGTGCAGTGGACAAGCGCAGTCTATATTAAATTTGGTTGTCCAAAACCCAAGAGTTCTTGTGCAAAATGTTTTGCCAGGTTCCTGAACCATATGGAGCTCATTCAAACAAATGAAATGGCCATGTTATGGCAAAGTTAAAAGGAATATTTAACCTTATTTTGTCAAGTATGAGGCTTGCTTTTATGACCTCAAGATAAATTTTAATTGTCACAAAGGCCCGGGTTCTAGGTCTTCCCTGGCTACTATGAGCAAGACCCCGAGTTACTTTGAGAGGAAACAAAAGGAAAATAATAGAAAGTAAAGACCATCCCAGCTATTTCAATTTCCTGCCATCTCTGTAACTGCAAAAACCTGGCAACTCGAAATCGTAGTGGCAGCCCTGAACTTTTAAGTCCAGTTGTGGGTAGGTAAAATTGTCGACCGTAGTCTGATTTATTTCAAGATGAACAAAGCACATAAACAACACATGATTTCCAGTGCTTGGCACATTTCCCTTTCTCATGATCGACTGAGCCAGTTTGGGTTTTTATTTTTGCATAGAACTTACACGTACCTCGGGAATCCTTTTGTTCCTTTTGACTTATGTTTCCCCTTGGGCACACAGTGATTTACCCAAGGTAAAATGGCTAATGTAACTGCACTTTTCCATTACATGTCACTGTCTAAAGTTGTCAACTGTGTATACATGCTGAAAAACTAAATACTGATCTAATTGAGTTGTCTTCTTCTTTTTGCTTTTTTGTTTTAGAGAAGAAAAATTGAAAAAACATGATGTAAGTGTTATTATACATGTACAGTAGAAACTCAGATAACTTGAATTCCCTGCTAACTCAAACTACATTTCCTTTCCGTTAATCAAAATTACAAGGAGAAATTTGATGTCAATCACTCTTAGGGCTAAAAGGATTAAGCTAATGTGAAAGTACTAACATTTGTAGACGTAGTGAACAGTAAAAGACAAGTAAAGGGAAGACTTGGTCATGTAGTAGAAATTCATGTTTGCTGTTTGTCATAAACGTGACTCTAAATTTCTCTATTGAATGCCAACTGGCTGGTTTTCTGAAACAGTAGGCTGGGGCTTTTTTTGTAGAAATTGTTTCTTGGTAGAATGCCTCCTTTAATTTCAGAGCACTTAATCTTTATTGCTGTAATGAAGCACCCGACATGTCTGAAGGAATTATTGTACACAAAAAACTGTCATTGTAAGCATCTCTGTAAGCTAGTTTAGTATTTTAAGCCAATATTAAACTCATCACCAATAGATGAACTTGGGTGATGGTGCCTGCAAGGCTGGTAGAGCTGGGCAATGCACTTGCCTGAAAAACAATGAAGGATTGTGGTTTTTTTTGGTGTCAAGTCTTTCTCTCTTTCACCTTCATCAGGTTGGCGCCATTATAATTACACCAACAAGAGAGCTGGCAAAACAGATTGATGAAGTTTTAAAGAAGTTTACAGAAGATCTTTCACAATTAAGGTTAGTTGCATGACAGGTGAACAAAAAATTAATGTCAATCAAAAAGAAGCTATTAGCTTGTGAACAGGCTCCCAAGTAGAGCAGAGTGAAAAAGAAAATAGATGAGCGAAGCGAGTTGAGCATGGCCTGAGTTAGAAAAAACGGCAGGGGCCCTGTAGACTGACCTGTTTTGATGCCGCCCATCCATGATACCAGATTCTGGTATCATGGTCTGATTGGTCAGATCACTCACTGTTGACAAGTTATTGATGAGCAATGAATACCTGCGCAGGATACCAACATGCACATGAATGTTACTGGAGCTGATGCATTCAAGTGTAAAAAAAAAACATCTTACTTTGACAGGTCTTACTGACATGTTATTGACATATGTGTTACAGGATAATTGCAAGTAAGCAGATGAGTGGCATCAAAACAAAGAAAGTCTATAGGCTCCCCTGCCTTGGTTTGCCAATTTTCTTTTCCATCCCGCTCCAGTTGGGAGCCTTTTCGCAGGCTAATAAGCCGCTGGATAAGTGTGGTCAACTGTTCAACAAAACATTTTTTGTAAAGAAAGTTTTTTCCTTGGTCTATGAAATTAAAAGTATATATTTTCAGTCAAACAAAGTTTATAGGTGGCTTTGTTGTGGAATAGTGGTTGGTTTTTTTTAGTTGAGTCAGTAATGTTGTGGTCATGAAAAAAAAAAAGGCAAAAAGTGGAAGTGTTTGAAGTTATATTTGGGAAACATCCATATGTCAGTACATTAACTTTGAAAGCTACAGAAACATAAATATTAATGATACAAGACATTTTAAGAAAACTAAATTAATTTTGTAGGCCAAAAGCTCTCAACCTACAAAAAACTGAAATTTCCTTGTTGCCCAAAGGTAAAAAGACACAATGTACATTGTCATGACCAGGGCCACTGGACGTCCCCACAGTACAGACCTGTGTTAAATTATGCATACAATTAACAGGGGAAGCCAATGGTTTAGCCCCATACATGTAGTGAGTTAGCCCCCCTTCTAGTTATCCCTGTAATAAATCGAGTTTGCCCCAGGGTGAATCAACACCCTTGAAGTTAGCCACATGTATTAAACGTTTTTTCAAAACCTAACCTGGTTAAAAGAGTTGTAAGGGTTAATTTTAGACTTTCACACAAGTCCTTTGAAGTCACACAGTTCTGTTCTGTTGCTCCCTTGAGTAGCTCAAAATGCTCGCTTGTGAGTGCTTTAGTTTTACTGACAGAATTGCACCCTGTGTTATTGATATAAAAAGGTAAACTTGATGCAAGTCTTTGGCTCCCCCACAGCTGTTGTAGACTCACCGAAAAGCAGAATTTGGATGCGAGTAAAGAAGGGAGCTAACTTGAAAAGTGGCTAGTAGACCACTAACTCACTAAGGGGCGAACTAACTGATACTCATCATTGGAACCAAAATAAAATACTCGTTTTAGTTATGAATAATTAGTTTTATAATTATTTGTACGACATTTTGGTCTTGTCACATTTAGTTTTACATGTGTGTATCCTGTATCATGGTAATGCTAATGAATTTGCATCCTAAAGTTATATGTTTTTTTCTGTTTGGGTCAGGCTTAATACAGCTGCTGTAACTCATTTTGTTTTTGTCTCTTCCTTGAAACTTGTTTTATCTTTATTCTTTTTTAGACAGTTGTTGCTTATTGGGGGAGCAGATCCCTTGGAAGATATACAAAAATTTAAGTCAGAAGGGTGAGAATGTGCCTAGATAATTATTAATTGTGTATAAATCTTTCAGTGGAGAAGTTAACAGTGGCTTATTGCCACACATTTGCAGAGTATTGAAGATGGGTACCTGGAATGTCTGGGACCTCCACTGCATGTACTTGTCATAGGCCAGGCCGCCGACAGCTGTTCTTTTGGCTTGCAATTCCCACAACACAGCCATGATCTGTACACTGAGTCATCCTTGCACCAGTCCTGATCTGGCTGGTGTTGACAGGTGGAAAAGGAAAGGGATAGGGAGAGGAGGGAAGGGGCAGAAATGGAATTATGCTAAGTGGACAATAAATTTATTGCTCCACAGAAATCCTGCCTTGCTTTGATGCCCTGAACTACGCTTAATCATGCAGCTCGAATGAGGGGTGCTCAGAGCATTCTCCAGTGTTCTGTTCCACAAAACGCCCTAGACTCCATTTATATGGAGAGAACTTGTCCTGAGCTGAACGGTCACCCTCCCAGCCGAGACAACTTGAGTGAGCGTCTATATGAGAAAAAAGTTGACTCCTCCACCAGAGCTAACAGCGCTAGCACATGCCCTGATTGTCTCACCTTGACTGAATTATATGGAGAAAAAGTTGACCCGTCAAGGGGGGTGACCCTACCATCACAAAAGGGTGACCCAGCTAGGTGGGTCACCTTTCTAGCCTAGCCAACTTTTTGTTTCTCATGTAAATGGTTTGCCTCGTTTTGGAAGGAAATGCATAAAAAATTGACTCTCCTAGGGTACCTCAGGTCGATCCTTCTACCCAGGATGACTTTTCTCTGTAGGGGGCCTTAAACATCTGCGCTGCTCTGTGTTGTTAACTCAGTTAATATGCATGTAACTACATTTAAAGAGATCAACCACCTTAGCTTATTCTCTTTCTCCATTAGACCACCAAGATCTGATGTGGAAAAAAAATAGACTGCACCAATAACAACTTACTGTTAATAAGGAAAAACTATTTTGGAAAGTTTAGTTACATTTAATTTATGGTGTACTTCTTTAATAGGGGTCACATAATTGTTGGAACTCCAGGAAGAATGGAAGATTTATTTGCTAGGAAAAAGGATGGATTAGATCTCGCTGCTCATGTAAGATCACTGGTATGTACAGCTGACAGCAATAAGATTTACATGTAGTGTCTTTATGAGATTAGCTAGCATTATTGATCAGTCTCCTCTACTAACAGTGTTTTATAAGTAGACTTCAAACAATTTGCCTCCTGACTCATGTAAGCACCCCTTGGACCCCCACGTATTAATGAAACCACTGACCAGCAGTAGCTAGATTCTAACTTTGCCTAAATTGCATTTAGACACACTCAAAAAACTTGCAACCTGCATTGAGGTGTGGAATGCCACAACCTGTTTTTATTTCCAACAGGAAGTGTTAGTGCTGGATGAAGCTGACAGATTGCTTGATATGGGTTTTGAAGCAAGGTACACGAGAAAGCCTTTGTTATGTACTACAGGAATTATTTTAGAAATATTTGACAAACAATAGATTAGCCGAAGGACTGGAGCCTTACTTAACCCATTCGCCCCTGAACCGCCCGTAACCGCCCGTGCGGATCCAGGTCCTTTCTACCCTTTGTGACGTTATCAGTTTTAACGGTCAAGGACAACTTTCTTCGCTATCTTGTGCAGAGTGAAGAGATCTTTCAAACCATATCAGAATGAGCACAATTAAGTCAAGGACACCGGAGAAAGAAGCAAAAAACCACGTGACATTGACCTGAAAATCTCCAAGAAAATCTTGTTCCACTGCCTACCTACCTTTCCTTTCACCTAATCCTAAGATCCTAAAAAATTTCCTAAAAACTCTTCCCACCAAAATGAAGCCTACTAAATGCCCAGCAAGAGAAAAAAAAATGAGGCAAGAAAAGTGAAAAAAGAAGGGAGGAGAGAAAGCGAAAAGTAAAAGTCAAGACTGCTGTGTCACTTTTAATCTCAAAAACTATGTCGAAATTTGGCTTTCTGCGCATGCCCGAACTTCGCAAGCTAATATTTTGCATCTGGATCAGAAGGCTGCCAAGTGTACGACCTGTAAACCGGTTTCTGGTAAGTTTTAGCTCTTTATAGCACGACAGTGACCAGAAAACCACTCGACTAGCTTCAAAATGCGTTTTTCGGCGAAATCTCCAGGAGCGAATGGGTTAATTATTTTAACTTAACAAATGAATGTGCAATGTTAAAACAACTTTTCAGAGGCTTACATGTAAATAACTTGCCTGCATTTGATTATACATATGTGAATTTGCACATTATAAGTAATTAAATAATAATTATTATTATTATTAGTCTACAATCTTGGACAAAAATGTTCATAAAAATGGATATTATCATGTCTAGTTTCAAGATAAAACTTTTGAAAGCACTGGCAACTGCAAATACTCCCCCTTACCCCCAAAGATGATAACCACTATTACTATAAATGTACATGAATAATTATTACTACAACTGTTTTTCTTTTTTTTTTACAGTTGTATTTAGAAGCTTATGATAATATTTGTTACAGTGATGTCATTGTGCATCACTCCACTAATTTGATAACAAATTAAAGTGGGAAAATAAATGCCACCCTCAGTTGTTGTGCATGGACTAAACAGTTAACAGTTAGTTAAATTAGGCAATCAATAACAGCCTGTTCTATCTTCCAGCCTAAATGCCATTTTGGGGTTTCTTCCAAAGCAAAGAAGAACGGTAAACTACTTTTTGTACTTCACTGTTTTATTTTAAGATTTCAAACTCATTGTAATAAACTGGTGTTAAGTTTTAACTGTCTCCTTTTGTTATGGAAGAACTAAATGAGATCCTGGAAATAACAAGCCCTATATAGCTAGCATTTCAAATTCCATTAAAAACAATTTTCGGCTCCTTGCTCAGAGGTCATGAGAAAAATTCACTGGAACCCACGTCCTTTTTGAAGTCATGTATGTTTTTCTTGTCACTGAAAGCCTTAAGCCAGTAACCTGCAATGCACTTTGGGAACGATTGAAGATGTTAGACAATAGAAAACTGATAGATGCTATGCAACATTTTAGTTTAGTATAGAGTGTACATGTAGTATAAGCTGAGTCATAACTAAAGAATTGCTCTGCTAGGTAAGAATCTGAGTGGCTGAAAATGTTACTGAGAAACTATTTTGCGGTTCCTTAATTTTAAGACTGAGGCAACGACATGGTACCGGAAATTATCGTAACCATGAACTCCTAGGGCTTGGAAACACTTATGTTTGTATGCATCAACCTTCAGTTGATGATGTTTTGTTACTTTAAATACAGGGCCTTTTTTCTGCTACTCAGACTGACGAGGTTGAGGCTCTGGTGAGAGCAGGACTCCGGAATCCTGTCAGAGTTACAGTGCGAGAAAAATATTCCAATTCTAAGGTGGGTAAAACCATCAGGCTTTTTGCCTGTTATCTACCCCAGCCATGGATTTTTGAAGGCGTTCAAAAACTTATAAGAGATCTTACTTATTAAGATCTCTCATATTGATAAGTTTTGCTTTACACGATGGCCAATTTTTATGCGACAAAACGTGGGATACATCAGTCTTAGATCAGGAAGGCTTTGTAAATCCAGGGCCTATTGGAAGAACAATTACTCTCATAGGCTATACTTAATTAGCAATTGATGAATGCAGCTGAGTAGGATATGAAGAATTATGGAGATCGAGGAGGGTGTTATCGTGCATGTTTAGAAGATAAAGGGCTGTTCAGGTCTGCAAATATACTCCAAGTAGCAGATGCTGTCGGTCGAGTTGTCTTCAACAAAAAAATTTTCCGACCGTTTGGGCCTCCGTTTGGTCTAGGTATCAAGGTTGGCAAAATTGAAAGCGTCTAAGAATTACTTTCGTTAAATCCGTTTTGTGGTCTGTTGTAATAACCAGCCAATAGAGTTTGGATTAAGAAGATAGTAGCAGCTGAATGGATAGTTGGGGACAATCTCTCAGTAACTTATGACACTCTGCTTAATTCTCCTTCCAAATTGAATCAATTGTATATTGCTCACATCTTGCAAATATGGTAAGTGCCAGTTGGTTATGAAGAATTAAATGGGGGATTTGAGCCAATCACAAACAGAAAAATATTTTGAATGAATAATAATTGTCATTACTTTGATTTGTTAAAAAAAGAATAATAATAAAAAAGTTTTGAATGTATTGAAATATTTATTAGTGTTAGTGAGTAATCTGTGTGCAATATGTTTCCACCAGTCAGAACAGAGGACTCCCCATACATTGAGCAACTTTTACACGGTAAGTTGACCATAACTTGACCATACAAGAAAATAATTATATGATTACAGACCCTAAATCTTGAAGTGTTGATGGCAATCCTATCCCGATGGCTTTTTCAGACAGTTCCATGGAGCAAATCCTTAGTAAGTCTTTCAAAATACAATTTAATGGGTACAAAACGATAAAAATTAATTTGATACCTGCTGAGATTCTGAGAACCTTGTTTAAACTCCTGCGCCAGCAGCAAAAAGTTCACTACTCTGAGACAGGAAGAAATGCGGAAAGAAAAAAAAAAGACTTCCTTGGTTAAGATTTCATATGAAAATTTTCTGAGACCACAATTTTGTAGGTACATTTTCCCTCATAATTTAACCGTTAGTCTCCAATATCATTACCCCAATTTTTCTAATTTCAGGGGCACCCAACGTCAATTTTCGAAAAACATCTGTTCGGAAGACGATTTGAGGTTTAGAATTTTCGGAACGTTTTTGGTAAAATTTCTTACTTGTGACCTCTCCTAGGATTTTCGAACATCTAAAAGGTGGTATGATTGTCTATTTTTAACGGATTTTTACCCTAAAAAGGTCACCTAGAATTTTCGGGAGCCTTCTTTCGGGCTGAAATTTTCGAAAAGGTAAGTTTTGATCCCTATAATTTTCGGATCACTAGACTTTCAGCTAGGAAATCCGAACAGATGAAAAATTTTTAGGGGATAAAAATATGCCTATATCTACCGTTCAAATACTAAAATACGTTCAACAATGCTATTTTTAAGTGGTTTTGAACATATTCTCGATGGGTGCCCCTGTAATTTGGCCGCCAGAAATTTCTCTTATCATTCATCGGGTAACATGTTTTTAGTGTTGTGTTCTGGGTTTTTGTCGCGTTTTGAGTCGCTTGAAGCTAACATTCCCGACTCTCGTTTTATTATGTACTAGTCGGGGGGTATCAACTTCAAGCGACTCATAACGCCACAAAAACGCAGAACACGATACTAAAAACATACAGTAAGTTATCTTTATTCATATTTCTTACATTATATCAACATTTGGGATCAAAAGGTGCAAACGTCTGTGTTTTATGCAGCATTTCTCCTGATCACTTAAATCAAGCCGAGCGCAGGCGTTACGAAATACATGCAGTAAATGTAAGAGATCACAATCATGTCGGGCGTGACATCACGATGCCTCGAACAGTTGGGCTATTGTGAACACTGTTCGAATATAGTGAACCCTATTTTAAGAGTACTTTATTAAAGCATTGAAGGTCCGCCTGTGCTTAAACAGAAGGTTCTGCATCATTCATCGTTAATGTCGGCACTATGACATGGATCTGTGATGTAAAACTGTGACTGATTAGTATGGATTCCTTGCTTCCAAAAAATGAAAAAAATTTCCCCTCCCCTGGTAAAATCAAAGCTCCCCTCAAGGACATTGTCTGCCCTCAGTGAGCAACCTTACACAGTCCTGACCTCTATAATATGGATACTTATATCTGTTCCTTTCGTGCGCACATTAAAGATGTTTGATTTAAATCTTATTTGCAGATATGCGAAAGTGACAGGAAGTTCTCAAGATTAGTAGCTTTTTTGAAGGCAAGAAAGGTATTGATCTATTGCGTCAAATGCCGAGTTTTGTGCAACCGGTTTCCCAATTGAACTGTACAAGTATGTCTTTAAATGCGTCACGACAGAATACACTTTTCAGTGTTTGCTTCTTACATTTTACAGACCTGCAAGAGTATGGTATTTTTCAGCACCTGTGCATGTGTTAATTATTTTTCAAAGGCTCTTGAAAGGTGAGTTTGATGCCCGTGGGAGCATTAGTGCTTAACCAGCCTACTCAGATACGTTTTGAAATTTAAGACTAGTCACCCAAGGTGTTTTCCCCGCTATTTCTTCATGAAAGAAGACTTTTTTAATTTTATGCAGAGGATCAGAAAATTGCACAACCAATAACAGTTTTTGAGTTCCAGTAGACTTGCTTAAAAAAACCAGATTCAAAGTCACGATCCCAAAAAGCGGTTAAAGAACCTAGACCCCTGGTTCCCAGCTCTCAGTTCTTGTTACCCTGAAACGGCAAGAGGATAGAGCCTGGTAACGAAGTCACAGAGTTTTTACCTGGTAACTTTTGAGACCAAGGAACTTTTAATGAGTACATCTTATTTAAATGGTTTGACAGATATTGCGCGTCGGTCTTGTACCTGTTCAATTCTTTTTTCCAAGCCTTGTGACTTTTTCCCTAAATAACTTCTTAGGTGAATAAAAGACTTACCTTTTAAGTTTCTCTTTTTATTTATTTAGATATATATATTTATTATGTAACATTTGGCCAAATGTCAAAGGAAGATGTTAAGGAAATATCTCACTGTTTTATAATATTTGGATATTTCTTCCAGGCATCATCCGTTTTTAGTGTCGTCACGCAACGCTCCTCTTGTGGAGAGGAGCGTTGCGTGACGACACTAAAAACGGCTGTGTAGCAGATTATCATCCATTGGGCGCGTTGGATTTGTGATGGTAGGGAGGTGCAAACTTGGCTGGGGTCGTAGATTAACCCCTCCTCCGTCCCTATCTGGAGTAACCCCACTGAGGGGTCACTGTTCCCTGATTAACCCTTTCACCGCCAGAGTGCTTGATGGAGTTGGAAATTTGGTCGAAATTTGCTTTTGGCTAAATTTGGCAGTGAAAGTGTTAACACAGTGGGGTCGAAACCGCCCTAAGGCTATAACTGCAAACAATTGTCATTGCAGACTTCTCACAAATGTCAATGTGCTGTCCATCCATGGAAAAATGAAATCCAAAAGACATAAAGTTTTTGATTCATTTAGAACGTTATCAAGGTAAGTAAGGTGGGAAGTAGTCTTGTACAAACCAATGATAACTGAGCGAAACACAAGAACATGAAACATGAGAGCAGTAAAAGTTGTTCGTGCGAAAAAAAGGGCAAGATTCCAGAACCACAGAAAGTGTAGTTCTGCGACGTGATATTCAAGTCAAGTCATTATGGGGTCCTTACAGAATGGCCCTCAAATACAAAAACATGTTCTCAATGCCAAACTCGGAACTCGGGCTTGCTTGAGAGGGGTACTATGGCAAGCATAACTGACGAAAATGGAATGAGCTCCATACGACGAAACGACTGGCCAACAGCACTCTCTGATGTTCACATTATTTGAACATAGTTTATCAGAGAACCATTTGATCCCTCAAGTTTTAGTTAATGAAATTATGTTTATGTTTAATTTATGTAATATGTAATAAACCATTGTCGTACTCTTGACGATGAACTGAAATGGCTTGTAAATGAAGGGGTTAGTTTCTTAGGAAACTCAGCGGGCTGCGACGATGGGAAGTGAAACTCAAAACAGTTTTTGGTTAAGTAGCTTGTAGTCGAGGCTCATGTTTTGAAATCGTTTAGTAATAAATCCATGATTGTAGTCCTAAATGCACACCGCAGAAGCACTGACTTCATTGATAAATGGGCATGATACTATAGGTGTTGTTAATGAAGTCGGTGCACGTGAAGGTAATTATGGATCTGTTATCTCTTTATGGTATCTCCTGGATTAGCGTCGACTGCTGGCTAGCTCCAGACCGTCGTTTGTGATCTCTCTGTGCGGTGTTGCTTTTCTTTTTTTCAGTGGTGTTCTTGTATGTACAGACGTCATGGCCAGAGGAGTAGACATACCAGAAGTGGATTGGGTCGTTCAGTTTGATCCTCCTAGCAGTGCTAAGTATGAATATGCGCATTCAGCTTTTGTTATGAAATCCACGAAATGTTTCAGTTCCAAACATCTTACGGGCTTAAGAAAAAGAAATCTTTTTGTCTCAGCCCTCCAAACATGCGTTGTTCGGCTCATTAAAAGAAAAAACAGTTTAAGACATCATATTAAAGATTAAGATCAAGAGAAGTTCCTCGTTTTCCTTGAAATGAATTGAACAGCGATTCCCTTAGCGGGCATAACAATTTTCTCGTGCGACAGAAAGCTTCAGAATCAACGCCTTTTTGCGCTTGCTTGGTTGTCTTCACTATTGTATTTGAAAATCTTATATTAATTCATATGAAGTTACGATGGGCTATTTTGCAAACAGCATAATATTTGGCAGGTCACGTGCAGAAGTAGTGTGTCCAGTAATTCAATCAACTGAGTAATACTGAATAGATGCGTCTGCTTTCTAACGAAATTGTTTTCCCGCTCTTGGTGCCCGCCATCTGTATTTGCTTCAAGATTTGATTGATTAATTGTCTGTTAGTACTCTACTTTGCGAGAACAATCATTTTGATTTTGGTTTTACTACACTCCGTGAAAACTGCTCTTAAAATTCTCATTGTGCATAGTATGAGCATTTCTACCTATGTCACTTTACAGTGCCTTTGTTCATCGCTGCGGAAGGACGGCAAGAATTGGCAACCAAGGTAATATTCCACATCCAAAACCCCCGTCCACATTAACAGAAATGCTGTTAATGGGTCAGTTGGCTTGTCACGTCGGCATGTTGGGTGTCCTCAGTTTGGCTTGAGTTAAAATAACAGGAAGTTTAAGATTATGATTAAGTGGCTTGTAGTGACAAGCACTTCGCTTTCGTGATGAGCATCTCGAAAAAATGCTTTGGAAATTTAACACAAGAGGTTTACGTTTTTAAATTTTTAGGAGGAAGACCAATTGCTATTTTGTACGTGCGACCAAGAAAAATGTTGAAAAATTGGTCTTTATGCAAGTCAAGACCGTCTAAGTCCAGGGAGACTTTTGCTAAAGACGCATCGTTTTCTAATCCGTCAATATGACCGCTTGAGAATGCTTCCACCAGTACCACTTCGATTACTGGATAGGGGTTACCTACTAGAGTACCCTCTCTTCTAAAATAATCAGTTACGATGCTTAAAAATGCTCTTGAATGCTTTTGCTCTTTTAAGAAGGAAGCAGCTTTTTAAGAGGCTGTGTCACGGCCTTGTAGTTCATTTTGTAACCGTTAATGAAGAATTACTTGCCAATGACAAAATGACACCTTTATGCCCCAAAAAATATGTTTCCCATGCACTATATCAAACGTTACGAAAAAAATAATTAAGCTTGTAAAAACTGTTCAGTAGACTTTAAAGTTTTCAAAACCCACGATTGCAATCCGTTTGGATCTCCAAGTTTTTTTATCCCTGCCTTTTTTGTTTGTGCTGTTATTTATTGCCTATTTTTTGTCTTTTAACGGCTTGAGCGATTATTTTAATGTTTCTCGCAGTTAGTGGAAGTTCTTATTGTTTAAAATTTGATGAATGTCGTGACGCACTGTTTAAAAAACGAGCAGGAGTGTATTCTCGAGGCGAAGCTGAGAGTTTTTAAACCTGATAATACACGCCTGCGAGTTTTTTTGAACGGATTCAAAATCTCTAATATGGATCAAATCATTCTTGCACAAATATTCAGATTTTGAGGTTGTTTCCCATTTCCTACTGAATTTGGATTTTCTTTTTTATTTAATATCTAAGTAGTTTATAGTATAGTTATGTATTAGTTTTCTATTCTTAATTGTTTTATCTTTTCGTTTTGGAGGGCAGTTTTTATATGGGAATTCAGTTTCCCCCTATTGCTTTCCTTTACCTATTGTACTTTAATATATGTATATATATTTTTATTTTGTACATTGGTAAAAAGAATTATTAAACTTAAACTATTTTGGTCTAAAAGTGGACGTAAAGTTTAGCCGTGTCTTTATCAGATATGAAGACACTCATGAAACATTAATTTCTTTTGTTTTTGTTTTTTTTTAATTATTAATGAGTTTTTGAAACAGTTCGTAAAGTGGAACGATTTGTTGAACTTCGTCTTCTAGGAAATGCTTTGTTATTTTTACTTCCTGCCGAGGAGTCTTATGTCGACTTTATGTCTATTAACCAAAAGGTATGTTGAGGTTCTCACTTTGTTATGTTAATTCTAACGCGACTTGGGACTTGAAGACTTTGTGCTAAAAGAGCAAGATATAGCCTGAAAAAACAGCCGAAATCTAGTTGCAGTGCGAAATGACCTCTGAGAATCGAGCGCAGAAATTCCCTACTGATGACGCGTCACTACCCAGATCTGGGTGATGCCTTTGATTGGCTGAAGCAAATTTTGCACGTGGCACGACCAATCAGAAGCACTGCCTACAATGGAGGTCAAAAGTGTTGGGACCTTTCCAGTGATATTACTAAAACTAGTGACCCCTCCCCTCCCACCCCAAACAAAGTTGAATTTGGCGCAAAATGGGTGAAAATGAGTGCTTTGTTTGGCCACATCATTGCTAGGGGAAGTGAAAGGACGACGGTATAAACCCAAAGCCGAACAAAAAATTGTCCGTAGGAGCAGAGTCCTACGTAACAATTGCTTGGAAGGGCTTTTCACACAGTCCCAAGTTCTTTTGTCCTCCATTGTAGATCTGGGTAGTGACGCGTCATCAGTATGGAATTTCTGCGCTTCTGTCATTACGCGAAGAAACCAGTGGTGGCGTCGCGAAATGTCGGCTTTTTCAGGCTAAGCAAGATAACGTTGATTCCTTGTCTGTGTCATCCTCTAGGAATTAAAAAGAGCTAGAAACACCCTTTACTGTGAGAGTCAGTTACCGTATTTATTCGATTAACCGCCCTGGGCGCTTATTCGGGGCTGGGCGCTTATTAAATTTTAAACATTTTCAGCAAGAGTAGTATGTTTAGTTTGCAACAAAACAATAAATGGTAATAACAAAACTAATTTTTTAAATTTTTTTTTTCAATTTTGGGGGGTTGGGGTGGGTTTGGTCGCTTATTTGAGTTTGAGTGGGAGTGTGAGGGAGGTGGGGTGGGCGCTTATTAACTTTTTCTGCCTTTAGGATGGGCGCTTATTTGAGGTGGGCGCCAATTCGAGGTTGGGCGCTTATTCGAATAAATACGATGTGTGACATCGTATTGCGTAATATCAAAAAGGCTGTAAATATAAGGATATGTATGTGGAACCCCTGTAGCATATTTAAGAAGATAATTATGCGCACTATTCTTTTAAAAAGCTTCACCTTATCTTCGTGATGTGCTGGCTGCTCCTTGTGTAATTATTTCCTGATCCTCTGCGTTTTAAGCAGTTCTTTGTTTCCCATTTTCCCATCAAATCCTTATAATTAATTGCAGCGGCTTAGATATTACATGGTAATCCGGTACCGTACTTTAGCCTAACCGACTCTCACACTGAACTTGAATGTCTGTGAAATGGCATGACGCGAGGTATAACAGGTTTTAATAACTTTCTTATCGGAAGGACACTGGGTACATTTCTTTGTGATGGTTGTGGATAGCACGTGACCACACGTCTTAACCTTGCTTCCAAACAGGTACCTCTCGACTTCTTGGAAATAGAAGATAATTCTGTGGACGCCACACCTAAGTTAAGGAAAATGGCGTCCAAGGACAGGTAGATGATTCGCTTTTTAATCCTATCCGTTATGATGTTGTTGGTTGCCTTTTATAGTTTAACTAGAATGGCTTGGAACGTAATGTCTAAGGCTTACTCGGGCAAAACTATTAAGGCTCTCACTCGCATCTCCTTCCGCGTGCGGCTCTCGCCTGTCTTCCTGCGACTCCCCCAAATAGAGACTTTGCTCGCTGGCTCGAGGAGTACGACCTGAATTTAGACTCTACCTATTAGGTATCAGTATAAGCTCCCCCTTCTGAAGCATGCGGCGTAAACATTATCCAAGCGAAATACAGACTTACAGACATGTGGTCACGTACCGTACAGATTTCATCCTGTACCGTATAGAACTACTCCCTGTCACGTGTGTCTTCGTAAATTTATTTATCGAGCGTTTCATTTCTTTATTTAGGGATGTTTACGAAAAGGGAATGAAGGCATTTGTTTCGTTTATACAGTTCTACAGAAAGCACGAGTGCAGTCTGATCTTCCGATCAGCGGGTAAGAAGATACCGTAAACTTCCGCTAAAAAGCCTGGCTTTTTACAACTTTGTGACGGGTTTTAGGAGGGCTAATATGCTGTTTCAGTAGCAAGGGTGGCACAGTAGGTTAGTGCGCGGTCTTCGGTGTGCGAGGTCCCGAGTTCGATCCCCAGTGAAATCACATCCTTGTTTCAACTTCTCTCCTTTATGTTTAGCTTTGACTAGCTTTAAAAACCCTTAAAACGGAGCATTGATGGAGAGAGGGGGCAAAAATGAGCGCACCGTTGACCTATTACTGCCACGAGTTATCGACGTAAAATATGGTTGCAAATATGGAAGAGAAAAACTTGTTCTTTAATTATAGCTTTTATTTTGATTTAAAATTTATAACATAAATAATGTAGGTAATACCATGTACTCACGTGGGAATACTGAAATAAAGTTGTTGTTGGTTGCTTTACCTTCTTACCTATTTCGGTCAGTTGGAGACATGGAAACAGTTTCTTCAATTAGTACTTTAAGCACATTTTCAAATGCAAATGAACAGAGACGATAAACAATATATATAAAAAACGAAGGTGAGAAACAATACCATACAATAGTATTGTTTCTCTCCTCCATTTTTTTTTTATATATATATCGTTTATCGTTTCTGTTCAATTGCATTTTGTAATGGTCACTATAATGGTCACTTGTCACCGCCGAAACGTCATGTTTTTACCACGCCAGTTTTTGCGTTTAAATGATTTACGAAATCTTTTGTTGCCAATCACTACCTTTAGCGCTTATAGGACGTTTTCACTCACGTGGTCAGCATCTATGCTATATAATTTATTGGAAGAAAAGAAAGTTTTTACATAAGAACAGAATTCAACTCCCACAGGATTGTCTAGGTACACCAACATGGCCGCCATTTCATTGTTGTAGAACACCAATATGGCCGCCGTGACGTCACGTTCTATTCGTTGGCACTCAAATAAAGTGTATTGGTGGTCTCATTGGAAGTTCCTACCATTCATACACTCGATAGTTCTGAATGATTTGTTTGTGTGTTTTCGTCTAGATTTAGATCTTGGGAAGCTAGCTACAGGATTTGGCCTTTTAAAATTGCCTGTTATGCCGGAACTGAAGGACAAAACAGTAGAATTCGAGCCAGTGGATGTCGATGTTGAAAAGATATGCTACAAAGACAAAAACCGGGAAAAACAGAGAAAAAGAAAACTGCAGGAACAGCAGGACTCTAAGCAGGGCACTACGCCTCAGGCAAACACGAAAAGGAAGAAACTGGGGCGTGATTCCGTGCCCTGGTCGAAAAACAAAGAAAGGAAAGTAAAAAGAGAGAAGAGAAAGGCACGTCGTGAGTTTCTGAAGAAGCAACGTCAAAAACAGCGACTTGATGAAGATGAACTTGAGGATCTAGCACGTGAGGCCCGTCTCGTCAAAAAACTGAAGTCTGGAAAAATTAGCAAAGAAGAGTTTGAGTGCCAAGTTGGAATTGAAGATGAAGACACTTAAGGCTTTAGACCGGAAATAGGCCACCTCATTAGTGTCAGATCTGGCGGCTGCGCGCTTTTGAGCCCAGATATAGTTAAACTTCCATTAAGCGGCCACTCTTGGAGTACAGGCAAGTGGCCGATCAATGGAGGTCGGCCACTCAATGGAGGCTCGTCTTAAATTAGCATAATCTTTGGCAAAAACATCACTTTATTTCAAAACAAACGCGCTACGGGAGAAGCATAACTGGTCCACAGTCGGTCGTCAACTTCTATCTCGGGCTGTATCTTCCTTCATCGTATTCTTAGAATGTAGCCAAACTAAGTCTATCAAGCGTTTGATGGCCGCTAACTAGAGGTGACAATGGGAGAACTCTCGTTGGTACGGCTAAAAGGTGGCTGCGGCCGCTTAATAGAGGTTTATTTTCCCATTTTTTGTACAATTATTCCAGGACTTAAGTTACTTGCCGCTTAATAAAGGTTTAACTCAAAAGTAGGTTGAGTTTGATCGTCCGGGTGAGCGTAGTCCTTAATAGGACTGTTGTTGTTGACAGTGACTGGCGTTTCGACAACCTGTGCGGTAGTCATCTTCAGAGTCAAAGTGAGTTGTATCTCGTCAGTTGAGGGTATTATACTCTGGTTATTGATCTGATTGGTCAATTACGTCGCGAATCGTAGCCAACAGTTACCAGCGCCGTACAAACGACTTCTTGACGAGATCAAGCAAAACTAACTACGAGAGAATGACAATTTGACTAACGATAGACGACTGTTTAACTGTGACAATAGACAGATCGAAACGCACCAATTACTGATTACGAGTCTTCATAGCCAATAACATCACGGCTTAACTGACAGACGACCAATAACATCGCGACGTAATTGACCAATCAGATCAATAACCAGAGTATAATACGATCAACTGACGTGATACAACTCACTTTGACTCTGAAGATGTCTACCGCACAGGTTGTCGAAACGTCAGTCACTGTTAACAACAACAGTCCTATTCAGGACCACGTTCACCCGGACGATCAAACTCAACCTACTTTTGACATGACTCCTGGGTTCAAACCTTTCACAGTTTTAAAGTTTCAACTGTATGTTCATGATTAAGATTCGTGTTCTTTTGATAGACATCACGAAGAGTCCCCTACCCTAATCCTCGCTTAAACGCAAGCAATTGACCACTCTAGAAAATACCATAACATACCATAATGCCCTTTGTTTGTCACTCCAAAATTTTGCGTAAGCGTTGTCTTCAGTTTCTCTTGGGGCCATTTTAACTCCCAAGAGAAACTAAAGACAATACTTATGCAAAATTTTGGGGTGACAAACAAAGAGCATTATGGCGTGTTATGGTATTTTCTGGAGTGGTCAATAGACCATTTTCCGAGTTCCAAAAACTCTCACTTTCAAAACGAGGCTAAGTGCAAAATCTTTGTTGTGAAAATGAGATTTTCTTGCATGAGAATACAAATCGTTTTCATATCAATGGGTTTGCACTTAACCTCGCTTTGAAACAGAGGTTTGAGACAACTTTGAAATAGCCCATTCCGTCTACATGAACTCATATGGAAATTAGAAGTACATGTAATAGGCAAATTTCACGATGGCGTTATTTGACTACATCTACCAGAATTCATTTCGTTTTTCTTTTCTTATTTAAATTTTGTAATCCCAGAGGGGTGTCCAAAACAAAAGGCGTAATTTGCACAAGAAAACGAAATCCTAAAGGATTCTGGTAGTTGTAGTCAAATGACGTCATCGTGCAAATGCCGTTTTGTGTGTAATACGAATTACCAGTGAAGTACCTACGTTTCGAGTTTTCTTGCATTTCTGGAAATAAGTGTTTGATCCTACAGTTATCCTACAGTTTGCTCCAAATCTCTGAGATCCAAACTGACTTAACTGATTTCTATGGTTAATAAATGCATCCCTGCAAACAACTGAGGATTGAATTTTGCGTATACGCAAAAGCTACATAAAATTGTACTGTCTAGACTTGTTCTACAAACAGCTCGCAACAAAAGCAGAGTGGATGACATTAAATTCCTTCATCATTACAAGAAATGTGCAAGTCCCACTTGATCCTTTTAAATACTTGTAAATAACATATTTTATTGATACAATGCTAACTATTATATCCTATTTACAATTAATTGACTAAAAAAACTATTCCGTCAGAACACTATTTACAATTCCTTTCGTTTAAAAAACACTTAGTATTGATTAGAAAAAGTTCATTTAATTGAAATATATATATATGGAAACTTTATTGATAACAAAGCTAACTATAAAATCCTATTTACGATGTATTTCCCTTAAAAAACTATTCAGTCAAAAGACTCAAAACACTATGTACAATTACCAGGGTTACCCTAGCATTCGCATATTTCTTCTTTTTTCACACGACGTATTTACATTAGGCAAGAGTTTTTCTCTCACTCAATAGTTTGGAGAAACTGGTTTTCAGAAGAAAAAAAGAAAATCGTTACCCGCCTCTCGTTTCGCCGTTACGCTGTTACGGGGATTACTAAGAACCGACCGAAACGACATCGTAGTATCGCGCGCAGTGAGAGAGTAGATAGGCCCTTCGATCCTCCTAGATTAGACGGAAAAAGGAAGACTTATCTAGAAAAATCAAATGGCGTCTGTTCAAAGAGTAGAGAATAGATGGAACTGCCTCAAGAGTTTTGTCCGAGGTTTCAGCTGAACCCAGAGCATTCAAGGGCGGATTTAGGGGTGGGTCGAAGGGGCCCTGGCCACCCCTTTTTTTTGAAATTTTGCAGTATTTTTCATAGAATAAAGTATTTATATAGCTGGCCAGTGAAAAAGGGGTCCGGCCACCCCTTTGTGCATTTTCTGAATCCACCCCTGGTATTTAGAGTCGCTACAAAGTCCCCCAATTTAATTTTCCAAAACCGTAATAAGCAACGGGTTCACTCTGTTTCTTACCCTATTCCACCTTTTGCTGTTCATTGCAAGAAAATACGCAGTCAGGCATTTACGCATTCATTTTCATATTTAGCGAGATTGCCTGAATCTTGCATTTCTTTCAGTCGATGATGCAGGACTGAATGGACATTTAAAGATCTATTCATACCAATTGCAAAGGAATAAAACTTGGCACGCGTTGAAGACTAGGCCTGAAGCCTAAGTAGTTGCTAAACTCAAACATAAAATGTGTTATGAAGCTTAGGTGTTGTTGGCCAAATAAAATCGTCAGGTTCATAATATCTAAACCTTATTCTCTTCAAGATTATTGATTGTTATCGATTACTATCGATTGTTATAGATTTTAGTCAATCGATAGTAATCGATAAATTATTCAGTTTTCTGTGACTTTGATTTCTATAGATTTCTATAGATTTCCCTTTTTTTTTGAAATTTTGCAGTATTTTTCATAGAATAAAGTATTTATATAGCTGGCCAGTGAAAAAGGGGTACGGCCACCCCTTTGTGCATTTTCTGAATCCACCCCCGGTATTTAGAGTCGCTACAAAGTTTAGATATTGATTACTTTGGAATTTTAATTTGTATAAGTACCTTACGGCACAATGTCAGAAATAAAGATAACAACTGAGAAATAGGAATTAAGAAGTGCGCATTGACCAAAGTAGCTAATGATTTCGGGTTGGTCACTGCCACGTTAAGCTAGTTGGCATAGACAATAATCGTAGTGAAAAATAATTATACGAAGAGAAAAGGTGCTAACAACGTGAAAAAGGCTGAGGTATAAAACATTTCGACTGGCCAGTACCAGTCTTCCATGAGTCTTCATAAGGTTTATTAGGAAAAACCACGAATATACAGAATACCGTATGTACTACTGTAAAATAATAAAAGGAAGTTACATAGTATGACGTGGTAAGGTATGGCTGCTAAGAAAAATAAACCGAAAAAAAGAGAAAGATCACACAATGATTATTCTTTATCACGTTTGTTCATTCCCAGAGGCTTGATGGTTTTGGCTTTATGAATGAGGTGCGCCTCACACGTTCTTTAATTCATAAGGATAAGAACTACTTAAACTGAGATCGAAAAGCAGCCATGTTGGTTGCCCCGACGACTTTTACGTCATGGATCACGTGGTGGTTTTCGTTCCGCTCACCGCGCCCCGTTTCCCTCTCCATCTTGTTTCTTTACTTTCGGGTTTAACGCTGTCATCGTTTGATATCTTCTATAATTTTGACCATCGAGATGACGGAGAAGGATAAAAGTATTTACATGGCCAAGTTAGCGGAGCAGGCAGAACGTTACGAGGGTATGTGTGTTCTGTTAGAATGCAGAGTTGAGCTGAGTTAAGCTAGTTTTTGGATCTCGGGCTTTGCTGTTTAACTGGCCAGTGTCCTACAATTTCATCTGTTGTTATTGTACATTAATGAAAAATATTTCTCTTGGGAATAGCGAAATCTTCTTGATTAAAGTTAGCCCCCGATTTCGGGGTAGTTTGACATTTGTTGGTATTGCACGGCCAGGTATATATTTCAAAACATTGGATGACATGTTTGTTTACCTCAGTATCCTGTCGCTATGTATAATCCATAGCAATATCTATTACGTGTTTGACGGATGTGAAAGGCCGTGTCTACTGCCTTTTTCAGAAATGGTAAAAGAAATGAAGAAAGTGGTCAATGCCGGAGAACCTCTCACCGTAGAGGAACGCAATTTGTTGTCAGTAGCCTTCAAAAACGTTATTGGTGCAAGAAGAGCTTCTTGGCGCGTTCTGTCAAGTGTAGAAAAAAACCAAGAAGAGTCCCATGACGAAAAATCCCCAAATAAACTGCAATCAATCAAAGAATACAGACAAAAAGTTGAAAAGGAATTACGAGAAATTTGCGAGGATATTTTAAAGTTGCTAGAGAAAACACTCGTCCCCATGGCGGTCGATACAGAGTCGAAGGTCTTTTACAATAAAATGTAAGTACAGTACTGTACAGCCCATAGTTAGACTTTTTATTTTAATATTTAACATATTTTGCTACTTTTATTCAGTCATTAAAAACTGTTTTGGTGGAGAAAATAGCAGGCCCCTGACCTGTCGAGAGCCACTAGGCATTTGTTATTCTTTTTACATCTACCCTTTTGAAAAGTGTTAACTTACGTTCAAGTACTTTTCGAAGGAGAACGTTGTAGGATTTACCCGTTGTAGGAATGTTCCCTTTTTTCCTATATATTTTTTCTGTCTGGTTATTGTGCCCAGTATCCAGTAACTAAATGAAATAAGTTAGGGAAAGCTTTCCTTACAACGCCATCCATTAATTATTTAGTGCTTCTTCAAATAGATGTAAAATTTAACACTAAACAGTTTATTTTGTCGATGAAGTATTAGAGCAGCTAAAACGTAATTGTTGATACACTATTTAACTTTGAAAGGCTGCTTCGTTTTGTGATAGAATATCTTTAATTTCCAAGCTTTAGCATGTTGTAGCATTTATAATTTTTCAAATGCTAACATTAGCAGAAATGATTTACCCAAATTTAAAGAGCTTTAGACACCATGTTGGATAGGCACCAACATAGTGGCCAGAAATTAACCGAAACACCTGTCGCAGAGTTTTCCTACGAAAGCATGAATTCATCTCTCAAGGCACTCATAAACATTAAAGCAATACTTTTTCTAATACAATGACCGTTTTTAACCTACACATCAGCTCTCTTGGCCCCCATAATATACAGATGTTTTGGTTAATTTCTGGCCACTATGTTGGTGCCTATCCAACATGGTGTCTCCTACAAAGCTCTTTGAATTTGGGTAAATCATTTCTCCTAATATTAGCATTTGAAAAATTGCGCTGACCTGAATCTTGGCAAGGGCCTTTACATATTAATTTTCTCTCATTTCTCTGTTTCTCGATTTTATCTATTGAAAAGTTTAGATTTCAATTTTTGTTGGCGTGACATTGAAAACAAACAATAGGGCCGACGGCATTTGGAAAACTTGCATAATTCAATCAGTAATATCGTCTTTCTATTATTCAAAAGTTTTAGTCAATTATTGATTGTACAGGTCTTTCAATATACAAATGCATCACTTATAACCCACTTTTCGTTAACAGAGGTCGGCTCTAGATCCAAGCATACTACCTTATGCGAAAGTTGCATGTTAATAATTTTGTTTCGGCTGAGGGGCGCCTGAGTTTTATATTAGAGACCTTAAGATTGAGGTTTTTTTGGCATTTTCGGGGAATCGTGAATTTCAAAAAGTCACATGACCAGGGCCTTGCCGTCAGGTTTGCGGTTTGAGGTTCACGTTTGTAGGGCTAGACCACGCTCCAGAAGTAAGTGATTTACGGCAAGGTTTTTTGCACCCTAAAACATCACAATCCTACATTTGAGAAGAAACTGTTTTGCTTCTTGATTATCAAATTCTGTTTCAAAAAAACGTAATTTATGAAACAATTTCGCAGCCTAAATAGGAGTAAGTGGATGAATGAAAGCAAACATGGCAGCCACGAGCTACCACCCACAAATCTTACAGTACCGCTCAAAAGTAGTTAGACACTCGAAACTCGAGACTCGATCCTCACATCTCGAAGCTCGAACGCTTCGAGTTTCAAGACGCGAGGATCGAGTCTCAAGCTTCGAGGATCCAAGAAGCTAGGTTTTCCGAAAGAACAATGTTGTACAGTCACGTAGCCATTCAGATATTTGCACCGTCGATCAGTGCTTGCTGTGCGGTGTTCTGTAACTGTTTGAATTGTCGGGGTTCGGCAAGCTTTCTTTAAGTGTAAATCAATGTTTTCATTTTCGAAGATTTGTCCTGCATGTACAGTGTATGTAGCCTTTGCTTGCGATGTTCCGAGATTTTCGCAGATGAACAGTGCTGCTGGGCACTGTCATGGTTTTATGCAAATCTTGAGGAAGATTACAACATTTGAGTTGTTAAATTTGCTTGTTTGTCAAGCTTTAACTTCTTTTGTGTAAAGGCGGCAAGCCTTTCACTCGATAATTTGAAAACTCGGCGATTCCGGTTCATAAAGCCATGAGAAACTACGTTTGTTCTAGAAAGCGAAATTTTCACGTGCACGTTCAGTCGATACCGTGGCTTGTCACACTGTTACTGTTTCTAAATAGGCAAATCTAGGAGTAGTCACACAATAATTTCAAGGAAAACTTTATTTGTAACAAAAAGCGACTTTTTCACGAGCATTTGAGTTATCAAATTTTTCATTAGTCAATTTCATATAATTTATGTAACCTTTCATTCGCCATGTTCATTCGAAAACGCGGCTCAGCGACTCCGTGAAGTACAAAACTGGCTTTTATGCAAATCTAGCTGATGTCACCGGAAACTTTGTTTGCTGAGGCAAGATTTTAACACACTATCATTTGAATATTGGAAAAAAGGTCCAAACTCGTTTTGTTCAAACGACAGAAAGTGACAAGGAATGCACGAGCACCGGCACTCTGCAAAAAATTGGAAAAGAAGTTGTCACATGATTCGGAGTTTGACAGACAGACAGACCTCGTGGTATCGATTTGTGAGATAGATAAGATCTGGTTTTCAGATCAAAGCGTGTGAATCTGTGATCTTGTTTTGGTACGACTAAAGAAGATTTATGGTTGAAAAATTTGGTTTGAGTACATTTATCTACAGAGTGGGTTAGTTACTGTTCGCTTTCAAACAGAGGCTCTTTTTACCGCTAGACTGACGTAAGAACGATGGAAAGTCAAAAGGAATTACGGCTGTATGCTGTGAATGAGTGATGTTAATATGGCCGTTTCTAGTATGGGTTGTTTCTTTGTTGTTTTCTTTTTGAAAGCTATTACATATATGTATCTTGCCTTCACTTCTAAAAAGCAAGTTTCAAAAGGACTATAAAATAACGAGAGACCAGAAGTGAACATTTTCGCTTTGAAAACGTGAGCTTCGCTTATGCGAAAGTGAACAAGTCTCACCCAATACGTGGAGCTGTGATTTTTAGAATGAAAGGTAAGTGAACACTTTTAGAGCGCTTTCTCGACTCAAAATTTAAAACTCGATCCTCGATCCTCGATCCTCGAAACTCCAGACTCGATCCTCTAGACGCAAGACTCTATCCTTGAAAGTTTCAAGAATCGAGTCTCGCGTCTCTCAACTTACTTTTGAGTGGTACTGTAAGTCCCAAATGTGGGCAGACAGGTGATGTGAAACCGCTAACCACAAACCGCAGTTTGTCGTATGCAGTAAAATGACCAACGTGGATCTTAAGGTCTCTATTCACTCACTCATCCTTATGAGGGAACCCTTGGTATAAGCTTCTCGTGCTCATGAGCATTAACTTGCACTGTTATTCTATCAATTCTCGATGTCGTTATGCTTATTTACGCTACAAGTATCTTTTTCATGAGCAGTGGGGTGGTTTAAATTTCCAATAACATGACAAAGGATGTTGTTGCTAAATCGTGGTTTTAGTGTGGTGTATTGTTTATACCCAAATATGGAGTACAGTCTGTATCAAAACGTTGTCTTCCAAGGTGTTTTACACAAAAAACCCAGCTAAATTTTCAAACAAATGAAAAAATTCAAAGGCGGTGAAGGCCATTTCTTTACTGACAGTCTAAAATTAGTCTAACTGAAGCTAAAGACCTTCTTTGGTAGTGCACAGCACATCAAAATTAATGGTAATGATATAAAAAAGAATAATATAACAACATTAAAGAAAATGAGTATTCTAAAAGACTCTGTCCAATAATAAAATAATAATAATAATAGTAATGTCTTTATTCATTCAATACAATACATATCAAACGTTACGTAAATTATAGAAAAAGATCAATTAAGGTGTTTACACAATAAAGAGTTTCTCATAGTGCTAAGTGGTATTTGAAACGAAGCCTATTAAAGGACTACTTTTAAAATGTTCAGTGTTTATCTTAGGTAACTGACTAGGCTTAGAGCACAGTGTTGGTGATCACAGCCATAACAAAACAGATCAACGACAACTATCCAATAACTACTTACTAGTAATAGTTGTTGTGTAGCTCTTTGAAATATACCAATTCATAATGAAGATTTTCACACATATTCCATACAAATAGGTGAGATAAAACCAGGAAACGCAAGGTTCCATGCACTGATTCAGTTCGATTTGCACAGCTTTGATGAAAACATTCTCAGTTTCGAGAATAGTTTATTCTAAACCAAAAGAAAAGATTTAGTTAGAAGTTGGAATTTTTTCGCTATTTCTCTTTCCCTTTTACACACAGTTAATTTTATTTGGCGGAAAGTAAGCCTTAGAAAGTCAAAGGTTTGATCAATTAACGCTTGAAAGGAACTTAATAGAGGGACATCTGTGAGCAGGGAATAAGTCTGCAAAGAATTTAATTGTTGGCGAATTTCTGTAATCGTCCATCGTTCTGCAAGAGATAAGCTAGCTGTTAAATCACTCATCTTGCTTTTTTGTGGACTGAGTCTTATTCTGGCCCCAAAGAGAGAGAAAGAGTGTCTGGCAAATTGTTTCCAATCAATTTTTGACCTTGTGTCTGGCAAACTCTCCAAGTGTTTATATATGCACAGTTATGAATCAAAACAAGAATCAAACTGATGGATCAGCACACGCTAAAATTTTTCTTATAACACACCATGCAAACAAACTGTGAAACTGTTATTTGGCGTCAAGACACTTCTCTGAAGTATTCTAACAAAATACACTCAAAAGTGTAAAAACCTGAGGCATATAAATTTTAATTGCAGTGAAGACAAGATTTGCATTTGATTTTAACTGCTCATACAGTGTGGGGAAAAAAGAAAACACTTCGTAAATCAAATTTCCCCAAGAATTCCATCAAAAACAAACAGTCACATACCTTTACGAGACCTATGCAAATACGACAGTAACGCCAAAGACAAGACCAAATGACCTGGTCATTTGGGGATTAATACTTTATTCCGTCAATTAAAACTGTATTTCATCAAATATTACCTTGTAAAACAGTAAATTCTTTTTGCACCGCATCATTTACATTGTGATACAAGTTTTCCTATGGAGCACTCGCGCAACAATCTTGCTTATCAGTAATTCCATATTAGGAAGTCAATTTTGATTGGTTCCCCAAAAAACCCCAGCATTGTGACAGAGTTATACCCTTTGGGGTTGTTTGCTTCTGATTTCTTGTATTATGAATCCGTCTTAAACTTAATGCATGACATAGAAGAAAGAAATGCACCAATAAATATTTTGAACTTGTTTTCAAGGATGTCAAATTCACATCACTATTTTACACGCTCATCAACTTCACAAAAAAGTATGTACAAAAGAATGCGTTCTCTCTTGTTGGCACAAAGATATGGCATGAGATGCCAAATAGCTTTAAAAACATATCGAAAAAGACGTTCAGAAAAAAACTTAATGGAGCTTTATTAAATATATTGAAAATCGAAGACAACTATGTAGATAATGACAGAATCACGGCTAAACTTAAATCAAAGGGTGCCTAAGGCTAACTTGTGATTATTACTTTGGCGAAGCATGAAGTTAGGGATTCATGCAGCAGCAGTTGCATTCGGATGTCCTGAAGTTGCTTCCGAATGTCCTGAACTTGCTTTGGAATTAGTTCAAGAGATCTTTGAGTTCTTTGATTTATTCTTTCAGGCTGAAAGAAATGACGAGAAAGTATTACTTCTGGAAGAAATAAAGAATAAATAATGATTATTTTTAGCTTGCCCAGCATTTGAACTTGCTTATGTGTGACCTGTCATATCAGATGAGACTCTAAAGAAATTTAATAAATATTAGTCTACCAGTATATTTTAAGTCTGTCAAAAAGGAAAATTGGGCCTTACGCAAAAAAAAGGATAAAAAGAAAAAAAAGGTTTTTCTTGTGAGACTGACCTGCCTCACTTAGTTTGCTACCTGCAGGTGAGTGGGATTGATTGTGAATACTTTATTATATAAAAATTAAGTTTGTGGTTGGTGGGCCTTGAAAGTGTAATGTGGTCCATTAAACGTCCTTGATATGTCCTTAAAAAGTAATTGCAAATTTTTGTATGAACCCTGTGGTAGGATTTTGGTGGTCAGGGTTCATTTAGTTCGCTAATGGTGTGAGGTGCCAAGTATCCCGCATAAAATTCAAAATTCATGTAGGTGCTGGCACTGATGATGGTTTTAACTTTGCAGGAAAGGTGATTACCAAAGATATATGGCTGAATTTAGTACAGACAAAGAAAAAAAAGATGCTGCAGAGAAGGCACTTGTGGCATACAAGGACGCCACTGATTTAGCAAAAGGTTTAGATGCCACTCATGCTATCCGTCTGGGTTTGGCCCTCAATTTTTCAGTCTTCTATTACGAGATCCTTAACTCACCACAGCAGGCCTGTAAATTGGCCAAACATGCTTTTGATGATGCTATTGCCAACCTTGATTCACTTAATGAAGATTCTTACAAAGACAGCACACTGATTATGCAGCTTCTTAGAGATAACTTGACACTTTGGACTTCAGATACACAAGGGGAAGGTGAGTTGCAACACTGCTGCAATCCTAGCCTGCGAATACAGCTGTCTCTCTTTTCTCCTTGTTGCTAG